ATGAATGTTATAACCATAAAAATTAACTTTGCCCACCGCTCAAGTTATGCTTCAGTTAAATTCCTTTTTGTTTCTAACCTAGGGCCAAGGAGAAGAAGTTTGAGCGTTGATAGAAGACAAGATACCCAAGGCATTTAGTGGGAAATAAAGGTTTTCTTAAGATGGGGTCATTGCTTTCCATTCTAAATATCCGGTAAAATGTTAAGCATCCATAGACGAAAATGTGCCTTCTGTTGCATTTCTTTATTTCCTCTGAAAAACTTTAATTTGATTAAATTTTAAATTACATTTAACTATATATTATATAACTATATAAAATAATTTATTGTAAATCAAAATAAAAAAAGTTCCAAAGACAATGTTCTTGTTCATTTCCAAGCTTAAGCCCACCCTAATTTAAAACTTCTTAATCATGCTGCGGCCTTTGTCTCTTTTGGCCAGCTCTGCTTGGCCGGCAGCTCTCGGTTCTAATTATTTACACGCTCTGCGCATGCATATCAGTTACCAGTTTCTCGTTACCAGTTTTAGTTTATTTTTTCCCAAAACCAACTGGCGCGCTGCCCTCGAGGCAAGTGTTTGAAATGTTGTACAGTTTAGTGGCGTCAAACGCTTCGCTGGAGATGCTTACCAGCAGAAGTAGGGGCCCCGGGGGCGTTGGGAGCAAGGGGGGCTGGGCGTAGTTAGTGCATTAGTTACATAATTCGTTTACCGTTTCTTTAGCCGTTTGATTAATTGGGAAGGAGCCTAGAATGCTGCACGTTATCGCTGTCTCTTTCTGATAATTGTGCAGCCGTCTGTAAATTTATTCGAGTTCGTTGCCTAAGTCTTTTGTTCTCTAACTGTTCTAAAAGCGGAATTGCGCCGAGTCACTTGAGCAATTTGAATGTATTGCTTTGGAATTGAAGATTAATCCTCTGCTAAGCAAATTGTTTGAATTAAGATGGGAAATAAATTAAGATGTGGCAGAAATTCATCTTGTTTTCGGTGCCAACATTGCCTAAGAATTATATATGTTACAATTGGATAGTTTTTTACTTAGTAAATTATTTTGGCCATGATGGCTTTGTTAAAAAGAAAATAAATATTAATGCGATACATATTATCTTATGCCCTTAAACTTAATTTTTTGTTAGTGAAACTAATTTAGGCATTGCAATTCCCAAAGATGTATATTATAAGATATCATAATTTCTTATTTTATGTTTTACTTATTGCTTTTAAATATGTAATTTCAACTTACAAAGACTCTAAGAAAATTTTAAAGATATTTCCCGCCAAATACAACCCAACCAACATATCCCACATAAAACTCTTGTTTGGCAAGTTCATTGGCTTTGTCTTTGGTTTCTCTTGGCCATAAGGAAATGCACCGGGCTTAACCGGCAATTAGATGATCCACATAATCACTACCATGCATTCTTAAAAGATCCCACAACAAAGTGGTCATTTATATTCTAATTATGCAACCACTTCCATCGAAAGTCACGCTACATTTTCTCACTCTCCGCTTGTTAGAGTCGCTCGGTAGCTGTTATAGCAGCACACTTGTAACAATAAAATGCTGATTAGGCATTTTTTTCATCTGGGAACAAACCAATTCTAACTGAATTTCTATTGGCAAGCAGTGAAATTAAGAGAGTGGCGTGGAAAACCGGCAGTGTCATGCTGCCAGACAAACACGATCCCCATACCGATGAGGTTGATGATACCCCGAGGAGCAAGTGTTGTATCTATGCCAGCAAAACGACCAATTTTCCATGGCCATGCAGTCAAAAGTGCCAATAGCAACAACACTTCGGGAGACCCTCATTGTTTGGGCCCTCTTGTTGTTGGTTTTGGCCAAGCTGCTTCCTCACATCCTTTGTTTGGTTCTCTTCTACGGGTTTGTGTATGTGTGCGTGCTTCGAAGGAATTTCCATAACCGCTAGCATTCCGTGCGTTTGTATATGTGTGTGTGTGCGAGTGTTTTCCCCTCTAATGGCCAAAACATATAACAACAACAACCAGCTCATAGATACTTCTTGTATCTTCTTGCCATGCCTTTTGCTTTCCGTACGTACGTAACGAAAATGAGCGCAAACAACAAATGCAAAGGAAAATAGACAAGCACAGGAAACAGGTTTTTCCCTCTGCTCTAGCCTTCTTGTTTGGTGTTAGCCTGCGTGCAGGGAAAATCTGTGGAAAATGCAAAGAGCTCTAACACCGCTGCTTGAACCTCTCACCTCACTCCTTTCGTCCGGTTGACATCAGGGTCCAACTTACGCATTTTTCAATTATCTTATGGACGGCAACATCAGTTGCAGTTGCGATTGCATTCCTCAACTTCTTCGGCTTAGCAGCGTGTGCTATGTAGGTTGGTGTGGCAACCAACGGTACTCCGCCTGGCGGCTATCTTTTCGGCCCCAAACCGAACCCAGCCAATTTGCAAAAGCTGGCTAACTGACTAGCTGGCAAGCAACGCGCTCAACAGGCTCATCACTTAGTCATCTAATGTCTAACTGAGCTGTCAGGCCAACTTGTTTACGCTCGCTGCTCTCGGCAGTTGGTCCACTCTAACTGCAGGTGGTGCCATCAACTAGGGCATATATTTCAAAAATCTCTTAAACGCTTTTCAAGGGTAAGGAAAAAATGGGCGACATATACAAATTAGACGGTTTAGCAAAGGTTTTTTACAGTTATTTTTTTTAAACTGTAATGGTTTTGTAATGATATATTTTCTTTTAACTACCTGATGCTTAAGTGACCGAAAAGTATTAATATCAAATTACAAGAGAATAACGGAAGAGAAATTAAATGAAAATTAATACAAGTAATCAAAAATATAATTAAATGAAAGTCTTAAAATAAATATTGTATTTTCTCTTGTAAAATCATTCAGTCATAAGTTATAACAAAATAAATAAAAAAACAAATAATACAATTTAAATAAAACTTTACTTTTGCAAAAGAAACATCTATTTACGAATTAATAGCAATATTTAATGAAAATTATTTGAATAGTTTAAAATTGTAAGTCAATTGTAAATTTGTAAGTTAATTGATTGATTTAATTTATTTTAAATTATTTAAATATTTAGAAACAAAGATTTAACTTTTGTTTGCTGATAAATATATATTTACATCTCAAAAGAGTATACATTATCCGACTCCCTGCCAGTCTTAGGCTTTAAGTTGCAGTTTCAGCTTTTGCATTTTGTATTTTGCATTCTATTTAAGCCAAATGTCGCCTCGGCCGCGTTGGCGTCAAACTACCGTAGTGGCTTTTTTCTTTTTGGGTCAGCCGCCTCAGCACGCGCTTCGCATAACGTCATCGCTCTTAACTCTTAACTTATGCAACGCAGGGGCAGCATAAATCATATTTCCAGCAAGAGGGGGGCTTCGGAATAGACGCATATGTATGGGCGCCTTGGCCTGGGTAATTACTTGTACTTATGCAAGCCTCCCTGCCGCCCCCCAAAAAAAATATTGTGTTCGCTTCCACAAATGGAGTAAAGCCGCTTACAAGGCGGACTGCAACAATAATTTTAGCACTGCAAAAACATAAATAAACAAGCCAGCCAATAACATAAACATTAAACTGTGACTGGGACTGAGTCCGCGACTGTTACTGCGTACGTGGCGTCTATGGGCGCAACGTGACTTTAAGACTTGCCAAAAGTTACCTCTACAAAATAAAATAAAACACAACCCAAGACTTGAATATATCTTAAAAAAGATCTTGGCAAAAATATAAAACGTGAGCAGTCACTTAAACTGAGCGAAGCGAATTTGCTGCACATTTTGCATTTTGGAGTTAAATACGCTATAAACTTTTTAAATTATGATACGTAAAAGACAGGAGAAACGAAAAAAAAGATTAACGAATAACTAATTCGAAAAGTTCAAGGGCCGTTTTATTTCTGATCCAATTTTTATATTTTAAATTATTTTATTTTTTAATTAATTAATATTTATTAGATACTAAAATAAATGTAAACTTTAATTCAGCATTGGTAATCCGAAAAAAGAAAGGATAGAAATATGTGGTTAAACCTGTTTTTTATTGTCCGCTAGATTAAGTCCCATCATTAATTATCTCCCACTGGCAGATTACCCCAACTGGCCTACTTCTCTTATATCAGCTATGATAAGCACTCGACTCGATTAATTATGCCACTGGAGAATAAATGATGTTCTTTTGAACGGGAATAGAGATCATTAAAAAATGTCTAACATCCTTCAAATTGAAATACTGTTGAAATCAATTAGACAACTTGATTTCAATTTGCAACAATTTGTCTTGCGCTCACAATTTATGTGTGACTCATTACGGCAAGAATATAAAAAAAACAAGTTAGATGAGATTATCTATATGAATAAAATATATTCATATCTATATTTTATTATGAAAAATCTCCCATGACGCATGCTGTGACCTCATTTATTATTTTATTCAAAAACTACATTTACTTTTTTTGTATTTATTACAAGTACAGATCCGCTTAAGTTTTCTGCCAGCTTCAATGCTTGCCTAATCCCACGAAAGCCAACTCCGAGTTGTTCCATTTTTCGAAGATATAATTAATTTATTTTCAATATCAAGTCAATTTATCAGTTGACTTGACAAACACAATAACAATAACAAATTAGTCTCTGCCAGCCCGCTGCGTTTCTCTCTTTTTCTATATTTCCCTACGATTCTCTCAGATTCTCTCTGGATTTTTTTCAGTTTCTCAGTGGTTAGCACAGTCACAGTTTGCCAACTGTTATACGGCCAAACAACAGATTTTCAAATGCCACCAAGCCACAATTAAATGAAACTAGTTTTGCTCGTTAGAGAGAGAGAGAGCGTCAGCTGTTTGCCAACTAACTTGGCCAACAAATGCAGTCTAGAGAGTCTCTCGCATTCAGTCTGCCGGCGCACCGCGTTGTGTGCACTACGCTCAATAGTTTTATCCGCCGATCGGTTGCGTTTCGTTTGTTTGGCCAAGGTGCGCGATCCTCCCGTAATCCCCTCCAGAAACCCTCAATCCCATCATATATTTGTGCAATTCTCCAAGCATTTGAACAGCTGTGTGTGGGCGCACAGTAGTGAAAACTGTGCCGGCAAAAAGCGAAAAATAGATAAATAACTCGCATTGAAATTAGCAGCAATTCCTATAGCTATTTGCTTAATTCGTTGACGCCATGCAACTTTTTCATCACGAAAACTGAAATAGAAATTAGATGTTTAAGCGCTTACGCAATGCTTGAACTATTTATTGGAATTTTGCGAATTTTTTCATCGTGTTTTCGCTGTTTTCCCCGCAATTATATTTATGCGAATTTTTTTTTCTCCCACAAATGAGTAAATAATTTAGTGTAGTTAGTGCTTTGACACAGTTTTCGGGGGATATCACGCGGCCAATCGGCGGCCACGTCTGAGTTGTTTTCTGGCTCAGCTTTGGTCAGGTGCAAAGTGCATCACAATGAAAGACTTAGGCAACAAACTTTCGCCCACTGCTAACCGAAAAAGTAAATACACAAAGAAAAACGGAATAGTGGTTGTAGTTGGCAAAGCAATAAAAACCTGCAAATAGCCATAAAACACTTACATCATAGCTACCTGTTGCATGTCTCTTGCAGTGGCACAGTTTTTTCAACAGCCAACTCTATAATAATAATCACAACAACCAGCCAAGTTGCATTTAATTAATCACAAAATGAGCTTCGCTTTTTGAGCTTTTTTTCTTAAAGTTTATGAATGATTGTAAGTGAGTGAGTGAATGAGTGAGTGAGTGACTTATGAACAAGCCCACGTATGAATGTGGGCGCCCCTGGCTCTGGTTGCCCTTGGTCCAGCTGCTGCTCTTGCAGCCACTTTTGTCATCCTGCTTCGGCGCTTCGGCGAACAACATAAATTATCAAGCTGCCGCTTCTGTTTTGCTCCGAGCCGAGCTGAACCATATAAAAATATGACTTATTAATAAAAACAGACAACAACAGCAACTTAATAAAGCCACAACCGGCGGACAGCAGGGCCTGGCGCCTCTAGATCGCCTGGCTGCATCATAAATACTGATGTTTTGTTGGTTTTCCATTAAATGTGTTAACTATGCCAAGTGTAGACGACGCGTGTGGGTTTTTCGCTGTTGTTGTTTTTGTTGCTGTTGCACTGCCGCTTTTGCTGCATGAAATTAGCCGCCGCCGCCGACGACTGCACTTGTTGCAGCTGTTGCGGTATCGCTTGTTTTAGCAATTCAGGAATGCCCATAGCATGAACGGGTAACACAACTTCAACGCCAAGTTTGTTTAGGCTGGGAAGATAGAAAAAATAAATGTATTTTAGAGTTGTATTCGGAATTTCCCTTCAGTTAAGTGCAGTTCATAGAGTGCCTGTTCAGACAAGGGTCTTTACTCATCTTAAAACGTTTGTAATTAACATACTTAGGATTCAAGGCAAACTTGTCAGTTATTCGATTAGTTGTTCGGGTAATGTAACGTTGACTTATTTTATTTGATTTTAATTTTCTTTACCTACAAAAAGAAAGAAAGAAATTCAATTAGTAAAGTAAAAACGACCATAGACTGTTTATTTATTTTCTGAAAGCTTAAAATCTGAACTTTTAGTTTATACACTAATTGCAAGTTATGTACCGCTTTATTCGTTTTAAACAATACTTTAACCTTGCGTTTTTAAGACATTTTAAAGTTTTATGTTTTTAGAGTCTGACAGTTATTTGTTTTTGCCAAAAAATTACTTTTACCATAAAGTTTTTAGTGCACTTAAAGTTTCGGTTCGTGTGTTTTCCAAAATAAGCACGCCCGCAACTTGCAACGTGAGGCAAAAAGCTGAAGTCATTTCGGTCTCCAGGTCATATCCTTTTTTTCGTTGAGATTTTTGCCGTTGCCATTCCCAACGTGTGCATTTTTAATTATGCTTGTTAATTTTCGCTGGTTTTTTTGTTGCATCTTTCAGACCATTTTAGTATGTGGCACACGTTTTGCGTTTATGTTTCTCATACACCATTTGCTGGATGAAATAATTGCGGGGCGTAGAAATTAATGTGCAAGCAAGGCGTTTCCCGAGGGTAATGTTGGAAAAAAAGAGGGAACCACAAAAAAAAATGATTACCGTAAGATGGGAGAACTTTTTTATTTTCGTTCTCCCCATTACATCCGGAAATTACTTCATTGCAATACTGCAATAAAGATTCCTGGCCGATAAGGACCTCATTTCGGTGGTATTGCAGCAAGGTCGATTGTGAACCACAAAAGTTTTCAGGTAATTTGGGGCGAGTTCGTGCCTAAGTCTTTCGTTTTTTGGGGAAACGCTTAAATACCAAAGTTTAAGCTGGTTAATTAGCATAAGCAAGCCAGCCAAGCAGATCGAGTGAGTCAAGCACTATATGGCCTATATAGGGTCGGTTCAGCACTCCCACATGTTTCATTAAGTTCCGTGCCGAGCGAAAGTTCACAAAACTCTTTGTGAAACAATCTGTATAAAATGAATTTTAATGGTTAAAGAAAAGAAACGCCCACTGGTGTGTGTGTCTGTGTGCGTTTGTGTATGTGCTGGTGTGTGGGTGTGGTGGGCGTGTAATGTGTGCCCGACACCAAAACAGTTAAATGTGGAAATACAAGAAATTCAAGTGAATATCAAGCGCAGAAATTACGTCAATCAAAAGTCAAAGCACAACTGGCAACTTGGAAGCCACAAATCGTATAGGTTATACCTATACATTTTTTTCTCCTTCAAGGCGTCTTGGTTATAACAAAATAAAAGAGAGAAGCAAAAAAAATTATTGCTGAGCGGTCCAAGCCAAAAATGGACCAGCAGAGCGGCGACTTTTGCCGAGCAAAGTGTGGGCAGCAAAGTTGCCTAACAGCCAGCAGCACTCACACAAATACCCGGGCTCACACGTACACTAGGTTGCTTTTAAGCCAGGTTATAACCACTGGGGCTCGCGATCCGCGGCTCCAGCTCCGCACATTCAGTTCGTTTTCAGCGCGCGTGCGGTGCGGTTCTCTGCCAAGTGGGCTTCTCTTTTCTCTGTGGACAGTGTGTTAAGTGTGGAGCTCCACACCACTGAATAATCTATCTTAACGGAGATCATTGCCTTATTTGCCTAGGCGGGGAATCTAACATCCATCGTCTAATTGCAGTGAAAGTTGCCGGGCTTTTTTGATCAATTTTACCCTGTGAAAATTCCGAAAAACCAAACGCGCGCAAAGCAATCAAAAAGTGTTCATAAGAAAAGCGTTAAATATTGTTAAGTACAACAATAAGCAACAAAAAAAAAATATTCCAGTGTCTGTGAGTCTGCCAAAACGCGCGTGTGTGTGTGTGTTTTTCTGCGCTTTTGACGGCTGCTTTGGCAGCAGCCAAGTAAGAAACAAGGCTTTTTTGCTGGCGTCGCTCTTCGTTGGCAGCTGTTGGCAGTATGAACTGATTTTGGCCGAAAGTTGATGAATAAAATGGTGAGCACATTTTTTTCTACTTCTACAAAGTGCAAATTTTAAGTGGTATATAAAACATTTTTAATTTAATACAAATTTAATGGTGTTTCGGACGGAATAAGCTGAGTGGTAATCACAGCCAAAAGTTAAATCATTTTACAAAAGGCAAATTTCCAAAAATAATTCGTTATAACAACTAGAATCAGACAGCTAAGTAATAGAGTGCATTTGATAACATTAATCAAATTTATATTCGGAATGTTAAAAAACTTAAGAATTTATTTAAAGTGCTTTTACTTTGAAAACTTTATAATCTGTGTTTGTTTAAAAAAAATTGTTAGACAAATTATGACTAGACTTCTTTTTTATGTGCAATATTTGTTTTTAAAATTTATTTATTGTTCATTAAAAATTTGCCTATTAAAGCCAAGCATTTAAATTTCAGTAGATTTTATTTTTTTTATTCAAATACTGCTTTTAATAAAACACTTTTCCATTTACTTCATTAATGGAAATTAAATTTCCATGGCATTTTCTTTTAATGAGTCTATAAAATCAGTGAGCATAAAAACCGTTGGCATACAAAATTTACATGACAAATTTCCGTTTTTTTCCACCCAAGTGCAGACATACACTCAAAACACCAACTGTAAATGTGGCAAAAAATAATAATAACAAACGACCACAACACAAAGAAACGATCACTTTCGTTTGTGCAGAAATCCCAGGCCAAAGTCATTGTGGGATTTGATGAGTTGGAAGGTGAAGAAGATGAATACGCAGATGGAAACGGGTCCAAAGACGCCTTGTCACTGACTCTTTGGTCAGGGGCTCTTCGCTAATGCTGTTTATTTTCTCTGCATCTCATTTCGGAAATAACGAAACCGAAACGCAAATAGAAAATATGACAAATAATTGCTTCAAATACTCGCTTGACACACTTTTCGTGGGCGCAAAGAAAGAGTTTGTCAAGCAATCACAAGTGTTTCAAGACAAAGCTGAGGCTAAAAAAACTTATTTCATGTGATTGTATAGTTTTGGGGGATTAGACAGTCGTATTTTTGTCGAAATTTGTGTTTTTTTCGGGTTTATTGATGAAGCTTAGAGATCTCGGTTTTGTTTTTTGGTCAGATGCAAAACACCGACGATGCTACTGGCGCCGTCTCATTTGTCAGCCAGTTTCGGTTTGAACTAGCTGCCAGTCATTTGTAAGCCATTGTCTTTGGCTCGTCGTGGGTTGTGTGGTACTTGGATTCGAGTTGTTTTTCCCCAACAGTTCGTGGGCTCATCTTATCCCATCTCACCGACCGACCGACCGACCGACTGACTGACAATTTTTGTGTTGTTTAGCTGTTTATGCTGATGATGCGTTCGCTGCCTGTGTGTTGTCTGCGCTGCAAAAGGTGCAAAACTTTCACTTTATGTATTATTGTTTTGCGTGCGAGCTGCCGCATTTGTCTGCCGGGAGAAATTACAATAATAATGCCTATAAATTATGAGCCAAAGCGCTTGACTCAGTCTGCGTGGGCGAAAGAAATTGCCGCAATTAAATGAGCCAAGGGACCCAACGAAAAATAAAAAGTGAATGCCTCACTTTGCGATTCTTCTGCAAAGATTAATGGTGTAAGATATAAAGCGACATATCTTTCACAGTTTGCACAAGAGAAATTTCAATTATTGTTAGCTTTGCAAAATCCATGAGCCAAATCAAATGACTTAAGACACGAACTTGATATTTTTTGGTACTGCAAAATCCACGAGCCAAATCAAAAGACTTAAGGCATAATCTTGATCGTAGTGATCTTTAAAAATTCATGAATCATTTTAAAGAACTTAATTTTAAGTTAAATGTTTTATTCAAGTTTCAACAACCAAATTAAACGACTTAGAAACCAAACTTGTGTCTGTCAATAAAGAGATCGAAACCACTTCTTTTTCAAAAGCTGTCAGCGATAAATTGCAATGCGAAAACAAAAGGCTGCAGACACAAACTTGAAATAGGCAAATGAAGACTTTATTGAATGCACATAAAAGCCAAGTTTTATTGTTGCCTAATGATCAGAGAAACTCGTGGGAAAGAGATTTTAGTTACTTTCGTTGGCGAAATCGGAAGATTGATTCCATAGATTTACGGGGTAATTCGTAAGTCATGTTGTACGTCTTCACTGCCATCAGCCAGTAGACAAATTTACAATGGGCCAATTCCAAAGACTGGTCGCGATTTGAATGCTCTTTTGGAGAACGAAGATTATGACTCAGTTGACTCGACTAGTTTGCAGCACCCCACACAGTCTGTTGAACCGCCGCTCAAGGTCTTTTCCCAGCCACCAACGGCGGAGCTTCGTTTCAAAGCCACAAAATTCTAATTAATTTCTCGCTCGCGAATCTTTTTGCATTGATCTCTTCTGAATGCCGCAAAAAAGCCAAACAGAGCCATAGTGTGTGGGCACCCAATACTCGAATAATCTCGAACAGATGAACACACATGAAAATGAAGACGAAACCGAGACCAAAGCGGAGCACAGATTGTGCGTCAGTGCCAACCTGTGCCCGTCTAACATCATTAGTTTCGGCCTTTGGAGGCTTTTTTGAGGCATCCGTGGGCGATGAGAGATAGACCCACGCTCCATGACACAATCGATCCGCCAAGGCCCGACCATGTGGTCCATGTGGAGCTGGAAGCCGTGCACTTGTTATGCGTTTTCGATTTCCATTCCGTGATGGGCAACCCACTTTCACCAGAACTCGGTTTCGTTTTCATTGCCATATACGACCACACTTCTTCGGGATGACCCAAAAAAAAAAAATGAAGTGAAGCATCTTCGCCGAAAAAACTGAAAACACAAGTCGAAAGGCAATCAGAAATACTTCGAGAAATAAAGCGAAAGTAAAACAGCGACCAGTTTTTGTGTTTTTTTGTGGCTGCAGGGCTGCTGCAGCCAAAAGAGCGGTTCGAACTCCGATTCGCAGTAACTCAAAATGATGTCATGCTGCGAGTTGCCAAAAAAAATAACAAAAAACCCAACCAGACTTTAGCATTCTTGTTTTTTTTGCTTTTTGGCGGACCCAAATTTTGGCTGTATCTGTATCAATAAAATGGCTTCGTCTCGTGCAGAATGGAGACCGTGCCACAAATGCAAAAGTAACCGGACGACTTGGCCCAGCCCAAGCTTAGTTCACATTCAGTTCAACTTTCAGCTTCCACGCCAACACTCCATTGCAGTTGTGTTTCGCTTTTTTTTTTTGCTGCTTTTTTTTGACGTCGTGGTTTATGCCGCTCAAGACCCTGATCGCTGCATATAACTAGCTGTAATGCCGTTTATTTATTTCATTTCAAAAAATCCCTGTCAACGGCACAGCTCCAAGTTACCTTAGCCTCGAGTTAAGCCTTTAAATTTATGACTCATATTAGTTGCAGTCGTTGCCGCCGCCGCTGACGACGTCGCGTTGAAAAAAACCAACACGGAAACTTTTTAAACTGCAATTTGCAACAATTTTTGCAGCAACTGTAAAGCGGACTTAGCCAAAAAAACAAAACAAAAATCCAGGCATCAAGAAGGCGAGGTTTCTGGGGCGCAACGAAGTTTTATTACACTCATCGAATACATAGGAAATTGGGTAAAGACCAAGCTTTACAAGAAATAGGAAACAAGGAAATGTCTAATTGTATTTTAAAATATATATTTAAATATATATAAAATAAAAGGGGGAGAATTTCAACTCTATTTTAGAAATAAAAACTACATAAAGATGGTAATCATAAGAAACAAACAGGTACTAAAAAACTTTATGACACCACTCACCAGTATTTCCTCATCATTTGGACCAAAAATGAAAGGAAATAATTTCGGGGAAGACTTAGAAAGTCCTACATTTTTGGCATACTCTTTCACTTATTTCCCGGACGCCTCATGCAAAAAGAGTACATAGAAGGTCTGCATGCGAAAAACCAAGGCGGTAGCCTGATCTCAAGTTGTGCGGCCAATTAACGGAATGTCTGCTCCGATATCGCTACCGTAATTTAACTTTCAAATGCAGCCCGCAAGAGCAGTTAAAACGGAAAACCCGTTGCAGGCCGGTAACTACTATGTATATACATGCTCGCATAGTACATGTTCGATATAGTACCCCATATCAGGGCACTTTAAGAGCCACCAGGAGTGGGAGGCATCAACATGGTTCGGCTCCTTTGTTTCTGCACCCTGTCACTGGGCTATCGGGTTGGCTAATAACTTCATTTAAATTAATCTGGTCACAACAGGAGGCAGAGAGCGACCATTTAAAATGCAACTACGGAGGCATTTGAAGCTGCCACCGTAGGCGACCATAACATAGCCATAAACATTTCCCCCTGATCTCCGGCAGAAAAGCAGTGACTTTTCGCCGCACATTGATGCATCCTGTCATTGTCATAGTGCAAGCTCATATCCTGTGAATTGCCGGTGCGCCGGCAGTAAATTGCAAAAACCGCACATGCTAATCAACATGGGCAACCGCAATTATTAAATTACATTTGCGTGGCCTAATCGAATTGGCAAGGGGTCTCTGAAGACTCGCCAGTCGGTGTCTTGGTGCATTGGTGCCTTGGTAAATGATATGATATGGTCAACAGTAGCCACTGCTAATTTAGCCTGACAGTCAGTTCTCGTCCGCTAAAAGGGGCGGAACTATCGGTATTTGATTCGTCTCCGAAACGAGGAGGCTGGATGATTGTCGGTGCACAAAGGAAGTAGGTATTAACCAAGTGTGGACAATTTTATGGCACCAAGATGACGTTCAGATTCAGGAAGAAACAGCGTGGCTAATTTACCAACCTTACCTAATCTAAAGGCTTGTTAGGCAAACTGTCTCTTCTATCCATTTTCTTATTAATATTGGTTTTGGTAATATGATTTAATATTAAGTTACTTACAATTAATTGTTCAGGCCCAAATTGTATGGATTATTCCACTTGGGTGCGTTATGCATCCCGGATATCTCGGCTGTGCCAGCCTCTCAACAATTTCACCATCAATTTGCCATCCACAGAGCCGTCGGTTATGGCCAAAAGTATAAGACATGAGTCAACGCCTCGAAGGTCGACAACTGGCGACACTTTGGATCTGGTGTGAGTCTCACACCGACAGGGAACATATTTGGCTTTGATGGTGCGTGGGCTTTACAACTCAGTTGGCTTGATTAAAATGTAGTGTGGCCAACGCCAATTGGCTTATTACCCATGATCCGGGCTAAGACAGGCCCGGTTTGAATGCTATTCTAACAAGCGAGTTGGGCTGGCCTTTCTGGCTTTCTGGCCTGGCTGGCAACAAACATCGCGCAGAGGCGTTATTGAAATGACCGTGGGCGGGGACATGGGAGGCCTTCAACTGCGTCGATTTCCACTTCGACATCGACTTCTGAGTCCCACACACAAAGAGCTTTTGTAATTAAAAGCCGAGCTGTTTTCACACTCAAATGGTGCGTTGATTGATATTCCCGGCTAATTGCCAAAGGCTTGGCTCCATGTTCTTCCGACTGGGGCTTGCCGGGGACCTTCCCAAGCCACTTCCCTAATGGTCACTTACACCCAATGTCAAGTACAAGTGGCGGCCCTTGGCTGAAGAAACCTCGTACAATGTGGCATCTGATTGATGTGCGCCCCTCTTGCCGGTCATAATCATCTTGAGGAGCGAATGATGTGGTTGATGGTGCGTCAGCAAGAAAAGCGAGCCAGTTCTTTGACTTCTTAAAGTCTTCTTCAGGCAATAGAAGAGGATTAGGTCCGTGGAAAGTACGTGACAAAAGCCTCTGGCGATGATCTTTTTCACTTCACCAGAGGAAGCAGAGGAAGCAAAGGAGGAGCAGCAGTCAAGTTCGTGGCCTGAGTCTTTCGTTTGGCCGACTGCAGCTAATTGGTGAGCAAAACAGCGAACAAGAGCAATAATGTACCGCAGACAACAAATAACAACGTGTAATGAACGCAGCTTACAGTTTTTTGCTAGCGATTTTTTCTCTTATTTCCCTCTCCATTCCGACGTACATGAATGAAAACCAAAGTAAATTGGCCCCCAGTCGTCGTATTCGTTGTTGTCGGTTCGGGACATGAACATCAAGGTGGTCGTGGCCGCTGTCGACTTCAGACAAAATGCAACTACAGAACGAACCAAAAAAAAAAGGAGAATTATATATATATATAGTATAAATGCGGTTATATGTGTACAGACAATAAATTGTTAAATAGCCGCAGACCCCGATTCCTGGGACGCAGAATGGTCCGCCGGGGCACGGCTTAAAAATTTATGCCATTTTAAAGCGAGAAATGAAACACGCCCCAAGTGCATTACAATAAATTATAGAAATATGAGCATGGCAAAAGCACAACAAAATGTTAAGGCAGAAATAGGGAAACTGAAACCGAGAAGCGGGTTCCACATTTCGTGTATGATCCTGGCCTTCTCTATTATAAAGCAATTAATGCCGAGGCATCGGCTTCGTTTTGCTTAATTTAATAATTCATACAAGCGGACAGAAATGAGCGCATAATTAGGGCGCCCGGGTGGCCCGGGATCCATTTCGAACACTACTGCTACTACCCCACCTCGCATTGCTGCATTGGCACGACTTTGGACAGGGCTCATTAAAAACTTGCTGCTAAAAATAGCTGCAAACGGCTGTTGCTGTTGTCCTGCGCCATCCTCACATATTTTCATATTAATTATCGTGGCCACTTGTACAGCTGTCCAACTGCTGGGGCGAAATGTGTGCCCAACCAGCTCCATTCGCAGCGAAGTCTAAGTATTCGTATTCTCCAGGGGCAGATGCAAAGATGCGATGCGACGCGATGCCCCTGTGCAGATTTCGCCGATTGTCCGCCATTGACTTTTAGCGATAATTAACACCTAGGTACTAAACCAAATTGCAACCACTGGTTGGCTGGCTGGCTGCCTGCCTGCCAGATGCGACAAAAAAACACTGGCCAAGAAGTCGAAAGGAACTACTACTGCGACTCCTTGTAGATGTTTTTATGGCTGCCTCCTTACATTTATTTTATTGCAGGCAGGCAAACTGGACCTTTGCTTATTGATTTGCATTTTTACAAGACTTCTTGTTCGCGGCACTGTTGTCGCTTTTTATGTCTAGATTTAGTTATTTTCGTATATTTAAATCGCTTGTAGTTGGGATGCTTCAAGGTCCACTCCATGTAACTAGCCACTGGATCAGAAGTACAAGCGGCGATAATTTAAACAGGAATGCTGCGACCAGGATTAGTTCGAAAAATATCTCTTTGAAGTGGAGTCATAAATTAAAGCCAACTAAATAAATCAAGATGAGGTGGGGACAAGGCATCAAGAAAGCTGCGATTGCAACACAAAGTAGCAACTTTACTTGCGGGAAGAGAATACATTGTGGGCTAGAAACTCACAGCAATGGGAACTGATTCTTAATGGAAAATTAGTTTTCATAAATGCAAAAATATTAAAAATGAATTTTGAAGAGGATAGGTTATCTGCTCTCTATATTTAACAATAATCTTAAGACTTCTTCTCGAATCTAGAACCTTAAGATCACTAATGTTTTTTGAGTTGACACGATTTCCCCATATTTTGTTCAGCAAAATCATGCGCCTTCAAGATCTTGTTATTGTCCCACTTAAATAGAAGCATATCAACAGTTTTCAGCGGAATAAAATCCATCGAAACTTCCACAAGAGTCGCAAAAAACAGCAGTTACGAACCGCTCTTAAAAAAAAAACCTAGTCACATGCCAAATTTGGCTAAATTGGCAACACTGAATGGCAGCTACCAAGCGACCTGTCCGGCCATTTACAATTACCATCGACCATCGGCCATCGACCATCCTCGGCTCATCCGTCGCGGCATTCCGATTGCGATTCCAGTCACATAGTCACCACATAGCACATCTCCGCCTGACTCACGCTGGGCCATTGTGGCTCGACTTTGGCCCTTCTGGTCAAGAGCGTTGGGCCCAAATTGCGCTGCGTTAAATTCAATCAATGCATCAAATCCACATGCACAAGCTCATGCACTCCATCGCCCACGCGTCTCCTGACAAACAAAAAAAATGTCTGAGGAAGAGGAGAAATCGCCAATGGACATGGTTTTTCGAGTTGGCTTGAGTTGCAGGAACTGATGGCGGGCGAATCATAAAATTATGCAGAGCACATACCGCACACGCACACACATGGGGCTATTATACAATAGGCAAACACAGCCACAACCACATCGCAGCCAAAACCAAAGCGGCAATTGCATAAAACACTTTTTACGATGCGTGGTTGTCGTCTTTGTCAGTGGTAAACCCAAAGAAACCATCCACATTCGCTGGTGATGGCTGCAGAGAAAGAAATATTTAAAGTTACTTGTTTGGGTTTACAGAAATATTAAGAGAAACGCACCAATAAAGTTCACAGGCTTGTCATGATGTATTATTTGGCTTGGAGTACATTTAAAAAAGTTATAAGCCTTTAATAATACCAGATTTTTTAAGTGTTCGAGATGATTTACGCCAAATTTTCATAGTGACAGAAAAGCTTAAACAAAATAAAATAGAGCCAAAGAATTTCTTCAAAGTAATGAAAAAGTTTAAAATTAGATTAATAATAGTTTAAATACAGTTGGTGACTCCCTGTCTTAAACTTCTTACTTTGAACGATACTCACAGCAAGATCAGATGTATAATGGAAAAATGGACTTAAAGTGACTTTACCCATTAAAATATATTATTTTTTCTGTGCATAGAGATGGCGACGCCGGGTCCGGGCACGTACGCAATGGCAGCGGCAACTAATGCCCAAGTATATATAGTTGTTGTGGCTGTTGTGCTGTTCCTCCTGTTGTTTATTGAAGTGCGCGACTGCGCGTTATGTTTTTCCCCCTTTTGTTGTTGCTTTGGGGCGCATTCGCAATTTACAACACAAATAAACACACGGCCAAGAAGAAGTGGCAGAAGCAACCGAAGTGGCGAAGACGGCAACACCGACCAAGGTTTACTTCCGCCGGATAGCTACGTAAAAATCATATAAATTAGAATTGTAAGAACCCGAACTTGGAGTGGAGACCAAAACCAGGGAAAACCTGCTGTACGCACCTCATGCCCTCGCTCTGTTCTTGAATTTACAAATATATCTCGGTATTTCCGTTAGACGCTGCCCTTTTATGATTGATTGTTTTGCAGCGGATCCCAGACACGGCTTAATCATCATTACGTAACCTCCAGAAAGGGAGAAGAAAGGGTCTGCAAGGCAGTTAGTCAAATCATCGAAGCGTCCAAAAGGTCACCACCACCACCAGCACCACGACCACTTGTAATTAGAGTTGACTCTATGCCTATCTCTCCTGCATTGAATTAAATCGACTGCAATTTACCTTTCTAATGGCCAGCTCCATTTATGGCCGCATGGGGTTTTGTGGACTGTACTCCACGGATCGTGTGTGTCCATTTATGGACTGGGCAGCCCAACTCCTCCGCCTCCGACTCCGATTCCTCCTCTCCAGCCAGCATCTTGGCCAGACTCTTTCACCCGGCGTAGGCGAAAATTGTGCAGTTTGGAAAGCCGTCGAAGAAGGCGCCACAGGCTCTGTCGATTGGAGGTCAGGTCTGCATGCCACAAAAACACACCAAAGCCCACAAAAACGGGCACATGTGGGCCGAGGTGGTTTCTACACTCCAAGAAAGTGTGTCAGTTAGGAATCAGTGCAGGCATTGTTCAACCCCTGAAAGAGTAATTGCAAACGGGAATAAATTACAGATTATCTGAATTTTTATGGCCCGCATTTATTCAATTTGTATAATAGCTGCGCCATAGAAATGCAATACATGCAATAAAAGTTTGATCATTTTCTGTAATTTAATATTATGAAAATACATATTGGCAATCAATTGGGTGTATAGTTTACTTGGCCGGTAAATTGATTTTGATACAAAGTTATTTAAGGGAAAACCAGTATTTAAAATGGTCAAGAATAACAAAAAAGATTATGATTATGACTGATTATGAGATTTCTATTCATTTTTGGAAAATTTTCATAGGTTTAATCGATTGAGGCTGTTTTATAATAGAATTATAAAAATGTAATTATCTCGTCAACAAAACAATTCGAAAAAAGATACCAAAGTTATTGGGTTTTACATACCTTATACTAAAAGTTCAAACATTTACTCTGTTTCAAAGGGTTAGCAAAGCCAGTTTAAAGCCATTTCCTACAGTAAAAAAAGGCCATGTCCTTGGCATATTTTTAAACCAATATTTGCCACAGTGTGTGCCACAATTTACGGCCAACTGGACATTTACGAGGCACAGCTTAGACACATTGTGCTGCAAATTGTGGCCACAGTCCAGAATCCCCAGTCGGAGGCCGGCCTTTTCAATTAAAAACTGGAAATAAATTGCGACCGCAGCGGCGTAAATAAATATTGACATTTATGTTTTGCGAGAGGGCCCCCGAAGATTGCTTTGCCAATAATGTGGCACTGAGATTCGTATACAATAAAAAGTCTAATTAACACCTCTCTTACCATCCTAGCCCCGGCCATCTTCGATCGGGTAGGTGCACTTAAAGGGTTGTGGCTAATTTCTGGGTTAAATATTGGAGTGGTGGGTTGGACAAAAAGAACAGCGTCATGACCGACAATGAAAGCGAAATTTCAGAGTCCGCCGAAAGAGGAGGCCCAGACTAGAGGGAGGGGGTAGAAAAAAAAAAACAGAAAAAAACATGCGTCGCCCGGAGTCGACATTCTTTTTAACAAGTTGCCCGCAGAGACCTGAAAAAGGGCCTAGAGCTGCAGTTGGAGCCAGTCAAAGTCAAGTTAAATACGCCCGCCGTGCGTCGTCGTCGTCGTCTTGGTAGTCGTCGGGAATGGGGGACTGGTCTTTTCGGCATGTCCGCTGGGCTCTCTAGTTCCCTGATCCTCTGGCCAAGAGTCCAAGACCAGGGCCAAGGAATATCAGAAGATCAAAGGCATTTTAACAGCCAGCGTCCAACGCAAACAATCAACACGGCCGAAAGACAGAGGACTGGGCGAAGTAGAGGAGAGTCAACGGCAACGTGCCGGCTTAAGGCCCAAAACCTGTGCACTTAGTTGGAGGACACGTACAGGATAAATTAGCAAATATTTGTTTTTTCTCTTTTATTTTTTTTTTTGTTTTTTTTTGCTTTGCAGATGTTTGCCTTGCTTGGGGATTTTATTTCTTATTTAAGCAAAAATTGCATTTAAATTGTTTCGTGCTTGGCAAAAGGTCGACAATGTAACCTTGACATTACCAGCCGATCATCGATGGCCATTTCTCTATGTTGGGCAGCAAAGTAGAGCCAGGCCATCGATAATGTCTCAATTATGTCAATGCGACACCAGCACCCCTCCGTTTAGGTGCCATCTCTTAACAAATCGAAGCGTATCGACTTGATCTCATTGGGTGCATAAACAAAACAGGCCAGCAGCACACCATAAACAAGGGGGCTAACGAAAAAAAATACAAATAAAATAAGAAAGGAAGACTAAAAAACAATACATCAGACATACGGTGCGTAGTAGTGGCTGTTATGGCTACTACAAATAAGTCGGCGTCTCCAGTTCAGTTGCCCCATTGTGTTGGCACTAGGCAATAAAGAGATTTAGTAGCTCGTACTTGGTGGCTATCCAGACATCCAGACCATCCAGTGCATTGCAGCCTAAAGCCTCCTGCTGCTGTAGCTCCTTGTGAATTCCTCGGATGTCCTTCTCAGCGGTCAATGATTCCCACTGGCCAGCGCCTGATTTGCATGCTTAACCTTTAAGCTCGTGCGGCATATTAATCTTATCAGAAACTTGTCAACAGTCAGCTAAAGTCAATCCGATCGAAGCGCTTCCCTGCTGACAAGAGATATACATTGTTCTCGGGCATCCCTTGTAATGTCTCACTCGCCTGGTCGCCTATATATAAATATCAATATACAATTGAATTGAATGGTTTAAGATCTGGAAATATTGTGGAGATTTTGTGGGAACGATTCAGTCTCTTTTTGTCGTTTAAGCAGGTCTTTAAATAATAATTTCTTAACTAGAAATCACATGCCCACGTGAAATCATGTAAAGTTATATTTACTTTGTAGCATCTTTCTTTGAAATCCCAGCAGACGTTTTATAGAAAAAGTTCTCTTAACACTAAACTCATATGAATGTTGTTTGAAATAACTATGAGCTTTTACAGCTCTTACTACATTTTACTCCTTATTTAAATACATTTCTTAATAAGTTTCCTATTTTTTCCTTTTAAAAATATATTACTGAAAACAAAGGCTATTTCAAAGTGTGCATAAAAGGGAATGGCAGAATTAATAGTTGTTTTTTTGTGGCCCAGTCATAGGATGAACTCTGCCAGAAATCTTAGGAACTGACCTTCAAGCAAAAACTAAGCTCAACAGACGATTTCCAAGAAAAATACAAAAGCCATGGCGAGTTCCTCGGACCGTTCTCTAATGATTTCCTGCTTAGGATACTGGGGCTCACCCATAAACCCAAATATACTGCCTCTTCCCAAGAGCTGTCTCCCTGCCAATGATTAATGTGCCGATCCTTGTCCGTCGATGCGGCGAGAATTATGTATTTGGGTTAATGTTACACCGCAGCAGTGCACTGGCACTGGCATTGCTTTAATTTTGTTTTAACACAAAAATTGCCAAGTACCAGTATTTATTTGATGTGCGCAATGCAACGATCGGAGCTGCGACTACTTGGACGGCAATTTCCTTCCGTCGTGGAGCTGCGCATCTTGATCGCCGGGTTCTCAGGCCGTGGCCAGAAAAAAAACTGGAATCCCAGTGCTGTTGGCTATTTCAAAATCTAACTGTTAACTGCAAAAGTTGAACGTACTGGCAGCATGCAACATGCAACGGCTGCACCCACGGCAGCAGCAACATCAACGGCAACGTTACACTGAAGAAATAGCTAACATCATCAAGCAATTACAAATAATAATATATTTGAAGATGCTTTAGCAACTAATTATTAATTAATGGGTCTAACAGTTTTAGGATTTCACAAAGATCTGCATTTCTTTAAATTAAGGAAAAAATAGTTGAAAAATATGGTTAACAAAAATGAATTGAATGACTGAATGTAATGAAAAAACCTTTAAATGTAACAAAAGAAAACTTAAATCTTTTTTTCAACACCTTCAGAGCTATCCGGATACTGTTCAAATGATATCAAATGAGATGTAAAAATAAGTTTGATCAAGATGGAAAACGCCTTTATTTTCTCAGTGCATGCAACTGCAACAGAGCGGCCAGCGAAACGAGTTGAAAGCCGTTTTCCCTGTTTGCCTGGCTGGCACTCTTGAAAGTGGTTTGTTGTCTAACTGCGTTAGTTTCTGCTTTAAATTGTGCGCCCAAGCAGCTCCAGCGGGGTTTAATGGCTTTAACTGGAGACCTCGGCTTTTGCCTGCTCCGACTTCTGTTCGTTTCTGCTCCGTGTGCTGTGTTCTGTGGGTTCTCAGGCGGCGGCGCTGGATAAATGTCATAGCGGCGGATGCACTGAGCACATTTATCATTAATCAAAGAGCCATCGGTGACTTCGAATATGCGGAAACTATTGGCATCTAGCTGTAGTACTTGCTGTATTCTCCACACCATCACCTGGTGGTCGATCATTTCCGCCGACGAGTTCCTTTATTTTCCTTTATTTTGACACTGGGCCCAGCAACGGCAATTACTTGTAGCATTCGAAAACCTCCTTCCTCTGCCACCCCTGATTTATGAGTTTTTAATGAGCGGCAACTTTACACGAATTGTTAACAAGTTGGAGTCGGTGGAGTAAGGCGAAAATATCGCAAGTAAAGCGAGCAATCGCACCTTGACATTCGAGTCGTGCGAAATGTCAGATGAAGATGCACCAATGATACGGTCAATGGGCGTTGGAATGCTCGATACCCTAACTGCGGCCAAATTATGCCGAGTCATGAGTGCACTTGGAAAAGAAAACTAATTTTTAATTGCGATAATTGTGGTAAGCAATCAAAAAGTTACAGTCGATGTATTTAAGACAGGGTTGAATTTGAATTTGAATAATTTGAAACTCTTATCGAAATACACCGATAAAGATCTTAATTAGGTGTGTAAACACTGTCCTGCCACGTTTCAATAAAGCTAATTAGTTACAAACGAAAAATAAACCAAAAATAATGGCCGAGTATTCTGTGGAACGCATAGAGGATAAAAGGATTGAGAATGGCAAGACGGAATACTACCTGAAATGGAAGGGATATCCGCGCACTGCGAACACTTGGGAGTCCGTGGAGGATCTTCAGTGTCCGGACTTGATTGCCAGCTTTGAGAAGTCGCTGATAAAGAACAAAAAGGAGTCCATGCAGCGTCTATCCTCCGCATTGGACTCACATGGCTCCGCTGGCAGCAAACGCCAGAAATTGCAGGAGGAGGACGACGAAAATCGAACAGGCTTTAAGCACGGCCTGCAGCCCTCGAAGATCCTGGGCGCCACCAACTCGTCCGGTCAACTGATGTTCCTGATGAAGTGGGTGGGCACTGAACACGCGGATCTAGTGCTAGCCAAGCAGGCCAACGTAATCTGTCCCCAGGTCGTCATCAAGTTCTACGAGGAGAACCTCTTCTTGTACAGGTGTGCCGAGGAATTGAAAGATAAAAACTAATGCGATATCAAAAGTGTAAACGCACAACATTAAATATAAAATGCAAAATCATTGTGGTTCTTAAATTTTGTGTTCCACTTCCAATGTTTCACTGTGAACTCAAAGCTATCGATAAGTGACAGCGTTTATCAGCGCTATTCCATATTCTGCTTTAAATTTTCCACATTTTCTGGTTTCTTTTACTTCTGCTGACTGTTCAGCAACATCGAAAATAATGTGAATAAAATATGTATTGAAAGTACCAATTTTATGGGCCAAATCTTAAATTTGATGTCCCATTTCCATTGCTCTAACTTGGGTTGCAGCTTTTATTAAGGGTATTCCATCTTCTCCTTCAAAATGTTAACAATTTCTGGTTTCTGTTGTCGCCGGTGATTGATTATGCATTTTCATGCGAACTGGTTGCTACTTCTGCAGTTTGGTGGCATGCGGGCAGGTGAATAAGTGAGTTTATCCCAGACCAGCCCCGCCCCCACCCTCCTCCCGCTCTGAGCTTGTTGTTGGAGACAGGCCGGCGGCATTGTCTGCCAGGCGCGAAATTGTACATGTATGTATACACTGACCGAAAAGCATATTAAGCATGTGTTACAAATTCTTATACCTGAATATGTACACAATCAAATCTTTGAATCATTAATGTACTAAGATTTTTAATGTACTAAAATAAAACCTTTTGGTTTTAATAAAATGTCAAAATTTGTCCCTGTGTACTTAATGCTGTCAGTGACCTTCACATCGTGGCGATGGAAAACCTGCAATTAGAAAAAATGCTAAGCCGCAGGATCAGACCCAACTCACAGGTTCCATTTTGTAGGCGCCGCAAGATTTATGCAGTAAGCTTTTATAAAAAGGGTTAAACAGGCGACGCACCTTCTTTGCCGAGACTGAGATTTTTTGACATTGAAAAAGTATAATTAATTGATGGGCCCACCAGCAGGTGGGCGTGGCCAGGGACAGATTAAATCGGTTTATGCGAGATTTATGACAATAAACCACAAGAAAGGGAAATAAAAATCCAAAAATAGGGCGCCGCCTGCAATTTGGAAATCAATCAAAGCCCAATTGCCACTCACACCACATGCAAAGCAAAATCACAAATAAAATACACAAGTAAACACGAAAATTCCCAACTACTGTCGATTGCATCGATGACGCGTCAGCATCCGGTCGCAATCTTTATGGGTGTGTTCACACTACCCCATCTCCACATTTCTCAGCTGTTGCACAAAAGGTTTGCTTTGTGAGAAACCCATTTTTCAAGCTATCAGCATTTATTTTTAATAAAGATGCCATCATTAATTTTGTGCCTGTGTTTGTTTTCGTGTAGAATGTTTTTCGGACGATCGGGCAAAAATGTGTCACTCGCTTCTTTGACTTTGATTTAGTGGCTAGACAGGTTAAAACCAGATGAGATCATCCACAGCGAGGGAAAGAGATGGCAACAGCGGCAGTGACGTTGATGATAGCGTTGACAGCCGCCGCATCAGAGCGAGATGGCAACAACGGAGGTGGGGGCAAGAGTAAGAGCCAGTTTCTCGTTTCGCAGATCAAGAGATTCAACGAATTTTTCGGCCTTTCGGCTAAGTCTTATAAACCCCAAGTGACCGGCGGTTGTTTGGCCTTCATTCAAAAATTATTTGACATTGTACAAATATTTTGAAAAGATCTACGGACATTCATGCGTAGATCTCATGTCAACTGTGCCGTTAGTTGGAATTAGGTAGAGTTGTATGTTTTTGGATGGATCGCTAAGCAATAGCAATTTTTCAATGGAAAAAATAACGAGATTTTGTTAATTTTTGAAAAAAGTTTAGACTTGGTATACATACATAATTTCTAATTTAGTCTAATTATAAATAAAGTATTTTTCTTCAGGTTGACTTTGTAAGCTAGGATTCTTGCGATTTTTAACAAAATTTAATGTTTTTTGATCTCTTGTATTTCTTAGTTCACATTTTCCGTTAATTACCCTTTTAAAATTCAATTCCGTTCGTTCCAAAAGCTTAATTTTCGGTCATCGCCAAGTTGGGCTATCGGCCAATTACCATCTCTAAGTGCGATGCAATAAAAAAAGCCGACAATTACAATTACAATTACAAAGCAGAAAGAAAGCCATTAAGAGCATCTGTGATTGGAGCGTCTTCGAATTGCTGTAGCTCGCGATAATTTGGAAATTTAAAATACGAGCTGCCGCATTGCATTTCGTGATTTCCAATCGCGGGGCTAGGGAAACAAGAAACCGCATTTGCCATATTTATCACGCACATATATCAGCTTGTCAGCCAAAGGGAGCTGCCCAGGAAATCGCAGTCGGGGAGTCAACACAAGAGCAAGTAGAAACCCGAACTCGAACCCGAATCCACCAAATTACGCTCATTTCGCGGCCACATAAATGTATCGGGCATCACAGAACATAAACATAAGGCGCAGGAAACTGGGGGCCAGCTTTAATTAAGTGATCATGAACATGGGCAAACACAAATCGCCAAAGGCCGGCGGACTTGGATCTGCAAACGGGCAGAACAAGATTAGAAGCGCCTGGCTGCCGAGCTTCAAATGTCGTTAGAACGGAGCAAATCTTTCTGGACCCGAGCCAATTCCCTTTATGGCCAAGTCAGCAAACAAGACGCCAAATCCCCGGACTTCAAGACCAAAACTTCCTCCTCCTGCAAACTGCAAACTGCAAACGGCAAAGCGCAAGTAATTTGGCTCAGAGTGTGTATTTTATTTAAGCGTTTATTAGCTGATAAACCGAAATAGATAAATCGCCTGGTGCAATCCTTGCCTGCCTTTTTACCTTTAGCCCGTTGAAGGTTTTATGGGCAGCCAAGGGCGCTGTTTTCCAGTTTCCACTCGCAGATAGATAATGGCAAATATTTTTACACACGTTGAAACATTCACGCCGGCTTAAGAAAGTTGTTTGCTCACGCCCATCTGCAGCTACAGTGGAACTTCTGTAAGTCGAAAAGAATGTTGGCATCTCAATATTGGTATCTAACTATCATATATGTTAAATTCATTTTTTCTACTCATATTTGAAAAAGTAAAGTAAATATTTAGGCATTATTTCGAAATGAACTTTATAGGTCAAAGTTTTATTAAATTCAAACAAAAAAATATTACATTTTTTGAATGGAAACAATTTATAAACTTCTAAAATGAAAAAATGTAGAAACATTTCTTAAAAAATATGCATATACATATGTGCAGAACTACTGGTGATATATACAATATTTCTGGATCTTGAAATATTATTATATATCAAAGTAAAATGTTGAGTTATTACCATCTTAATCTTAACTGAACATTTTTGGCCAGGAACAGACGAACGCCTTTTTCCCAGACACTTCCGTCTCCAGCAGTCTTATGTCATAATCATGAGAGCGCCCACCTACCATATAAAGATGGTATCGGACTTCACACAAAATTATTACGTTATCCCAAAAACCCCGTCGCCTGGGGAAACGCAATTTTCAGTCATTCTACCCAATTAACACCGAGTCCATGCCCGTTTTTCGTTTTTCTCGTTACCAAGCCCAAAGTCCAATGAAAATCAGTCGCCGGTTGAAAACTGAAAACTAAAAACTGAAAGTGGAAAATGAATGCGTGAGAAAATCGCCAACAGGTAGCGAACAATGAATATTGCCGGGCATTAAACATTTTCTGTTTCGCCAAAGGTGTTCGGGCATTATTTTTTATGCCGGTCCCGTTGTTGGATAAGTTTTCAGGGAAAGGCAAAGGAAGCGATAAGCCTAAGCCTGAGACTTGGGACTCGTACTCGTGTTTGCGCATAAATTTCAAGTGTCATTTACCCGTCTTCGCATTTGTCTTTTGTTTCTCCTTTATTGTTTTGTTATTTTTTGGCACCTGTCCGAGATGACCAGGCCAATTGTGTTTTGTTTGTGCGTGCCCAACATTTTAAAGTTAATTATTTTTGTTTGTTTTTCGGCCTGAGCCGAAAAGCGCCTTACCTATCCCATAAGTGGCCATTCTCTCGGGTGGCCTTAATTGTATTTATTTTTTTGTTACTTAACATGCTTTTAATTGATTTTTCAATGGTTTTTAATGTGCGATTTTTTCTCTTTGTTCTCTTTGCAGCAAAAATGAAAATATTTTTGCCACTAGTCACGTGGATAGTGCTACTACTCTCGAGTGCAGTAAGTACCCCATAAATATTGTTCATTATTAAGCTAATTAGTGTTAAGTTGACGGGGTTAAACCTGAATATCGATGGGATTAGATCAGAGGTTGCTTTTGGCAGTTAGCGCAGGGGTCATAATTAATTTATGGGTTCTCGAAAGGCACAAACAAAGAGCCTTTCACGCCTCACCGTTCAAAAGAAGAGAAATATGATTAAATTTATGAGCTGCCACCTCATTATGAAACAAATTTCTGATCAAATACACCCAGAAAGATCCCAGAAGTGAAAGAACCTCAATGATTTACAAATGCGTTGCTTTGAAATGAAATAATACAGAATCGGAAAGCGAAGACAGGGAACAAATTATAACGATGGAACCTTTGATGACCTAACGGTATCTGGCCGGGTCTCATGCAAATGAGCCATAAAAAGAAATTACTGCAAAATGACTCGGGCATAGGTTTAACATATTTATTAAAGCTAACAACTAGCTGTGAAATCTGCAAGATAGTGAGAGGAAACGGTGATACTGGGCAAATATTTTGGCAGTCGGTGAAGAATATTAGAATTTCAAACCTAACCAAACAAAAAAAAGATGAAAGAGTCACTAGTAATGATAGGGCCGGCGGAAGAGCAGAATCACCGCGGTCAACGACTGGCCGAGCAACCGAACCGATCCGAGCCGAAGCAAACCAAACTGAGCCTATCGATGGAAGAAAGCCAAGAAAACGTAATGAATAAAAATAGCCGCATTAGCTGTAAAAACGCTTTGATAGTCATCGATTTATGCAGTCGGCGAGAGAGGGGAAAAGAGGGCGGGTGTCCGGTGTGAATGAGGAGGGAACTGCGACGACCAAGGGGCTTTGAGAAATTGGCCAAGAGAGTTCTCCGCTAAGCCGAAAGCCAAGTTCATTGACTCCTCTCTCCCGTTTGTGGTTTTCTTTTGCGACACTCTGTCAATCTTTGGTTTCATGGCGGTATTCTTTTATGGATTTGCTTTGTGCCTTGGAACTCGATTAATGCGAGGCAGTCATAATTCATTTGATTAGCTAGATGTGATCATAATTAATTGTGAGTTTTGGTGAATTTTTTTTTGCGCCAAAGAAAAGACTCAGGCAACGAACTTGCTGGTTACCGAAAGGTTTTGTTGATTTAATATCAATATTTGTAAATGGCTGGCGAAAGTTCAGGTAGATTTGATGAACTTTACTTTCATGGCCACTCCTTATTTGCAAATAAAAATGTTTAAATATTAACATATTTGGTTTTTTGTAAATAATAAATCTCGGAAAAATACTTTAGAAGTGGATAAATAAAATACTATGTTTTTCTTAGGCTTTGTTTTAAACACTAACTCAAAATTAATGAGAATTTTAACAAGCAAATTAAATAGATGCCCTAAATGTTGGTCAACTAGTAATATTAGTTTGTTTAAGTTTATTTTAACTAAGTTTTTGCAAAATAAAGCAGAGTTAATGCCCATCGACAGTTATAACGGATATGCACTTGAGCGTTGACGTGCAACGTCGTCATCTGTCTGCCGTTGTCATTGCGCCTGTTAACAAGCTTGGCTACGAAAAATTGCGCATTGTAGTCGCTGGCTGGCACGCCGCTCAATGTCATGGGAGCTTTCAGCAGTCGCATCATCATCATCATCGTCGTCGACGTCGTCGTCGTCGTCATCATGAGTAGAGGAGGAGGAGGCATCAGTAGCATCAGCATCCACATCGGCTTCGTACATCTTTGCTCGCACGCCTTTAATTATTGCATCGCCGTTTGTTCCATAGTATTGCCGCCTCAGTTGAGTGCATGTGGTGCTCATTGTGCCGCCTGTCAATTGATAAAAGTCGCAGAGACGGCGAAATCTATTGTTTAGCAAGGCCGTTAGCGTTGCATGGCGTGAAGTGGGCACAAAGCACACACCGCAAAAGCAATTGAAACTCCAAAGGCCCATAGAACTTGGGGGAGCCCATGCGGGTGCTACTCCTCGTCTTCCTCCCGATAAGAATCTGCCTAAAACAATTCGCGGCTAAACTTGAACTTGACAGCCAGTGCCTCATGTTCACACCTTCCACGGCAGGGTCGTAGAGCAATTTAAGCCGCCTTTTTTTGTTGTTGTTGTGGCCTCCCTACCTCATTAGACGCCCACAAGAAAAGGCAAAAAAATTCGCCGTAAATGAGGGAACTTGGTAAATTATCTGTGCTTCTTGCTGAGGGTTCCTCTTAATTGAGACACTGAACTCTGCAATGAATTAATGGTATAAAAAGAGGGTTTAGTGTATTGTATATAAAAAAAAAATATTTTTTTATGATAAAATATAATAAAAAGCAAGCAATATACGAGTAGTATAAAATTTATCGCTAGAAAGGCTTTAATAATCTTAAAATTGTATCCCATAAATCAACACAAATCTATAAAATGTTAGTAATAAAGTCTTTAAAACCAGCCATTTTAACATGGTCTAAACAGTAAAATCCCCTACAACGAGAAATAAAGCATAAAAATGTGCAGATCTTTGTTGCCCAACAGTAATAATTAAAAGAAACGTTCACGTACTTGAGGCATTCGATTCTGTTATTTATTGAAGAAACTACTAGCAACTCACCTTTATCTTGTTTTACAAATATTTAAGCCGTTTCCAAATCTGATCTAACCACTTAATAACTATATTTGAACGTAGGAAGTCAAATTGAGCAGGCTACAAAAATAGAAGTACAATCGTATATGTATAACAACGGCAATGCGACAATACGTATACATGTATAGAAACTTGTTTTAATTCATTTTTGCTGGAGCACAAAAAGGTCTTAAGTGACAAACTTGTTTCCCAGTCAGCTATCTAATGCTGGCAAAACAGAAACACAAACACAAACACTTGAGCCACCAGCCAGTCGCCAGAGTTTTGGCCAAGAAAATATGGCAAGCGGCGAACAACTTTTGTTTTGCTAAAAGTAAAATCAGCCAAGTGTAACAATTAAGTGGCGGCGGAACAACAAAAACGGCCACAGTATAGTGGAGAATGGGCCTGCTGGGCTGGTGTGTCTATATCTATATAGTCGTACCCATATGGACCACATCGGGTTGAGAAATCTGAAGAAGCGCTGCCGGTGCTACGCCTGCTAAGCTTGCTGTATCTAATTTGAATTTAAATTAGTTTAGCGAAACCAGCTGGATCCCCCTAAATACTATGATCAACGAACTGAGGTTTCAGCGAAGGTTGGCATGAGGAAAAGGCTCAACCCTTTGTTATTTGAAATACGTTACATGTACTAAGAACATGATGTACCACTAAAACTTTTATTTTCTCATAAAAATACTTTTTATTGGTAGCAGGGCTTATTCAAAGCTTTTTGTTCGCATTGAGTCTTCATATTTATATGTGATTGAAGGATTATATTATGAAATTGTTATGTGCTAGGCACTTTTTCACGTTATTCCATTTACTGAATTCCTTTAAATATATTTGAAAAGAATTGCAATGTCTGTTAATGGCGCTGACTGTCTATGAGGGCGTTTTAAACTTTCTTGTTTTATGACGTGCAATAAACTAATTCAATTTTATTGTGTGCTTGCAGGTACATTCACAATATTCACAACAACCGCAACCATTCAAGACGAACTTGAGGGCGAATAGTCGGTTTCGCGGCGAGGTCTTCTACCTGAACCTCGAGAATGGCTACTTTGGCTGCCAAGTCAACGAGTCCACCGAATATTTGCAGCTATTCAACCTATCGAAACTATGCGACGGCACCCAAGATTGTTTTCTGGGTGCCGATGAGCTGAGCAAAGAGCTCAAATGCACAAGTGAGTATCTAAGAGCGAATCTCGCTTGAAAGCTTAATGGGTTTGTCTAACGCCTGATCGTGTTTTTTTTTTTCCAATGATGCAGATGACTGTGATAAGGATGGCACCCAGTGCACACATGGCGCGTGTTTGAACGGCGTCTGCCATTGCAATGACGGCTACGGCGGTTGCAATTGCGTGGACAAAGGTGAGTCTGATTGTGTCTAGTCCTAGCTTACATAACCGTTAAAACCCCCCCTCCCCAAATTCCCGCCCGCAGATGAGAACGAATGCAAACAGCGGCCGTGCGACGTGTTCGCCCATTGCACAAACACACTGGGCAGCTTTACGTGTACCTGCTTTCCGGGCTATCGCGGCAATGGCTTCCATTGTGAAGGTAAGTTATACACAGAAACATAACTCTTTTAATTTAATATCAAACCAAACTATCTATCTCACACAAAAGGTTTAAGGCATATAAATCAACCAGATTTTTGTGTGTGTGTCTGCTTGTCCACAATTGAATTCCCTTGAATATATTCATATCATTTTAAAGACTAAATTTATATTCCACAAATTAAAGATGCATTTGAATTATCCGATTTTCATCCAGTTTTTGAATTGAATATCTACATAGTTTTAGCTTAAGAAGTTCTAGATTGGGATGCCCAATATATATTAAGTATATTTTTTCCTGTGTACCCTTAGTACACAGCCTCCGTCTTAGTTTCATTGTGTTAGTTAGCATAATGACTGACCAGTCAACCAGCCATTGTACAGATGATTGTTGTTTGCCGTTTTGTACTTCCGTCAACGTCTCTTTTTAGCCCAGACTTGGGTCGTTTTTGTTGTTTGGCCTAACGGTTTGTGCCATTCCCAGTCATAAGACGTCTCAAGTGCCCAGCCTCCAATGCTGAAAATGTAACAAAAGACGCGCCAGACAATAATATGAAAGCTTTCTCAGCCAGAATAGAGTAATACTTATTTGCGAGGTAATAATAATGACCGTGTAGCGATTACACTTGAGTGCTTTGTGGCAAGGCTGTGGAGCAGATTAGAGAGCCACGGGCTGCAAATCTAATCCCAAGTTGAAGTTTCTAGAGGCCTGGCCAAACGAATTCCGAAATATCTCAATCAGTTTCCGTCCGATCTGCTACAGTTTCGATCATGGGGTCGGTTCCATTTGCTCGTTAGCCTAAGTGCCGCACAGCAGGGGCCCGAAAAGCCACAAGATAGAACTCTCCGGGATCTGGCGCACCTGTTTCCCCATATGGGCGACGGCGACTACGAGTTGGAGTTTGAGTGTAGAGTATACGACAGTGAGAAACCGGCTGCCGTAATTGGACTGCGGCTAATGTTACGTAATAAAAACACATGATGGCATCACAAAAACCAAAGAAGAACGATTCGAAGTGCAGCAATAATAACTAGAAAAGTGTACGAATAGGTTATATCTTTCGTTCCCCCGCCACATATTCGAACCCAAGTAGTTCAGTCCGAGAGCCCATTTTCAATAGGAGATGATGATGGCGGTGATAATGGTTGGATGGCTGGATCGGGGAAACCGAACAATAAAAAAGCCACGGCATTTGTGGCAATGCTTTCTCGCCATGCAACCCATCGTGGCTGGCTGTCTGTCTGTTAGACGGGGAATCAGTGTCATGTAATCTGACCCCGAACATGGACACGCCAGAACTTTCAACACTCCTCCTCCCAGCGGATGGATAACGAAGGGGGAGAAAAGCCCCTGCCTGCCACGCCCCACCTGCATTCGATGCAATGCGATAACGAGCGCAAATTTCACAGACACCCTGACATTACCCCACTAAGTATGAAGACGTTGCCAAGATTCTAGATTACATGTGACGACTGATGTGGAGGAGCCAGCCCACAGAGAGTCCCAATCCCAATCCAAGTCTCAGCCAGCGGCAGGCATGCATAAATTCCGAGCAGCGACGTGTAACGACGGCATCGCATTTCAGTCGCATTATCTAATTCTTTTCTATAGAACTTTTCTCGCATATTATTCACGATGGCATGATTGCGCCCGCCACATTGCATTGGGGACAGGGCCCTTCTCTAGACCCAGAACTAATGCTAGAACCAGACCCCAAAGCAACCGAACAGAACAGAACCCCCAATTGTCTGTAATCATCTGAATTAGTTTTAAATGCGCTGAGAAAGTTTTAGTCGCCATCCATCTGCACATGTGCGTGGAATAGTTGAATCTTCATCAGGAGCACGCACTCCGTTTCCCATAGCGAATGCTCTTAAATACACAATTAAATGTAGGCAGTACCAGTAGCTGATTGCATAGTTCTATGATATAGATAGTGCATCAGATTGCATAAGCATGCGTTATTTTAATAGCCTATAGTATTTTAGTTTGTAATTGTACCCCTTTGCATATGAAAGAGTGAAATTAATATGAATGTGTGCCATTAAATTTGTGAGATACATGTCTTGATAAGAGAAAGACTATCACAAGCTATAATCTGATAAGTTACCAGAAATAAATAAATAATAATATTGGATGTTTGTTAGTTTTTAAAAAATGAATTGCTTTTTGGAAGATTTCTAAACAATATATTGGATTTACAAAATTTCTTTTATTTAGCACTTGATTCTGCCTTCTAAGAAAACCCATTACGACCAGAATTAAACCGACTTTCCCAGCAATAAAATAAAACAAATTTAAAAGTTCCTAAACTTTATGTAGAATTTATAAAAATTTATTTTTTTACACTCTATTTTTCCGCCTATAAAAAATATCATATTACGAGTAGAAATAAACCGTCTTTTCCAGCAATAAAAGTAATTAAAGGTGAGACTTAATTCTTCTGTAAAATATATTTCCGCCAAGAGCAGGTAGGACTTGCAATCATCCTGCAACTCGCAGGTTTTTCATAAGATTTGAGGTGTCCCCCAGCGTTATGTAAATCCAGTTTCTGCATCAAGTTCACCCAATAAACTTAGCAACAAATCACACTGCTCTTGGCCTGACAAACCCACTCTTCGCCGGTTCAGAGACACATTTTTTGTGTGCTGCAGTGTGTGTGTGTGCGAGTGTTTGGCCAAAAGGTAGATCTACCTGTTTTCCTGTTTCGCATTTGGCCATTTTTTTTTTTCTTTTTTCCTTTTTATGCATCTAACGGTGTTTTGTGGCAACACCTGTTTCAGACTCTGTGGCGCATTATTTCATGTTCATAACTCAAACGCGTTCGATAGCAATGACGATGGCGATGGCGATGGCTTCGTTAACGCATCGCATAGCATAGCATCGGAAAAGTCCAGTTATGCAATGACTATTGAAAAATGAAATATACTCACGCAGAGAGAGAGTGGGTCCATAGCCATCGATCCTTCTAATGCATTGCCATGCAATAAATGGAGTCAGCCTCTCGAGCTGAGTGCTAAAATTTATTTCCACTTGGTCAGCGCCAAAAGACAACAAGGCGCAAATACAGCAATAAGTTGGATCGACTGGTCCGCTCCAGCTCCTAACCAGGCACGTTCACCAACGGCGGCTGCTCCCTTTCGTTTCGCTAACTGGGGCAGATCATTAAAACGGATAAAATAGATTGTGCCCACGTAGCAACGCCGTCACAGTCTCAGCTCACTCCTCAGTTCTTCGGTTTTGGGGTTCGGGGTTTGGGGTCTCGAGATTCAAGATTTTCGAGGCGGTAGCGTTGTCGGCGCTTAATGCCGCCTGTCCTCAAAAGCCGCAAACGGCACTGCCTCCATCTCCATCTCCAGCTGCAGCTCCAACAACAGCTCCATCTCCGTCGCCATCTCCTTGTCCCGCTCCCAAGCCGAAACCGAAACCAAAGCCAAAACCGACACCAACTTCAATCCGCCGACTTGGGTCGGGCAACGCACCAGTTGGAGATCAACGTCAGTTGATAAGCATTGCCAGTTTTTCGTTCCGTTTTTTTTAAATACCCTTTCTGGAGGGTATTAAGATTTGAGCTTGAATGATCTATAGACCATGAGAATTGATACCTTTCAGTCGGAGATTATAAAGTGGTGTCTTTGAGACAATATTTATCTGCTTTTATTGTAAGCCCTTTGTAAAGACGTGTGAATAATAATATAGATATGTATTTTAAAAATATGGCTTTGAGATATATATTATTCTAATAATGATATTTTTAAAAAGTAATAAGTTATTTTTTAAAGCTAACACCAAACTACCTTTAGGGTAATTTCAACTTCGGCCTCCCATGCTAGCATGTTCCTGGCTTGTTTTTATTTTTGGTCAGAATATATACACCTCGATCCGTTGCTGTGGCTTCTTAGTTTAGGCCTCTTTGTAGAGCATTTTCTTTTTTATTGTTTTGCCAAGTACTTTGCACTTTTTGCATATCAAAATGGCAGCAATTAATTCTCATGTCGAAGCCGGCGCTGATAAGGCATGAAAATGGCTTTAAGCGTCGGCATTGACACGCCTAATTATACGCGCGTGTGTTGCCACATTTACGCACAAATGAGGGGCGGCATCGGAAAGAAAAGCCACCCATGGCTTTGGCTATGGCTTTGGCTTTACCAGTTTAGTGGCCCGGATCCGGCTGACATCACTTGCTGCGGACCGACCTTGATCTTAGAGCATACTTAGTCGCATGGAAAAACTTGACGCATAATTGCGTAACAAATTGTTAACTTATTTTACTTTTCTTTATTACTCTACTACCTTGTTTACCACAAGTTATGTATATTTTAGCTTGAGTTCAAGTTCAACTGTAAGACATTTTTGACTCTGGGTGGGTTTATTGTTATTTATTCGAGCTGCTAATCATTGGCCGGCAGTGGAGCATGAAAGTCATGTCCGCTCGTAAATATTATCTCTTCTATATGGCACGAATGTCATAATTCAAATTGTTTTGCTCACTCAGGCAGCTACGAAAAAAAAATAAACAAATGCAACAAATGCAGCCAATGCTAATTAGTCCAACAATTACACAATTTATTAGATAGACGCCAACCAGACTAGACTGCTCATGCATAGATTAGTCTTTGGCTTTTGTTGATTTTTGCAATAGTCTGATTGGTGATTAGTTTTAATTGGAGCAGTGCAAAGGTATGATTGGCAAATGAAAAGTTAAGTAATATTTAAATAACCACTAAATTAGAGATAATTTTCTTGCAGACAGGAAACATGAAATTCATCAGGCGAAACAGAAATTAGGCTTTGCCACGAAACAAAAGTATCGCAGGCATTAGAAGCTTAGAAATATATAGATATAATAATGTTCTAAGCATTCCCCCTTTTTTACTGCATTCGTGCGAGTGTGTGGTTTTAATGACCAGATCACCGCCTTTTAAAATGCCACTTGGAACAAGTCTCGTTCTGACGATTATGGTTAGCATTTAGAGGCGAACAGGAAACCCAAGAAGACGACCCTGCTTAAGGCGGCCAACAACGAGAATTATGTCAGCATCATTTCAGGCAATCATTCGGCTTAATCACGTCAAGTCACGCATATTTGATTGCTTTTAAAGCGGTCAAATCCGATAGCTAGGGGTAAAAAGAACGCCTACTAGCTTTGCCAAAATAGAACTACGATTGGCGAGAGCTAGAAAAACTTAATCTGAGTGAAGGCAAAAATTAAATTTACACTTCTTAGCCGAGTAACTGGCAGTCCAACGGACCTTGAGAATATCATTCCTGGCAGAAGATGCAACGGCCGTGCTAAGTTCATTAGACAGCCTTTGGTCAATGGCCCGATCCAAACCGATCCGATCCGATCCCTGGTCAGCTGTCGTCTTGCAGTCGGATTGCATAAAGTAATTAAACTGACATTGAAACTTAGAAGAACACAGAATGCTTCCTGCTTCTGCAAGAAGAACTCTCTGCTGGGCTGCCAGTGCCACTGCCATTTGGCCAAGACCACGTCTGGATGGCTGAGAGTGAGTCGACGAGGATGATGACATTGAGTAATCAGAGTTTGCAATTGCAACAACCAACCGGCCAAACATGGAATGCTGTCATATCAGTCGGTTGTTAAGAGCAAATACCAGTTTCGGCATCGCCGCCGCTGCCGAGTGATGATCCTCTTAATTTATAAGCTAAAAACTAGTAATTATAACTGAACGGGGCCGACTCGTTCTGCTTGTAATTATAAGGCACTCACTCCCTTTTAGTCTAGGGTCCTTGTCTTTGGCTTTTGCCAACTTTTGTACTTATGTCATATTAGCTATAAATGTACAACTTTTGCCTGGTCGCCGGCCCAATGATTAATGGGCCCAGATTGCGATGGAGCGGCTGCCCATGCCCATGATGCCGCCTGCCCTGTCCAGTGCTGCCCTCCGCTTCCATTCCATTCCATCCCTATCCCCTACCCCATCCCTATCCCCTACCCCATCCCATCCCATCCAGCCGAATTGCCGCTCCATTGGCTGTGACCGTCTGCGATATTGAATTCTCAATGCGCTGCGCGCTATTGGAGCATAAAGCCCTGATCACCAGCTCATCCTAAGCCAGTCTTCCGCCTGAGTTGAGCTTTTAGATTCGGATTCAGAGCCAGAGATTGTGGCTAAACTGGGATTAGCTGAAAGGTTAGATGGGATTATGCAATTCAAGAATTCTTCTGAATGTATTAAACTAATGTTGGATGGCTACTTATTCGAAAAAGTCTTGCTGCTAGATTATAATTCATTTTATACAATATGAGGATTAGGCTATGGGGCTATGCTCTTGCCTTTATAATGATTACTAATTGTTTTCTGGCTAGATTTACGAATTTATTATTTATTATTATTATAAAATAAAATCTACTAAATGTAGACCAATAATTGTACTCTTATTAATCAGAATAAGCTTTAAACGTAAAAGATATATTACAAAATGATCAGCATTATAAAGTTGATTCAAAAGAGATAGGCCCTCGTCGTGAGAGTATTAAAATTCCTCAGGAATGAAATGAAATTTTTACAATATCTCCAAACTAGAGATGTATTTCGCTTGGAAATTCCGAATGGAAATGGGCTGCCCATTAACATTGACCACACTGCCAATTGGTATGCAAAGCGTATGCAACTGGTGCATCCTGTGCTGTGACATTGCAACCAGTGGCTGCCACGCCGTTGAAATGACACTGAAATGTCATGCGTAACATGCAAATCTTGGATGCATCCACATAAAGTTCCAACTCCAGCAGCGATTTTAACTCCCAGTGCGGCTGCAAAGCGAGCAAAGCGCATTCAAGCGGCAAAATGCGTAGAGCTCTAAAATGAGGCTGAGATTGGACTCTGTCCGCCTTCTGTGGGGGGGTAAATACACTTAAAAATGTAATTTCTAAAACTAATTTTTTCAAATGTAAATTTTTTTTTAAGAAACTGACGGAGAATGTATTGGCATACTTTACCATATTTGAGGTTTTTGTGGCACGCAATGTAATACAAAATATTTTGGGGGAATACGAGCACACCAAAGATCTAGCAAAATTAGGATTTATTAAAACTATTTGTTTTGTAAATCAGTTTGGAACACTTTTTCCTCTCAGTGTAAGCTCTGAGTGGAAATAAATGCACTGCGTTCGGATTTTAATTACTTGTCATTTGTTGCGTGGCACATTCGATTAATCAAAGCTCCGCTCTCTTTTTTCTTGTCCTTGCAGACATTGACGAATGCCAAGATCCCGCGATAGCAGCGCGATGCGTGGAGAACGCCGAGTGCTGCAACCTGCCGGCGCACTTCCTCTGCAAGTGCAAGGATGGCTACGAGGGCGACGGCGAGGTTCTCTGCACGGATGTGGACGAGTGCCGCAATCCGGAGAACTGCGGCCCCAACGCCCTGTGCATCAATACGCCGGGCAACTATACATGCTCCTGCCCGGAGGGATATGTGGGCAACAATCCGTTCCGGGAGGGCTGCCAGGATGTGGACGAGTGCTCGTACCCGAATGTCTGCGGACCCGGTGCCATATGTACGAATCTCGAGGGCAGTTATCGCTGCGACTGCCCGCCGGGATACGATGGCGATGGACGCTCGGATTCGGGCTGCGTGGACCAGGATGAGTGCGCCCGGTCGCCATGCGGCCGCAATGCGGACTGTTTGAACACGGACGGCAGCTTCCGCTGCCTGTGTCCGGACGGATACAGCGGTGATCCCATGCACGGCTGCGAGGGTGAGTACAGCAGGGTCTAGAGAATGGCAAAATTAGATTATCTCATCGTTTGACATTGTTACATTTTGGTTATTTTATGCACTCGTTCTTTTGAATTTGAATTGGCGGCACCCTCAACATACGAACAAACATCACACACACCTACATTATTATTAAACTCGTACATTAATGCACCGCAAAATGCAACAACATTAATACAAAAATTAATGCCTAACGCCGGCCGCAGATGTCGATGAATGCGCCACTAACAATCCATGCGGTTTGGGTGCTGAATGCGTGAACCTGGGCGGTAGCTTCCAGTGCCGCTGTCCCCTTGGCTTTGTGTTGGAGCACGATCCGCATGCGGATCAGTTGCCCCAGAATCCCCAACAACTGGGCTACGGGCCGGGGGCGACGGACGTGGTGCCCTACCAGCGGACCTCGGGCGCCGGTCTGGCGTGCCTGGACATCGACGAGTGCAACCAGCCGGATGGGGTGGCCAAATGCGGCACCAACGCCAAGTGCATCAATTTCCCCGGCTCGTACCGCTGCCTGTGTCCGAGTGGATTCCAAGGACAGGGCTATTTGCACTGCGAGAGTTAGTATCCTGCCTGCTTTTTGCCTATGCCTGGGCTCTATTTACAGCGTCATTAGAAGGGAATTCAAAAATAATGCTAAGAAATTAGGTAGCTTGTAATACAGCAGTGCCTAAAAGTATGCAGTAAAAATAGAACTAGTAGCGAATTTTCTGACTTTCGGAATCAAAAAAATATTGTTGCATACTTTCAGACGCCGTTTTAAATAAATTTAAATGTATTCCATTTTATTTTATATTACCGAAAATGTATTAAAGCTATATTATATTTAATTACATTTCATATATATGAAGAATCTGTCAATTCAATTCAATATTCTCACGCTATTTTAAATTTTGTATGTAAAGAAAAGCCCTTTTTATATTTATACTGATCAGATCTTAGAGTTTTTCTTAAGAACTGACAATGGCGTTCAAATTAAATTCAACTGCTTATAGAGCCCAGGCATTTTAGTAGCCCACAAGGTTGGCATAGTCCTGAGTTCCTTTAGGATCTTGCCACCTTAGTGTTTGCTTCCCAACACCCGCTATATGTGCCCCTCAAGCTGTTTTGCAAGCTTCAAGCTTGGCTTATTTGCTTCCCTAGCAGATGCATGCTTTTCAGACAGCTTCCTATTTGTACCTCCGTTTAGTCCCACTTTCCTCAACTGTTCTCTGTATCTTTATCTCCCACCCAATCCCGCTCCCCCACTTCACGCTATGCTCCCTCACCTTCCATCCGATTCCGTATTGTTTTGAATACTAATTGAAATAATTATAATATATTTAACTCACCCCCCGAAACCCGCAAACGAACACGCGTGCCCCTTCTCCAATCAACCAATACATACCAACACCCCTGTCCCTGCACCGAACTGGAAATCGCGTAGACATCAACGAGTGTCAGGATAATCCGTGTGGGGAGAACGCGATCTGCACGGATACCGTTGGCAGCTTCGTGTGCACCTGCAAGCCGGACTATACCGGTGATCCGTTCCGCGGATGTGTGGATATCGATGAGTGTACCGCTCTGGACAAACCCTGCGGACAACATGCGGTATGCGAGAACGCAGTTCCCGGCTACAATTGCAAGTGCCCGCAGGGATACGACGGCAAACCCGATCCCAAGGTGGCCTGCGAACAGGTGGACGTGAATATCCTGTGCAGCAGTAACTTCGATTGTACCAACAATGCGGAGTGTATTGAGAACCAGTGCTTCTGCTTGGACGGCTTCGAACCCATCGGATCCAGTTGTGTGGACATCGATGAGTGTCGCACCCACACGGAGGTGTGTGGTCCGCATGCCCAGTGCTTGAATACCCCCGGATCCTATAGCTGTGAGTGCGAGGCCGGGTATGTGGGCAGTCCGCCAAGGATGGCCTGCAAGCAGCCGTGCGAGGATGTACGGTGTGGAGCCCATGCTTACTGCAAGCCGGATCAGAACGAAGCGTACTGTGTGTGCGAGGATGGATGGACCTACAACCCAAGCGACGTCGCCGCGGGATGTGTGGACATCGATGAGTGCGATGTGCTGCATGGACCGTTCGGAAGTTGTGGCCAGAATGCCACATGCACGAACAACGCTGGAGGATTCACGTGTGCCTGTCCTCCCGGCTTCTCGGGAGATCCGCATGCCAAGTGCGTGGATGTGGACGAGTGCCGCACGGGGGCCAGCAAATGTGGAACCGGAGCCGAGTGCGTGAATGTACCAGGTGGTGGCTACACATGCCGCTGCCCCGAGAACACCATTGCCGATCCGGATCCCAGTGTGAGATGTGTGCCCATTGTGAGCTGCACCTCCAACACGGACTGTCCCGGCAACTCCATTTGTGATGCGACCAAGCGTTGCCTGTGCCCCGAACCGAATATTGGCAACGACTGCCGTCATCCTTGCGAAGCCCTGAATTGTGGAGCACATGCCCAGTGCATGCTGGCCAACGGACAGGCGCAGTGCCTGTGTGCTCCTGGATATACGGGAAACTCAGCTCTTCCGGGTGGCTGTAATGACATCGACGAATGCCGGGCTAATCCCTGCGCGGAGAAGGCCATCTGTACCAATACAGCCGGAGGCTATCTGTGCCAGTGTCCCGGGGGATCCAATGGAGATCCATACCGCGAGGGATGCATTACCTCTAGGGTAAAGGAGGGTTGCTCCGACTCCAATCCGTGTGCGACGGGCGAGAGCTGCGTCCAAGACTCGTACACCGGCAACAGTGTGTGCATCTGCCAGCAGGGTTACGAGCGCAATCCGGAGAATGGCCAGTGCCAGGATGTGGATGAGTGCTCTGGGCAGAGGGGAGGAAAGCCTGCCTGCGGACTGAATGCTCTCTGCAAGAATCTGCCTGGTAGCTACGAGTGCCGCTGTCCCCAGGGACACACCGGGAACCCCTTCCTCATGTGCGAGGTCTGCAATACGCCGGAGTGCCAGTGTCAGGCGCCGTACAAGCTTGTGGGCAACAGCTGTGTTCTCTCGGGATGCTCAAGTGGAAAGGCCTGTCCCAGCGGAGCCGAGTGCATTTCGATTGCCGGAGGAGTCAGTTACTGCGCTTGTCCCAAGGGATATCAAACGCAGCCGGATGGAAGCTGCGCCGACGTCAACGAGTGCGAGGAACGTGGCTCCAAATTGTGCGCCTTTGGAGCAATGTGCGTGAATAAGCCAGGAAGCTACAGTTGCCATTGCCCAGAGGGATACCAAGGAGATGCCTACAACGGGCTGTGTGCCCCGGCCCAGAGGAAGTGCGCTGCCGACAAGGAGTGTGCCAGCAACGAGAAGTGCATCCAGCCGGGAGAGTGCGTGTGCCCACCACCGTACTTCCTGGACCCGCAGGACAACAACAAGTGCAAGAGCCCCTGCGAACGCTTCCCGTGCGGCATCAATGCCAAGTGTACGCCCTCGGATCCACCACAATGCATGTGCGAAGCTGGATTCAAGGGAGATCCCCTGCAGGGCTGCACGGATGAGGACGAGTGCTCGCATCTGCCATGCGCCTATCGGGCCCACTGTGTGAACAAGAAGGGTGGTTATCAGTGCGTTTGCCCCAAGGATCACACCGGAGATCCGTACAAGAGTGGCTGCATCTTCGAGAGCAGCACCGTGAAGAGCAAGTGCCTGAGCAACGATGATTGCGCCAGTAATCTGGCCTGCCTCGAGGGAACCTGCGTGAGTCCATGCAGCAGTCTCCTCTGTGGATCCAATGCCTACTGCGAGACGGAGCAGCATGCGGGCTGGTGTCGCTGCCGCGTGGGATTCGTGAAGAACGGCGACGGCGACTGTGTGTCGCAGTGCCAGGACGTGATCTGTGGCGACGGCGCCCTCTGCATTCCCACCAGCGAGGGACCCACCTGCAAGTGTCCGCAGGGACAGCTGGGCAATCCCTTCCCCGGCGGCAGCTGCTCCACGGATCAGTGCTCGGCCGCCCGGCCCTGTGGCGAGCGACAGATCTGCATCAATGGCAGGTGCAAGGAGCGCTGTGAGGGCGTGGTCTGCGGCATCGGAGCCACCTGCGACAGGAGCAACGGAAAGTGCGTCTGCGAACCGAACTTTGTGGGCAATCCCGATCTGATCTGTATGCCGCCCATTGAGCAGGCAAAGTGCTCGCCGGGATGCGGAGAGAATGCCCACTGCGAGTACGGTTTGGGTCAGAGCCGTTGTGCCTGTAACCCCGGAACCTTTGGCAATCCCTACGAGGGCTGTGGAGCGCAGAGCAAGAACGTGTGCCAGCCCAATAGTTGTGGACCCAATGCGGAGTGCCGAGCGGCGGGCAATCACATTAGCTGTCTCTGCCCGCAGGGCTTCAGTGGTAATCCCTACATCGGTTGCCAGGATGTGGACGAGTGTCTGAATAAACCATGTGGCCTCAATGCTGCCTGCCTCAATAGAGCCGGAGGATTCGAGTGCCTGTGCCTCTCGGGACATGCGGGTAATCCCTACAGCAGCTGCCAGCCCATTGAGAGCAAGTTCTGCCAGGATGCCAACAAGTGCCAGTGCAACGAGCGTGTGGAGTGTCCGGATGGGTATAGTTGCCAGGAGGGCCAGTGCAAGAACCTCTGCTCGCAGGCCTCGTGTGGCCCCAGGGCCATCTGCGATGCCGGAAAGTGCATCTGCCCCATGGGCTACATTGGAGATCCGCAGGACCAAGTGCAGGGATGCAGCATTCGTGGTCAGTGTGGCAACGATGCGGACTGCCGCCACTCGGAGATCTGCTTCCAGTTGGGCAAGGGTCTGCGCAAGTGCGTGGACGCCTGCTCCAAGATTCAGTGTGGACCGAATGCCCTTTGCGTCTCCGAGGATCATCGCTCCTCGTGCATATGCTCCGATGGATACTTTGGCAACCCAAGCAACCTGCAGGTTGGCTGTCAGCCGGAGAGAACAATCCCCGAGGAGGAGGATAAATGTAAATCTGATCAAGACTGCGAACGAGGATTTGGATGTCAGGCCAGCCCCCACGGCACTCGTGAGTGCATCAACCTGTGCTCCAATGTTGTCTGCGGACCCAACGAGCTCTGCAAGATTAATCCAGCCGGACATGCCATTTGCAATTGCGCCGAGAGCTATGTGTGGAACCCAGTGGTCTCCTCCTGCGAGAAACCTTCGCTTCCGGACTGCACCAGTGACGCCAATTGTCCCGATGCATCCGCCTGTCGTCCCGATGTCTTGGGTGTGCTCAAGTGCGTCGCAATCTGCGATGCCTTCACCTGCCCGGCCAACTCCGTTTGCGTGGCTCGTCAGCACCAGGGACGATGTGACTGTCTCTCCGGATTCGTGGGTAACCCGAACGATAGGAATGGCTGCCAGCCGGCACAGAAACACCACTGCAAAAACCATGCCGAGTGCCAGGAGTCGGAGGCCTGCATCAAGGATGAGGGCAGCCAAACCCTGGGCTGTCGTCCAGCCTGTGATACCGTCAAGTGCGGACCCCGTGCCGTTTGCGTCACCAATAACCATCAGGCACAGTGTCAGTGTCCACCTGGACCCTTTGCCGGCGATCCGTACGATCCGTTCAATGGCTGCCAGAGTGTTCCTTGTGTCTATAACCATGACTGTCCACCCAGCCAGATGTGCAACCGGATGACACACACCTGCTTCGATGTGTGCGACGAGGAGTCGTGCGGCGAGAATGCCATTTGCCTGGCCGAGGATCATCGGGCCGTTTGCCAGTGCCCACCTGGATTCAAGGGAGACCCGTTGCCGGAAGTGGCCTGCACCAAGCAAGGTGGCTGTGCGGCCGGAACCTGCCATGCCTCTGCCATTTGTGAGGTTACCCCGGAGGGACCCGTCTGCAAGTGTCCGCCGCTCTTTGTGGGGGATCCCAAGGGATCGGGCTGTCGTCCAGATGGTCAGTGTCCCAATGGAGATGCCGATTGCCCAGCGAACACAATCTGCGCTGGCGGAAGATGCCAGAATCCCTGCGACAACGCCTGCGGTTCGAATGCTGAGTGCAAGGTGGTCAACAGGAAACCCGTCTGCAGTTGTCCCTTGCGCTTCCAGCCTGTCTCCGAAACGGCCAAGGATGGATGTGCCCGCACCATATCGAACTGCCTCACCGATGTCGACTGCGGAGGAGCGTTGTGCTACAACGGACAGTGCCGCATTGCGTGCCGGGACTCGCAGGATTGCTCCGATGGCGAGAGCTGCCTGAAGAACGTCTGCGTGGTGGCCTGTCTGGATCACAGCCAGTGTGGCAGTGGACTGGCCTGCGTGGAGGGTCACTGCACCATCGGTTGTCGCAGCAACAAGGAGTGCAAGCAGGATCAGTCCTGCATCGAGAACAAGTGCCTGAACCCCTGTCAGTCGGCCAGCAGCTGTGGTCCGAATGCCCTGTGCAGCATTGCCCAGCACCGGAGCCAGTGCAGCTGTCCGGAGGGCTTCGAGGGCAACCCCACCCCGGAACAGGGATGCGTGCGAGTGCCGGCTCCCTGCTTGGCCACCAACCAGTGTCCCAATGGGCACATGTGCATCGGCAACCAGTGCAATCTGCCCTGCACCAAGACCTCCGCTTGTGCGGTTGGCGAACGATGCTATCAACAGGTGTGCCGCAAGGTGTGCTACACCAGCAACAACTGTTTGGCCGGAGAGATCTGCAACACGGACAGGACGTGCCAGCCAGGATGTGAGTCCGATGCCGACTGCCCGCCAACCGAGTTGTGTCTGACCGGAAAGTGCAAGTGCGCCACTGGCTTCATTGGCACCCCATTCGGTTGCTCCGACATTGACGAGTGCACTGAGCAGCCGTGCCATGCCAGCGCTCGGTGCGAGAACCTCCCAGGAACCTATCGATGCACATGCCCCGAAGGAACTGTCGGCGATGGCTACGGCCAGCAGGGATGCGCCCAGCCCCGACAATGCCACAAGCCCGACGACTGTGCCAACAATCTGGCCTGCATTCACGGCAAGTGCTCGGATCCCTGCCTGCAAACGGTTTGCGGGGCCAATGCCCACTGCCAGTCGGAGGGACACGAGGCGATATGCAGCTGTCCGGCTGGATTCTTGGGTGACCCCAACGATAGCGGCGTGGGTTGCTTCAAGGTGGAGTGCATCGACCATGTGGACTGTGCCGAAGATCGTGCCTGCGATGCGGAAACCAATCGTTGCATCAAACCCTGCGACCTGACCAGCTGCGGCAAGGGTAATTGCCAGGTGGCTGATCACAAGGCCATTTGTGCCTGCTACGAGGGATACCAGTTGGTCAACGGAATATGCGAGGACATCAACGAGTGCCTGTCGCAGCCGTGCCACAGCACCGCCTTCTGCAACAACTTGCCGGGCAGCTACAACTGTCAGTGCCCCGAGGGATTGATCGGAGATCCGCTGCAGGCCGGATGTCGGGACCCCAATGAGTGCCTGAGTGATGCAGACTGTCCCGCCTCGGCCAGTTGCCAGAATTCGCGATGCCGAAGTCCCTGCGAACGACAGAATGCCTGCGGCTTGAATGCCAACTGCCAGGCCCAATCGCACCAAGCTATTTGCACATGTCCCCTGAATTCTCGCGGAGATCCCACCATCGAGTGTGTGCACATTGAGTGCTCGGACAATGATGACTGCTCCGGGGAGAAGGCCTGCCTGGACGCCAAGTGCATCGATCCGTGCTCACTGCCCAATGCCTGTGGGGCTCAGGCCCGTTGCTCGGTGCAGAACCACATCGGAGTGTGCTCCTGTGAGGCGGGCAGCACCGGAGACGCCAAGTTGGGATGCGTGCAGCTGCAGTACTGCCAGCAGGATGGTCAGTGTGCCCAGGGAAGCATCTGCTCGCACGGCATCTGCAGTCCCCTGTGCAGCACCAATCGCGATTGCATCTCGGAGCAGTTGTGCCTGCAGGGAGTCTGCCAGGGCACCTGCAAGTCGAACTCCACCTGTCCGCAGTTCCAGTTCTGCTCGAACAACATTTGCACCAAGGAGCTGGAGTGCCGGGCGGATAGCGAGTGTGGCGAGGACGAGACCTGTCTGAGTGACGCCTATGGACGAGCCAGGTGTGAGCCCGTCTGCCTGGGTCGCGCTGCCTGCGGTAGGAATGCCGAGTGTGTGGCCCGTTCCCATGCCCCCGATTGCCTCTGCAAGGAGGGTTTCTTCGGGGACGCCAAGTCCGGATGCCGCAAGATCGAGTGCAACAGCGACGAGGATTGCTCGAATGACAAGAGCTGCGACAACCACATGTGCAAGATTGCCTGCCTGATCGGACAACCGTGCGGGGAGAATGCCCTCTGCACCACCGAGCACCACCAGCAGGTGTGCCACTGCCAGCCCGGATTCAGTGGCGATCCGCGGGTGCGTTGCGATGTCATCGACTTTTGCCGGGACGCTCCGTGCGGACCCGGAGCACGTTGCCGGAACGCGAGGGGGTCGTACAAGTGCACCTGTCCCCCGGGCCTCGTTGGTGATCCGTACAACGAGGGCTGCCGCAGCTCCGTCGAGTGCGAGACCAACGAGGACTGTCCCCCGCATGCCGCATGCACCAAGTCCAATGGGGTGGCCAAGTGCCGCGATGTCTGTGCCCAGCTGCAATGTGGCCCCAATGCGGAATGTATTCCGAAGGGCCATGTGGCGCAGTGTGCATGCCGCAGCGGCTACGACGGCCAACCCGCCGACCGGGTGGCCGGCTGTAAGCCGTTGCCCGTCCCCTGTCAGGTCACCGGCGACTGTCCGACCAACACCTACTGCTCGGATAGCGTCTGCAAACGTAAGTACTAACACCCACCCAGCACCAGCGGGCCTAAAACCGACTACCAGACAACGTAAATTGGCTAATCTACCTCATAACCACCTTCTTAGTACTACTTACTCACTTACAAACTAGCACTGATTTACTTACCGAAAATGTTGTGACACTGAACAGGAGTACTCTTAGTATAATCATGTATATATGATATACATATCTAGTTGTCAAAGTTAAATTGAGTATCAATTAATTTATATAATATAAAACTTTTACTTTCTATTTAAATCAGTTTTTCTCTATATATTAATTTGTAAAAGTATGTAATTTATCAGGAACTATTTACGTCAACAGTTTCCAACTAGTAATATTATTTTTACATAAAATCGTCTCAGACGTCACAACATCTGAAAAGTACTACCAATATACAACCTTGGACTGGCTTAGAGCCTACGAAATAAACCAAATGCTATATTATAATTTAGACTAACTGCAAACTAAAATGAAAATACAACAAGTTACACATATGACAACACGCCACGAACAAAACCTGACGGTTACGCCAAACGGGATTTGTATTTATTCCCTTCATAGTGCCATATTAACTCTAAAATCTTTCCTTAAACAGCTGCCTGTGTACTGGACACCGAATGTGGAGCATCGGAGGTGTGTCAAGGTGGTCAATGCTTCAATCCCTGCCTGCAGCCGCAGGCCTGTGGACAGAATGCCGAGTGCGTGATACAGAATCACTTGAAACAGTGCCATTGCCCGGAGGGCTTCACCGGCGACTCTGCCAAGGAGTGCGTGCGTGTTCCGGTGGCCTGCGATGGTGAATGTGGACCTGGCTACACCTGCCGTGACTCCATGTGCCTACCTGAGTGCCACAACGATCTGGAGTGCGCCTCCAACGAAAAGTGCCTGAAGGGCAACTGCATGCGTAAGTGATCCGACCATACAACATAGACATCACTGTGGGGTTCCTTGATCCACTTGTGACCCACTCTATTTTCATTTGATATAGTAAAGGTTTTTAATAATGCAAAGAAAAATTTGTACACTTGAATATTTTGCATGCGTGGTGTTTTCCTTTAGTCTCTTCTTATATTATTTTGTACGGATAGGTCTGTTGTTCTGTCTGTTGTTGTCTATCAGTAAGCCCTCCTAATAATTGTCTCTCATCCTCAGTGACCTGTCGTGTGGACAACGATTGCTTCCTGGGTCACGTTTGCCTGCACAACAAGTGCGTCTACGGCTGCCATGTGGACGATGACTGCAGTGCCTCCGAGTCCTGTCGCAATGACAAGTGCGTGAACCCGTGTGTGGAGAATCCCTGTGGACCGAATGCCGCCTGTTCGGTGTCCAACCACCGGGCCAGCTGCAGCTGCCTGGAGAGCATGGTGCCCAATCCAACGCCGCAGGTGGGCTGCGTCCGTTCGCCCCCCTTGGAATGTCGCGAGAATCGCGACTGTGGCAATGGATTGGCCTGCTTCGAGTCGGTTTGCCGACCCCTGTGCGCCGATGATGCCGGCTGTTTGACCAACGAGCGCTGCCAGCAGGGAGTATGCAAACCGCTTTGCCGCCACGACAACGAATGCGGTCATGGAGAGCTCTGTCTGGGTCTGAATTGTGTGCCCGGCTGCCGTTCCGATCAGGGCTGCCCCCAGGACTTGTCGTGCGTGGGTCAACAGTGCGTGGATCCATGTGCCGATCCCACTGCTTGCGGCACCAATGCCCACTGCCAGACGATCGATCACAGGAAACAATGCTCGTGCCCGGAGGGACTGGATGGCAATGCCAATGTGGCCTGCAAAGTGCCTCGCATTGCTTGTGGAAGGAACGAGGATTGTCAAACGAATCAGCTCTGCTACGCGGGAAGCTGCCAAGGAAAGTGCCGAAACGATCAGAACTGCCTGGCAGACGAGCGTTGCATGAGGGGAACCTGTAGGACCGTGTGCAACACGGATGAGGCATGTGCCCAGGGACAGATATGCGAGAATCGCATGTGCCAGACTGGTTGTCGTACCGATTTGAGTTGTGCCAGCGACGAGGCCTGCGTGAACAAGAAGTGCCAGAACCCGTGTCGCACCCCTGGTCAATGTGGCCAGTGTGCCGACTGCCTGGTGGTCAACCACGGAGTCCAATGCCAGTGCCCCGCTGCCTTCATGGGAGACGGTTTGACTGGCTGCCAACTGCCGCCGGAACGCTGCCATCCTGGCTGCGAGTGCGATGAGAACGGAGCCTATTGTGCCACCAAGTGCTCTAGAACCGAGGACTGCGCCTGCGGACAACAGTGTGCCCGAGGAAAGTGCCGGAATAAGTGCGGGCCCAAGCGTCAGTGCACGGTGGGTCAGCTCTGCGAGCGAGGCGCATGCATTGCCGGTTGCAAATCAAACGGAGATTGTGCCGCCGACCAGAGTTGTGTCAATGGAAAGTGCTCCGATCCGTGTGCGAATGACAAGGCCTGCGGAAGGAATGCCCTCTGCACCGTGTCCGAGCACCGGATGCTCTGCTACTGCCCGGATGGATACGAGGGTGAGCCCAGTAAGGAGTGCGTGCAGTTCGAGTGTCGTGTGGACACCGATTGCGACAGCAGCAAGCGCTGCGACCAAGGAAAATGCCGTAACCCGTGTCTGGAGTTCGGAGCTTGTGGCACGAACGCCCAGTGTCGGGTGGTGGGTCGCAAGGCCCAGTGCTCCTGCCCGCCGGACTTCTTTGGCAATCCGATCAGCGAATGCCGACCACTGGAGGGAGGATGCTCTAGCAAGCCCTGTGGCGAGAACTCCAAATGCACTGAGGTGCCCGGAGGCTATGAATGCGCCTGCATGGATGGATGCATTGGAGATGCTCATAAGGGATGTCTCTGCGGTGGACCGCTGGTGAACGCCTGTCAGGATCAGCCTTGTGGCTTGAACGCCGCCTGTCATGTGCTGGACAACAATCAAGCCGAGTGCTACTGCCCGGAGGACTTCCCCAATGGCGATGCCTATGTGCAATGTAAGTTTGATAGATCCTTGATGATATTTTGTAAAACTTAATTAATTCCTTCCTATGTCACACAGGTTACTTGACTCCGCCAAAACAGGATTGTCGCACCCAAGGATGTGAGGTGGGCGACTGCGTGCGCCAGGGCTATGAATATGTCTGTCAGCAGGGTAAGTGCAAAGTTTATGCTCACATTTCAAGTGTTTTAGACCAATTCGTACCGTTATTGCTAATCATGTTAACCAGCGTTCTTAAAAGTTATAGTTATTGTAATCATTAAGCGTTATCGTTGAAGTTTTTTACCCTTACCAATATAACTGGAAGTTTGTTAGTAACTGATTGAAATTGATTTTATTGTTATCATTTTCTTGGTTTAATTACATAGTTTTGAGTTGTTTAAATACAATAACTTAAACCAGCTAATTAGCTAATTCCACTAATTCAACGGCCCTCGCGGCTGCTTAGAACATTTACCCAAAGCAAAACTGATTTCAGTGTAGTGTGTGTGTTTAAAATACCAAAGCTAATACGTTATTCGTAATACACATTTTTAATTTTTTCTTAACAACCTATACACATGTGCGAAGTTCAAGGTATTCAAGTCTAATATCGATATTCCCCGCACGTACAAAAAAAACACGCTAAGAAACCAAAAAGCCACCTACACAACCAACTCCCAATGGGCAACTGAGTTGCTTTTTAAGCAGCAAACATGCCGATCAATATAATTCAGTGCACAGTTTATATTATGCAATTTTGTTTTAGTTTTTATTTGAGTTTTAATAGTTTTTAAGCACCTTATTTTACAATACACCATCAACGCATATGGAAATTCGTGGAATGTTGCTGTCGCTATCGCGGTTACCCAATCTGTGCCTATACTTCATTTTTGAAACACACATTATTTGAAAATGAAAAACAAAATAATTACGCAACAAAATTAAGTTTAGTCCTAAGCAAATTTAAAATACTCTACTAAAAATTACATTCACAATCTTGCATTTCTTACAACAAAATCTAAAGAGTTGATATTAGTTCCCATAAAGCTTGGGGCTTGCCTTATCATTTCATTCGGCTTTCATAAAGCTATGCTCAACTCAATTCTCATTGAATTCTTTCTTTAGTTACCATACAATTGGCTTTGAATAACCATCTGTATTGGCGCTCAACTATGTGGCATCCATTGCAACTTGGAAACAGTTAACGCACAGATCAGTAAACAAGTTGTTTCATCCCTATTTAACATTTAGTCTAACGACAAACGCCGCGATAGCGATATGTAGTCAGTAAAAATTGTAGCGAAAAATAAAACAACTGGTTAATCACAGAAAGTGCCAGAAAAGCGCACAAATTAGAACTGAACCAATAAATTAAAAATTATATAAAGCCACGCTTATCATAAAGACAACAATCCTCAACACATCCTTGATACTGAAAACAAAAAAATGATTAAAATCCCAACCCAAAAAATCCCATCCTTCCTCCGATTCCGCTCTGTCCACCCCTTTGTACCCCCAGTGTTATTCCCCTATCGCTCTGTCGTTTCCTATTGCTAATACCCTTTTGTTACATTTCTTAAATGAACAAAGTCTCAGATTGGGAACTGTGGACGGGGCAATTCTCACACATAGTTCACATATGCTTGAAATTAATTCGAAACCAGTTGAGGAACATAGTTATCAAGTTAAGATCCATTACAACTGTGTACAGAACGATTACCAAAACAAAAGCAACATCAACAGCTACTACTACTTTTCAATGCATCCTGAAAGTCTACTGTATAACCGAAATAAGCCCGTTTATTGTGTACAAAGCTCCTTTTATAATACATATTAAGAAAGCTCTTCCTTATCTACCACTCTACATAGATCGTCTATTGGTTAAACTCTATATGAACCAAACCCGAATTGATTTAAATTGTAACTAAATTTAACTAACATTTCAATTATTTTTGGTACATTTGACTAGTGATTAAGTTGTATATACAGAAAATTGTACATATTGTACATATATTCGTAAACGATTAAGCCACAGCTATGTGAACGATCAAACTAACAACACCAAAAGCAATCTGTAAATATAAACTAAATTTGAAAACTGTGAATTATAAATAACCCGGATCAATCAAACTAGCCACGTATATTTTTAACGAACTTTTCCAAATTGTATTTACCATCAATTTTCAAGTACTATTTCTTCTATGCATTTCTACTAAAGCCTCTTTCTACAAAGCTAATCTTGCTTTTGCCAGACTTGTACTTACACTTCCTCCTTTTCAAAAGATCTTCTTATCTCTTTCCTCTGAATCAATCACTCACTCACAAAACCAATCGCCAATAGCGTGTCTCTCGTGAGGGCAGAGCGCATGTGTTGGATGTCGTGTATTATTTGCCATAACTCAAACTGAACAAAAAATAATAAAAAAAATATATATTAGCTCGAATTTGCATTAATCCCGAGATAATTCATTGCTCAGCTAAGCCTGCCTTTAGTACAGCAACAAATTAATTGGGCAACTGGGAAAGTGCTAGGCTCTCGTGCTTTATGCTCGCTCGTAAAAATGGTAAATCATCAAGGATTGTAACTATGCTCACTTGTTCTCACTGCTACCCTCACTCGCTCACTTATACGCCAATCGATAGTCTATCGAACTCATACCAAAAAAATGACAAAAATCAAAAGCAACCAACATTATTGATAAGCATCGTTTTGGTCTGTTAATAAAAACATACAACCCTAGTTTTTGTGAGATGTTCCCTTCACAGTTCTACAATTTGAATAAGACAAACAAATAAATAATCGACTTTTGCTCTAGTTTGCTGTCTAATCTAACTGCACCAATTGACTAAATTTAGCCAATTAAGTGAAACTGCCAAAGATTTTAAGTTATTTATTTTTTTTTCGTTTACGTTACCTTTTGATTTCTTAACGCACCGTTTCTGATCTTAACTTGTTGAAAATCCCCGCTAAAATTTTCTTTTACTCTAACAATCCTCATGCACAATACCCCAAACCCTAAAATCGAGTCCACAACAATCCCACTGACACTTAATTGAACACAAAAAACCGACCCACAGCAATACACACAACCCCACAAAACACCAAGAAAATACACAAAACATTTAAGCAAAAAGAGGCCCAATTCAAAACCCACCAACCAAAAAACTGGAATTTACTCCTCATATATTGTCTTGTTTAAGTTTTCTCCTTTTGTTTTTAGAAACATTTAGCAATAAGTCTTATTCGAGTCACCCATCACTCATGTTTCTAAAATGATGTGTTTACACTGTCAAATGCAAATACCCCAATTAGCCCTTTAAATTTCCACCAGACTATCGTCTATCAAACTCAAGCCCCTACTTTGACTCGACGATTTCAATGTCGCACTTTCGTGTTTATGTTTTTCCATACCCCAAAAAAGATATATCTATTTAGTAGCGTACCGTACCGTTTATGCCACCGAATAGTTGAATGCACCCACCAACGATTAACATTTAAACAACCAAACAACTCCTGTCTATCTCTCTCTCGTTCTTCCCTGCCCTGGATGTAATGTTATAGACACCGAACAATGCTACTCAGATACGGATTGTCCCAGTGAAAAGTCATGCCTCCAAGGACACTGCAGCGATCCTTGTACAATGCGTGGCGTGTGTGGTTTAAATGCGCTGTGCAAAACTGTACTGCATCGTCCGCGCTGCTCCTGCCCCAGTTGTCACATCGGTCGGCCAGAGATCGAGTGCAAGTCCGATCCCAAGTGCCTGCCGGACGATACGGATGCCAAGACCAAGGAGCAGATTCCATGTTCCAGAGACTCGGAGTGTCCGGAGACGTTGCAGTGCGGCCAGTACGGCCAATGCACGGATCCGTGTAACAATCCGCTCTTCATCTGCGAGAGCAACAAAAAGTGCGAGACGCGACGTCACCAGCCAGTTTGCATCTGCAAGTCTGGATTCATAGTTAATGAATACGGGGAACTGACGTGCGCCCCGGATAAAAGAGAGTGCTATCGCGATGATGACTGTGCCTCGAATATGGCCTGCACGGATGGCAAGTGCCGAAACCCGTGCATTGTACCACTGGGCCGAGCCGCGATCTGTGCGGAAAACAAGTCTTGCGAGGTCCAGAACCACAAGCCCGTTTGCATTTGCATGCGCGATTGCCAGCCATCAATATCCATATGCCTGCGCGACGCCGGTTGTCCGGCTAGCCAGGCGTGCCGGAAGCTTAAGTGCATCGATCCGTGCGAGTTTGCCACGTGCGCACCCAACTCGCCATGCATTGTCGAGGATCACAAGCCGATATGTAAATTCTGCCCAGCTGGATTTATAGCCGATGCCAAGAATGGATGCCAAAAAGGTAAAGCTCCAAACGTAATCTCTATCACTCAATTCTCTGTCGAGTGAACGTGCCTTAAGTTCTGTCTCGATTATCTTTGTTTCCTGCCTTTTCACACACGCTCTCACCTTTTGCTAGCTCTGTCTTATTGTCTGTCCCCTCACAAAAAAGAAAAAAGCGATAAAGCACAAACAAATATTTCCGACGAAATATATTGACGAAAGACCTTACCATCTGTTTAATGTTTCGGGCCTTGTCAATCTGTTTCCTAGAAATTTTGTTGTAAATGTACATAGGTCTGAGAAATTAACTGCATTTAGCCGTATCAAGCTTTCGCCTTTTGATATGGTCAACTTACCTACCCAAAGCTTAGTTACAACCCAAACGTCCAAGTCAAGCGACTTTATAACCCCTCGGTCAGATGCTTTTCGCCACTAGCACAGCGTGTAAGGCTGAAGCACCTAAATGAAAAGAGTTGTCCAATCTTTGATCTGAAAATCGTTTAAAGTCACCAAAAGAAAATACCAATAACATAAAGACACAATTACAAGAAAACTCTTCTGAACATTCACACACGCTCATGCTCACAGTGATAATAATCAATTTATTAATCAAAGCCTCTTGAATACTTGTACTATGAAATCTTAACCTATGATTCTAAATAAACGGTAATAAGATGTAATACTAATGGTAAACCTAAACGAATTCAACACCAATATGTAGCTAACTAATAGTAAAGGCGTTCGTTCCTAATTTAAAATTGATTAACAGTAAAATAATAGTTTATAAAGCTTCCGATATTTGTTTACATTTGCAGCCGTATGCAAGAGAGTTAGAACGAAATATCCAACAGTATTTGTTTAGGTACGCCCCTCTGTATATATAGTGCACCTTCCCTATTGTTGTAGCCTTACACCTTCTATCCTATATTTGGTATATATTTGTAAATATTTTAACGTATTTTTTATTTTTTAAATCTTACACTTTTGTTTTGAAATATGTACAAATACTCCACTCGAAAATCTCAAAAATTATGTAAAAAACACCTAAACATGAACATTTGAAGCAGCTAAGCCAGGTGGCAACTGTACCTCAAACGATGATTGCAGTGAAGCGCACCAATGTGGATCGTCAGGTCAATGTATCGATCCCTGTCACACCTTCTGTGCTGGCGCAGTTAAGTGTGTTACATCAGCTCATAGGGTTACCATATGTATTTGCCCAGCCTCCTTTTCAAACACGACGGACTCGAACTGCATTCCAACAGAAAAATCAGTTGACATTACAACCCAAAAAATTGAAACGACTACGGACTCCGTCACTATAAAATACACTGCTATGCAACTGGCCAATCAAACTGAAATGCGAACTCGCTTTACCGATATAGAAGCTGAAAATGAAACAACAGTTTCATACACAAGTACAACCGAATCGTATAAAACGACAAAACAACTGTCAATTGATACCACTTTTACTCAACCTGCAAATGTCACTGCGTCGTCCTCTATACTTACACGAACAACTCCTGGAGAAATTACCACTATACAAACTGATCAAACAACCGTGACCGGTTTCCAAATAAATGAACTAACGACAGAATCTACAAGAGAAGTAGCAATTACAGGGTCTGTTGATAGGTCCACTCTTGGGCCATCATCATTAAGAACTACTGTCCCGACACTCACCCCTGAAGTGGCGGAACAGACAATCACATCTCTAATCGAAGAAACAACTGAAAGGGCTACTGACGGTACTAATCTTTCCACAGAGTCCACGGATGGAACTACTCTACCCCAAAGTCGCGAAACACCCACGACTTTACCACGTACAACACCCGGACGAATGACTCAACAAACGACAGAATCTACAAGAGAAGTACCAACTACAGGACCTATTGATATGTCCACTCTTGGGCCATCATCATTAAGAACTACTGTCCCGACACTCACCCCTGAAACAACCACAAACATCCCGATTGGTACAACACGTGGGCAAGTGACAGAACAGACAACCACATCTCTAATCGAAGAAACAACTGAAAGGGCTACTGACGGTACTAATCTTTCTACAGAGTCCACGGATGGAACTACTCTACCCCAAAGTCGCGAAACACCCACGACCTTACCTCCGGGTACAACACCAGGACGAATGACTCAACAAACGACAGAATCTACAAGAGAAGTACCAACTACAGGGCCTATTGATATGTCCACTCTAGGGCCATCATCATTAAGAACTACTGTCCCGACACTCACCCCTGAAACAACCACAAACATCCCGATTGGTACAACACGTGGGCAAGTGACAGAACAGACAACCACATCTCTAATCGAAGAAACAACTGAAAGGGCTACTGACGGTATTAATGTTTCTACAGAGTCCACGGATGGAACTACTCTACCCCAAAGTCGCGAAACACACCCGACATTACCTCCGGGTACGACACCCGGACAAATGACTGAACAATCGACAGAATCTACAAGAGAAGTACAAAATACAGGACCTATTGATATGTCCACTCTTGGGTCATCATCATTAGGAACTACTGTCCCGACACTCACCCCCGAAACAACCACAAACATTCCGATTGGTACAACACGTGGGCAAGTGACAGAACAGACAACCACATCTCTAATCGAAGAAACAACTGAAAGGGCTACTGACGGTACCAGTCTTTCTACAGAGTCCACGGATGCAACTACTCAACCCCAAAGTCGCGAAACACCCACGACTTTACCGCGTACGACACCCGGACAAATGACTGAACAATCGACAGAATCTACAAGAGAAGTACCAACTACAGGGTCTATTGATATGTCCACTCTTGGGCCATCATCATTAAGAACTACTGTCCCGACACTCACCCCTGAAACAACCACAAACATCCCGATTGGTACAACACGTAGGCAAGTGACAGAACAGACAACCACATCTTTAATCGAAGAAACAACTGAAAGGGCTACTGACGGTACTAATCTTTCTACAGAGCCCACTGATGGAACTAGTGTACCCCAAAGTCGCGAAACACCCACGACCTTACCTCCGGGTACAACACCCCGACGAATGACTCAACAAACGACAGAATCTACAAGAGAAGTACCAACTACAGGGCCTATTGATATGTCCACTCTTGGGCCATCATCATTAAGAACTACTGTCCCGACACTCACCCCTGAAACAACCACAAACATTCCGATTGGTACAACACGTGGGCAAGTGACAGAACAGACAACCACATCTGTAACCGAAGAAACAACTGAAAGGGCTACTGACGGTACTAATCTTTCTACAGAGTCCACGGATGGAACTACTCTACCCCAAAGTCGCGAAACACCCACGACTTTACCTCCGGGTACAACACCCGGACGAATGACTCAACAAACGACAGAATCTACAAGAGAAGTACCAACAACCACAAATATTCCGATTGGTACAACACGTGGGCAAGTGACAGAACAGACAACCACACCTCTAACCGAAGAAACAACTGAAAGGGCTACTGACGGTACTAATCTTTCTACAGAGTCCACGGGTGAAACTACTCTACCCCAAAGTCGCGAAACACCCACGTCTTTACCTCCGGGTACAACACCCGGACGAATGACTCAACAAACGACAGAATCTACAAGAGAAGTACCAACTACAGGGCCTATTGATAGGTCCACTCTTGGGCCATCATCATTAGGAACTACTGTCCCGACACTCACCCCTGAAACAATCACAAACATTCCGATTGGTACAACACGTGGGCAAGTGACAGAACAGACAACCACATCTCTAACCGAAGAAATAACTGAAAGGGCTACTGACGGTACTAATCTTTCTACTGAGTCCACGGGTGGAACTACTCTACCCCAAAGTCGCGAAACACCCACGTCTTTACCTCCGGGTACAACGCCCGGACGAATGACTCAACAAACGACAGAATCTACAAGAGAAGTACCAACTACAGGGCCTATTGATAGGTCCACTCTTGGGCCATCATCATTAGGAACTACTGTCCCGACACTCACCCCTGAAACAATCACAAACATTCCGATTGGTACAACACGTGGGCAAGTGACAGAACAGACAACCACATCTCTAACCGAAGAAACAACTGAAAGCGCTACTGACGGTATTAATGTTTCTACAGAGTCCACGGATGGAACTAGTCTACCCCAAAGTCGCGAAACACCCACGACCTTACCTCCGGGTACAACACCCCGACGAATAACTCAACAAACGACAGAATCTTCAAGAGAAGTACCAACTACAGGGCCTATTGATATGTCCACTCTTGGGCCATCATCATTAAGAACTACTGTCCCGACACTCACCCCTGAAACAACCACAAACATTCCGATTGGTACCACACGTGGGCAAGTGACAGAACAGACAACCACATCTTTAATCGAAGAAACAACTGAAAGAGCTACTGACGGTATTAAAGTTTCTACAGAGTCCACGGATGGAACTACTCTACCCCAAAGTCGCGAAACACACCCGACATTACCTCCGGGTACGACACCCGGACAAATGACTGAACAATCGACAGAATCTACAAGAGAAGTACCAACTACAGGGCCTATTGATATGTCCACTCTTGGGCCATCATCATTAAGAACTACTGTCCCGACACTCACCCCTGAAACAACCACAAACATCCCGATTGGTACAACACGTGGGCAAGTGACAGAACAGACAACCACATCTTTAATCGAAGAAACAACTGAAAGGGCTACTGATGGTACTAATCTTTCTACAGAGCCCACTGATGGAACTACTGTACCCCAAAGTCGCGAAACACCCACGACCTTACCTCCGGGTACAACACCAGAACGAATGACTCAACAAACGACAGAATCTACAAGAGAAGTACCAACTACAGGGCCTATTGATAGGTCCACTCTTGGGCCATCATCATTAGGAACTACTGTCCCGACACTCACCCCTGAAACAATCACAAACATTCCGATTGGTACAACACGTGGGCAAGTGACAGAACAGACAACTACACCTCTAACCGAAGAAACAACTGAAAGGGCTACTGACGGTACTAATCTTTCTACAGAGTCCACGGGTGGAACGACTCTACCCCAAAGTCGCGAAACACCCACGTCTTTACCTCCGGGTACAACACCCGGACGAATGACTCAACAAACGACAGAATCTACAAGAGAAGTACCAACTACAGGGCCTATTGATAGGTCCACTCTTGGGCCATCATCATTAAGAACTACTGTCCCGACACTCACCCCTGAAACAATCACAAACATTCCGATTGGTACAACACGTGGGCAAGTGACAGAACAGACAACCACATCTCTAACCGAAGAAACAACTAAAAGGGCTACTGACGGTATTAATGTTTCTACAGAGTCCACGGATGGAACTAGTCTACCCCAAAGTCGCGAAACACCCACGACCTTACCTCCGGGTACAACACCCCGACGAATGACTCAACAAACGACAGAATCTACAAGAGAAGTACCAACTACAGGGCCTATTGATATGTCCACTCTTGGGCCATCATCATTAAGAACTACTGTCCCGACACTCACCCCTGAAACAACCACAAACATTCCGATTGGTACCACACGTGGGCAAGTGACAGAACAGACAACCACATCTTTAATCGAAGAAACAACTGAAAGAGCTACTGACGGTATTAAAGTTTCTACAGAGTCCACGGATGGAACTACTCTACCCCAAAGTCGCGAAACACACCCGACATTACCTCCGGGTACGACACCCGGACAAATGACTGAACAATCGACAGAATCTACAAGAGAAGTACCAACTACAGGGCCTATTGATATGTCCACTCTTGGGCCATCATCATTAAGAACTACTGTCCCGACACTCACCCCTGAAACAACCACAAACATCCCGATTGGTACAACACGTGGGCAAGTGACAGAACAGACAACCACATCTTTAATCGAAGAAACAACTGAAAGGGCTACTGATGGTACTAATCTTTCTACAGAGCCCACTGATGGAACTACTGTACCCCAAAGTCGCGAAACACCCACGACCTTACCTCCGGGTACAACACCAGAACGAATGACTCAACAAACGACAGAATCTACAAGAGAAGTACCAACTACTGGACCTATTGATATGTCCACTCTTGGGCCATCATCATTAAGAACTACTGTCCCGACACTCACCCCTGAAACAACCACAAACATTCCGATTGGTACCACACGTGGGCAAGTGACAGAACAGACAACCACATCTTTAATCGAAGAAACAACTGAAAGGGCTACTGACGGTATTAATGTTTCTACAGAGTCCACGGATGGAACTACTCTACCCCAAAGTCGCGAAACACACCCGACATTACCTCCGGGTACGACACCCGGACAAATGACTGAACAATCGACAGAATCTACAAGAGAAGTACCAACTACAGGGCCCATTGATATGTCCACTCTTGGGCCATCATCATTAAGAACTACTGTCCCGACACTCACCCCTGAAACAACCACAAACATCCCGATTGGTACAACACGTGGGCAAGTGACAGAACAGACAACCACATCTTTAATCGAAGAAACAACTGAAAGGGCTACTGATGGTACTAATCTTTCTACAGAGCCCACTGATGGAACTACTGTACCCCAAAGTCGCGAAACACCCACGACCTTACCTCCGGGTACAACACCAGAACGAATGACTCAACAAACGACAGAATCTACAAGAGAAGTACCAACTACTGGGCCTATTGATATGTCCACTCTTGGGCCATCATCATTAAGAACTACTGTCCCGACACTCACCTCTGAAACAACCACAAACATTCCGATTGGTACAACACGTGGGCAAGTGACGGAACAGACAACCACATCTCTAATCGAAGAAACAACTGAAAGGGCTACTGACGGTACTAATCTTTCTACAGAGTCCACGGATGGAACTACACTACCCCAAAGTCGCGAAACACCCACGACCTTACCTCCGGGTACAACACCCCGACGAATGACTCAACAAACGACAGAATCTACAAGAGAAGTACCAACTACAGGGCCTATTGATAGGTCCACTCTTGGGCCATCATCATTAAAAACTATTGTCCCGACACTCACCCCTGAAACAACCACAAACATTCCGATTGGTACAACACGTGGGCAAGTGACGGAACAGACAACCACATCTCTAATCGAAGAAACAACTGAAAGGGCTTCTGACGGTACTAATCTTTCTACAGAGTCCACGGATGGAACTACACTACCCCAAAGTCGCGAAACACCCACGACCTTACCTCCGGGTACAACACCCCGACGAATGACTCAACAAACTACAGAATCTACAAGAGAAGTACCAACTACAGGCCCTATTGATATGTCCACTCCTGGGCCATCATCATTAGGAACTACTGTCCCGACACTCACCCCTGAAACAACCACAAACATTCCGATTGGTACAACACGTGGGCAAGTGACGGAACAGACAACCACATCTCTAATCGAAAAAACAACTGAAGGGGCTACTGACGGTACTAGTCTTTCTACAGAGTCCACGGATGGAACTACACTACCCCAAAGTCGCGAAACACCCACGACTTTACCTCCGGGTACAACACCCGGACGAATGACTCAACAAACGACAGAATCTACAAGAGAAGTACCAACTACAGGGCCTATTGATAGGTCCACCCTTGGGCCATCATCATTAAGAACTACTGTCCCCACACTAACCCCTGAAACAACTACAAATATTTCGATTGGTACCACACGTGGGCAAGTGACAGAACAGACAACCACATCTCTAATCGAAGAAACAACTGAAAAGGCTACTGACGGTACTAATCTTTCTACAGAGTCCACGGATGGTACTACTCTACCCCAAAGTCGCGAAACACCCACGACTTTTCCTCCGGGTACAACACCCGGACGAATGACCCAACAAACGACAGAATCTACAAGAGAAGTCCCAACTACAGGGCCTATTGATAGGTCCACTCTTGGGCCATCATCATTAAGAACTACTGTCCCGACACTCACCCCTGAAACAACCACAAACATTCCGATTGGTACAACACGTGGGCAAGTGACGGAACAGACAACCACATCTCTAATCGAAGAAACAACACCCGGACGAATGACCCAACAAACGACAGAATCTACAAGAGAAGTCCCAACTACAGGGCCTATTGATAGGTCCACTCTTGGGCCATCATCATTAAGAACTACTGTCCCGACACTCACCCCTGAAACAACCACAAACATCCCGATTGGTACAACACGTGGGCAAGTGACGGAACAGACAACCACATCTCTAATCGAAGAAACAACTGAAAGAGCTACTGACGGTACTAATCTTTCTACAGAGTCCACGGATGGTACTACTCTACCCCAAAGTCGCGAAACACCCACGACCTTACCTCCGGGTACAACACCCCGACGAATGACTCAACAAACGACAGAATCTGCAAGAGAAGAACCAACTACAGGGCCTATTGATATGTCCACTCTTGGGCCATCATCATTAAGAACTACTGTCCCGACACTCACCCCTGAAACAACCACAAACATTCCGATTGGTACCACACGTTGGCAAGTGACAGAACAGACAACCACATCTTTAATCGAAGAAACAACTGAAAGAGCTACTGACGGTATTAATGTTTCTACAGAGTCCACGGATGGACCTACTCTACCCCAAAGTCGCGAAACACACCCGACATTACCTCCGGGTACGACACCCGGACAAATGACTGAACAATCGACAGAATCTACAAGAGAAGTACCAACTACAGGGCCTATTGATATGTCCACTCTTGGGCCATCATCATTAAGAACTACTGTCCCGACACTCACCCCTGAAACAACCACAAACATCCCGATTGGTACAACACGTGGGCAAGTGACAGAACAGACAACCACATCTTTAATCGAAGACACAACTGAAAGGGCTACTGATAGTACTAATCTTTCTACAGAGCCCACTGATGGAACTACTGTACCCCAAAGTCGCGAAACACCCACGACCTTACCTCCGGGTACAACACCAGAACGAATGACTCAACAAACGACAGAATATACAAGAGAAGTACCAACTACTAGGCCTATTGATATGTCCACTCTTGGGCCATCATCATTAAGAACTACTGTCCCGACACTCACCCCTGAACCAACCACAAACATTCCGATTGGTACCACACGTGGGCAAGTGACAGAACAGACAACCAAATCTTTAATCGAAGAAACAACTGAAAGGGCTACTGACGGTACTAATCTTTCTACAGAGTCCACGGATGGAACTACACTACCCCAAAGTCGCGAAACACACCCGACATTACCTCCGGGTACGACACCCGGACAAATGACTGAACAATCGACAGAATCTACAAGAGAAGTACCAACTACAGGGCCTATTGATATGTCCACTCTTGGGCCATCATCATTAAGAACTACTGTCCCGACACTCACCCCTGAAACAACCACAAACATCCCGATTGGTACAACACGTGGGCAAGTGACAGAACAGACAACCACATCTTTAATCGAAGAAACAACTGAAAGGGCTACTGATGGTACTAATCTTTCTACAGAGCCCACTGATGGAACTACTGTACCCCAAAGTCGCGAAACACCCACGACCCTACCTCCGGGTACAACACCAGAACGAATGACTCAACAAACGACAGAATCTACAAGAGAAGTACCAACTTCTGGGCCTATTGATATGTCCACTCTTGGGCCATCATCATTAAGAACTACTGTCCCGACACTCACCTCTGAAACAACCACAAACATTCCGATTGGTACAACACGTGGGCAAGTGACGGAACAGACAACCACATCTCTAATCGAAGAAACAACTGAAAGGGCTACTGACGGTACTAATCTTTCTACAGAGTCCACGGATGGAACTACACTACCCCAAAGTCGCGAAACACCCACGACCTTACCTCCGGGTACAACACCCCGACGAATGACTCAACAAACTACAGAATCTACAAGAGAAGTACCAACTACAGGGCCTATTGATAGGTCCACTCTTGGGCCATCATCATTAAGAACTATTGTCCCGACACTCACCCCTGAAACAACCACAAACATTCCGATTGGTACAACACGTGGGCAAGTGACGGAACAGACAACCACATCTCTAATCGAAGAAACAACTGAAAGGGCTTCTGACGGTACTAATCTTTCTACAGAGTCCACGGATGGAACTACACTACCCCAAAGTCGCGAAACACCCACGACCTTACCTCCGGGTACAACACCCCGACGAATGACTCAACAAACTACAGAATCTACACGAGAAGTACCAACTACAGGCCCTGTTGATATGTCCACTCCTGGGCCATCATCATTAAGAACTACTGTCCCGACACTCACCCCTGAAACAACCACAAACATTCCGATTGGTACAACACGTGGGCAAGTGACGGAACAGACAACCACATCTCTAATCGAAGAAACAACTGAAAGAGCTACTGACGGTACTAATCTTTCTACAGAGTCCACGGATGGTACTACTCTACCCCAAAGTCGCGAAACACCCACGACCTTACCACCGGGTACAACACCCGGACGAATGACCCAACAAACGACAGAATCAACAAGAGAAGTCCCAACTGTACCAACTACAGAACCTGTTTATAGTCAAGCAGAATTGGAAACTACTGGCTCAACCACCACGGCCCAAACGACCTTTAATATTTCGATTGGTACACCTCCGAGCCCCGTGACAACTGCAGTGTCAACGGATACAACTATTCCACCAGAAGGTTTTGAAAAACCCACATCAAAAACTCATGAAACAACTACATATACACCTGTTGACCTTACTACATTTCATTACACCTTATCAGAAAAAGTTCAGCCAATCACTACTATTTTGCCTGTTTTAAACGAATCCACTCCTATATCGGTTTTGAAACCCGTTGCATCAACAACGCCTATTGCGACAGACCTTACTGTGACAGATAGCCCAACGACAGAATTTGAAAAGAACTGCAGAACAGATTACGAATGCTCAGACGACCAGACTTGCTTAGGAGGGCTGTGCATATCCCCTTGCGAATACTTTACCAATCTCTGCACTGTGCAGAATCTGACTATTTGTCGTACATTAAACCACACCACATTGTGCTTCTGTGATACCGCCGATGATGTAAATAGACCCGATTGCTCTATGAAAGCAGGTAACTAAAGTTGTGTATATAAGTTGTAAGTTTTGTTATCGAATCATTACAAATGAATTGCAAGGAACCACAGGGTTGCGGTAATCTTGGCATCGTGGCATCGCCGACTACTTTCAACGCCAATCACATAACTGGCAAATTGTAGTAGCCTACTTCAGTTGGATGTCATGTTTTCTTCCTCTTCTTTTGGATTTCCAGCCATTATCCTTCTTGTGGCACATATATATGTATGACCAGCCATTTGAATTGTGCGGGCACCTTGCATGAAATCATTTGGATTATTTTCCGCAATTCCCGTGTGTTCTTTGTTCTCGACTTTTCCAAATGCATTTGTCTTTGTTACGCCTTTTCTTACTGCTTCTCTGGCTGTATTTCGTAAAAAGCCTTGCACCTTCACCCACCGATCTCTTCACCACGAGCAGCACCAGAGATAGTTCGAATTTTGTGTGGCCATCAAAGAAGCTTTTGATCGAATGCCAATTTTTGGTAGTCTGCCCCTTCCGCAGTCGTATGCATGTCGATTTGTGTTTCAATGTTGCTCGTTCATGATAGTTGCCTGCTTGTTGTCACCCTGAATGCCTGCTGCAAAAGTCATCATACAACCCTTTGTCATCAACTTGTCAACACCACTTTGAATGTTTTTCGTTAAGTCTTTGAATGATCTCAACTAGCATGTTTTGTTTCTCAGCCCGACACTTTTCAAATATGTTCTAATCTGTGTTGATTTTGTTATATTTAAAACTTACTCGTTGTCGTTAATCATGTATCGTAAGTGTTTAGTGCGTAGTTAAATATGTTGCATGTGGTATTTGGATTATTAACAATATAAAACCTTAGCTAATAATGGTGTGCACTTAATCACTTAATGCTTTTGCATGTGTATATGATGTTTAAAGCAACTGCCAAAAACAAAAATATATATAACTAATGCTAATTCCTGCTACATAGTATTTAGTTTGCTTGAATCTGGAGTTGAAAAGTTAGATTAAGGATTTTACATTAAACGAAAAAGTTGTACTAACTGCATTGAAAAAAATTAAAAAAGAAAACTACCTACCGAACAGGATTCTTGACCTAAATAAAAGGAATGATTTAAATTATAACGACCTTATAATAAGGCTAAGATAAAACTGTTCCAACTATCCGAACTAATGCATTAATGTCCTCTGCCTTAAACGCACGAACAGAAATCGGTTGCGCATCGAGTGATGAGTGCCCCTCCCAGCAGGCGTGCATTAATGCTCTTTGCGTGGATCCTTGCACCTACAGTAATCCCTGCAGCCGTAATGAGGATTGTCGTGTTCTTAACCATCAGCCGTTGTGCTCAGCCGGTGAGTCCCAGTTTTCAAATTAAAATATCCTAAGGAAGACCGATCTCAAATGATAAACATTTTAACTATATAGAACATGGTCGCACGCCTGGCTGCGAGCATTGTCCACCAGGCGCAAACTGTGATCCCACAACTGGTGCTTGTATAAAGGGTAAGTTCTACTCGCAGTTCTATTCCTTAATCAACTTAAATCTCCTAGTGTTAAGTGTAAATACACTGTGTACATATTCTAATATAAATTAACCTCCCGTTACCCATGTAAATACATCTCTCTCCTTAGCTAATGTAACAATAACAACTATTACTACCAAGAACTCCACAACTACCAAGATACCAACGAAACCAAGAACAACAGCTAACCCAAACACAGGCGTCAAAATGACACCGACTACCACAAGGGTCACCACAAGAAACACCACCACCACTACGACCACAACCACTACTACCACTTCCTCCACTAGCACTGAATCGAGCACAATCACAAGCGCTACTAACCAGACCAGTAAGAACCAAAAACCAGACACAGAAAGCACCACCTCCCACACCGATGCTACAAGGCGCTACCGCGATGGTGAGAACAACATCACCGATACACCAACTCCGAGGCCCCCGATCCAGACGACGACGTTGCGGGGCGAAGATATTATAAGTGACAGTCAGAGGCGGTCCACTACAACGCCCAAAATGAAGACCACCAGGCTAGACACTTCCAACGAAGTTCCAGACACCACGACGGCATGGCCGATTGAATTGCCGACCACAGAGGGCACCACCACGGAGGTCTACAGCACCATCACCATGATTGCTCCACTGGGCAACACCACTGACATCTCATTAATTAACCCATGTACAGTAGATACTAACTGTGCCCCTAACGAGCACTGTAAGCTGGGGCATTGCCGTAAGAAAGGTATATTAACTTTATATGATACAAGCACGCCACTTTGGGATTGTACCGTTAGTATGATACAAAATTCAGATTGAATACTTCCAAGGGCTACAGTTAAAGTATGCCAAGGTCATATTTAACTGTTATAATGTTAAATACTAAAACAGCTATTTTCTTAATCCCAAAGTGGCACTAATACTGTTTAGTTGTACATAAATGTTATAAATGTATAGGGCTCGTTTTCTGGCATTACCAACTAATTTTGTTGTAAAAAAAAGTGTACATACTTAGCATAGCCTCTGTACATATTTTTCGTTTAATTTGATTAAAAAGTCACCATCATTGTATTAACTATTTAACTCACTAAATCCTTTATAACAAGTAGCGCCGCCGGGTTCACCGAAAACACCCGAGCCCTGTCAATCTAACAACGACTGCATTGAGAGCGAGGCCTGTTACATGGGGGTGTGCCAGGATCCGTGCGAGTTTGCAAAGATTTGTGCCGCGAGTGCCAAGTGCACGGCCAAGAGTCATCGACCGGTTTGCACCTGTCCTCAGGGTCATGAGGGCAATCCGATGGTCAAATGTGTAACCACTCAAACCTCAAGTAAGATACTAATCAATTAATCAACAACTTCATTTAATGTATGGGCTGAACTACCAATTCTTTAACCACGCTTTCTCGGGACACTAATTAATAAATGTGAATTAACTTACAGTTGAATGCACTGACAATTCGGACTGCGGAGTCACGGAAGCGTGCATCAATCAGCTCTGCCAGCATCCATGCGATGTCCATGATCCTTGTGCCACAAATGCTGTTTGCATCAACAGCAACCATGCTGCTGATTGCAGCTGTGCGGATGGCTTCCAGGGCAATGGATTTATTGGCTGCCAGCCAGGTTAGTATACCCTTGATCAACACGATGGCGCACCTATGTTGTCCTCCAAGAAATCCTCTGCTAATGTGTCACAATGTCTTATTTCCGAAAATCTTTCTCTTTCATACACTGTACAAACCCCCGTACACCTCGACACATGTATAAAACTTGTACCGTCCCGACACCAATTCAACTCTAAAACCAAACAACAAATTATAAATACACCCACCGATCCAAACGAATCGCACCGTAACCCTAACCAAAAAAACACAGCACGTCCCCATGTCTGCCAATACAATGAGGACTGCCCGCCGACGAAACTCTGCGATCGCCTTAACCGGCGCTGCATTAATCCCTGCCAGGAGGACTCCTGTGGCGAGAATGCCGAGTGTATTCCTGTGAACCACGGCACTGATTGTCGCTGCCTGCCCGGTTTCCTGGGCAACGCCTATGTGCAATGTCTGCCTAGTCAAGGTTGCCGTTCCGATTCTGAGTGCGACTTCAATCAGGCCTGCATCAACGGAAAGTGCTCATCGCCCTGTCAATGTGGAGCCTTTGCCCTCTGCGATGTGGTCAACCATCGTGGGGTGTGCAAATGCCCTCCTGGCTACACCGGAAATCCTCAGGTGGGCTGCAGTCCGCCCCGAGACCCATGCGATCCCAATCCATGTGGCTTAAATGCCCTGTGCGAGCTGGACAATGGTAACCCCATCTGCTACTGCCCCAAGGGACTTACCGGAAATCCATTTAAAAATTGCAGTGAGTTTTGTCTTAATATTTGGTTTCATTTCTGTATAGCACATTGTTTTCCCGGAAACAAACATTGTAACTTATTTAACTCCCTAATCTTGAAACCTTCTTAGTTCCGGAAGGAGATGAGTGCTCACCGAATCCCTGTGGTCCCAATTCCGGATGCCGTCGCGTGGATGGCAACCCGATTTGCTTCTGCCTGCCAGAGTACGAGGGTCAGCCGCCGTCGATTCCTTGCGAGTTACCTTCGAATCCCTGCGATCCTTCGCCTTGCGGTCCGAATACCCAGTGCTCCGTACTCAGCAACGGTTTCTCCAAATGCACGTGTCTGCCCAACTATGTGGAGAGTCCGAACACCATTCGTGGCTGTGTGGAGCCCATTAACCCATGTGACCCCAACCCTTGTGGAACTGGAGCCATTTGCGATTCATCACGTCAGCCCGTGTGCTACTGTCCGGACAACAAGATTGGAAATCCTTTCAGGCTGTGCGACAAGCCAGCCGTTACCATTGAGCTCTGCCAGCCAGGACCATGTGGCCGAAATGCTGACTGCTATGTGGCTGGAAATCGCGAGGAGTGCTACTGTCGCTCCGGATATGTGGGAGATGCCTACCAAGGATGCCGTGAACCGAGTCGCACCGTCTGCGATCCCAATCCTTGCGGACCGAATGCCAACTGCGTGGTGGCCGGCGATGGACAAACCGCCTGCGTTTGTCCCGATGGTTTGTCCGGTGATCCCACTTCGCTGATCGGCTGCCACGGGTACGAGTGCCAAGTGGACGCCGATTGCCCGAACAGCAAGGCCTGCATGGGCTACCGCTGCTACGATCCCTGTCCTGGAGCCTGTGGCCAAGGAGCCCACTGCCGGGTGGAGGAACATCACCCAGTTTGCTCGTGTAACTCTGGATTGACTGGCAACCCAGGAGTTCGCTGCTATGCACTGGACCATCCCAAGACGAATCCATGCGTTCCCAGCCCGTGTGGCCGGAATAGCGAGTGTAAGCTGTTGAACAACCGTGCTGTTTGCTCGTGCATTCCAGGTTACTTGGGTGATCCGCAGTCGGGATGCCAGCCAGAGTGCGACATCAACTCCGATTGCGGTGAGACCTTGTCGTGCATCAACCACAAGTGCGTGGATCCCTGTGCCGGAGCCATATGTGGCATAAATGCCATTTGTAATGTACGCCAGCACACGCCAGTATGTCTTTGCTTGGACGGATTTGTTGGCGATGCCTTTTTACAGTGCGTTGCCATTGGAGTACTAAAGAACGTGTCGCGGGATCCGTGTGCCCCGTCGCCCTGTGGACCCCATGACGTCTGCTCGGTGTTCGGCGATGGAGTTGCCCTTTGCGATCCCTGCTTCGGACCCAATGCCCAACAGAACCCCCGCTGTCGACCGGAGTGTGTGGCCAACTCTGACTGTCCGTTCGATCGCGCCTGTTTGGGACAACGCTGTCAGGATCCCTGCCCCGGATCCTGCGGACGGAATGCAGTGTGTAATGTTTACGAGCATAACCCTGTCTGCGCTTGTCCCACGGGACTCTTTGGAAACCCGTACGAACAGTGTACGACCCTGTCGGTGATTGAGCCACCACCACAACCAAGCTGCGCCAAGCTCCATTGCGGTGCCAATGCGGAGTGCAAGCGTCAGCACAGTGGATTGGCCTGCGTGTGCCGTAAGGGTTACTTTGGAGACCCGCATATCGGCTGTCGGCCAGAGTGCGTCCTGAATAGTGACTGCCCTGCGGAGAAGGCCTGCCTGAACTCCAAGTGCGTGGAGGCTTGTGCCGGAGTGTGTGGCATCAATGCCGTATGCCGCGTGGTTAACCATGCCCCAGTTTGCATCTGTGCCGAGGGATACAGTGGAGATGCAGCCATTGCCTGTAACCCCTTCTACCTGCCACCTCCAGTGCGACCAAATCCATGTGAACCATCGCCCTGTGGACCGAATTCGCGTTGCAAGACCACCCCAGATGGCTATGCAGCCTGTTCCTGCCTGCCGAACTTCAAGGGAGCCCCACCAGTCTGCCAGCCTGAGTGCGTGGTCAGCTCGGAGTGTGCTCCTAACCAGGCCTGTCTGAATCAGAGGTGCGCCGATCCCTGCCCGGGTATCTGTGGAGGTGGAGCCCGCTGCGAAGTGCTCAACCACAACCCGATCTGTTCCTGTGAGCAAAACTTCGAGGGTGATCCATTCGTGGCCTGCTCACCTATTCAGGATCCAGGTCGCGACATCGCTGTGCCAAAGAACCCATGCGTGCCATCCCCTTGCGGACCCAACTCCATATGCCAGATCAAACAAAACCGACCTGTCTGTTCGTGCGTGGCCAACTACATTGGCAGTCCGCCGTTTTGCCGGCCGGAGTGCACGCTGAGCAGCGAGTGTCCGACGGACAAGGCCTGCATCCAGGAGAAGTGCCAGAATCCGTGTGCCAACATATGTGGACACAATGCCCGTTGTACGGTCATCGCCCACTCAGCCCACTGCAGCTGCGACGAGGACTACGAGGGAGATGCCTTCATTGGCTGCTCCAAGAAAATTACAGACAGTGAGTAGTCTGGTGTTAATTCCAATATAAGGTGATATAATCCAAATCCAACCTTTTTTTTTATCCAATCCAGGAGACCACATCGATCCGTGCTACCCCAATCCATGTGCTGAGAATGCTGTGTGCACGCCTCACAATAACGCCGCTCGCTGTAGCTGCATTGAGCCCTACAATGGCGATCCCTACAGCACCGGATGTCGTCCGGAATGTATCTACAGCGCGGAGTGTCCTTCATCGCTGGCCTGCATCAAGCAGCACTGTCGCGATCCCTGCACTGCTGCCTGTGGACCAAACGTCGAGTGCGCGGTGGTTAACCACTTGCCCTCTTGCAGTTGTAGCCGAGGATTTGAGGGTAATCCCTTCGAAGGATGCAAGCGCGTGCCGATTGTGAGACCCGTGAGCGTGTGTGAGCCAAATCCATGTGGACCCAATAGCATCTGTCGAACCGTCGAGGGACATCCCACGTGCAGTTGCCAGGTTGGATACTTTGGAGCTCCGCCTCAGTGCAGACCCGAATGTGTGGTCAGCTCGGAGTGTGCCCAGAATCAGGCTTGCATCAACCAAAAGTGTACGGATCCATGTGCCGAGACCTGCGGATTCAATGCCAAATGTCAAGTGAGCAACCACAACCCCATCTGCTCCTGTCCAGCCAATTATGTTGGCGATCCGTTTGAGCAATGTGTTCCAAAACGTAAGTAGAAAGATTCTTAACATTTTTGAATCGAAATTTATTATTAAATTCTCTCAGCAGCACCAGAACCGACACGCAATGTGGATCCCTGTCTGCCCAGCCCATGTGGCTCCAACTCCATTTGTCGCAATGTGAACAGCAGAGCGGAGTGCTCTTGTGCCCCTGGAATGTTCGGGGCCCCGCCCAACTGCCGACCGGAATGTGTGATTAACCAGGATTGTCCTTCGAATCGGGCGTGCATACGTCAGCGATGCGAGGATCCTTGCATCGGCATATGCGGCTTTAATGCCGTCTGCTCCACTCAGCACCACCAACCCAAGTGCAGTTGCATTGAGAGCTTCGAAGGTGATCCGTACACCGCCTGCAGAATGCGTAAGAGTGAGTACATACCTTCAGACTATTTGCTATCCTTTCCAAGAGCACGGATCTGTGCTCGAGACGCGCCCTTAATGTTAAATGTTCCTTTCAGTGGTGCTCTAGAAGTATTGGTATTGTGGTGTACATCTTATGCATGTTCCTCGTATTGTGTACATATTACTGCCTTCATCTATGTATCTATCTTTGTATTATTACTTTTAGTGTTATTATTTAGTCTTAAGCCTACTTTGTTTGTACATTTCTCTGTATGCATCCGCAATGCCTGCTTGCTATTTTCATGACCATGACAGTCGTGGTGCCAGATCCACCATCCGACCCATGCTACCCATCGCCATGTGGTGCCAATGCCATTTGTCGCGTGCGCAATGGAGCCGGCTCCTGCTCGTGCATCCAGAACTACTTCGGTGATCCGTACATCAACTGCCGCCCGGAGTGCGTGCAGAATAGCGATTGTCCCGGCAGCCGGGCCTGTATTAACATGAAGTGCCGCGATCCTTGTGCCAATGCCTGTGGATTCAATGCCATCTGTCGGGTTGCCCACCATCAGCCCGTGTGCAGTTGTGAGCCCGGTTTTACCGGCAATCCACTCCGCGCTTGCGTCGAAAGGCCCTCAAGTATGACTCTGTCCTGGGGTGGGTCGACTTGAATAGAAGAAAAATTGTAGTTCAAATATCAGTCAGATTTCTTTAAAGTCGATGAAAATTCTTTAAATCAGGGCTGCTCAAAACAGTCGTATGGCATTGCATTTACCAACACAGTTAAAAGAAACACACAAGCACACTTGTAGTGAAAGTCGCTGTAGAGTCGAGGAAAAGACAAGAACAAATTTAATTCGGATAAGCAATGGCAAAAAGCTTAACGTAATTGTTGTTGTATAGCGCCGAGTGACCAGCATTTCCCTACACTTTGTACATAATCGAGAGCAACCCTGCTTTAAATTGAAATAATTTATTCAAAAAAGAAACATTCTTAGACAAGGTTCTTCGAAACATATCGACCCACCCTTTTTAACACCTTTTAGACCAAAAGTTTGGATCTAACTACATTGACCTTCCCCACATTTAGATATGTACCTGCCCCTGCCCAAAGACCCTTGTAGACCCTCGCCTTGTGGCCTCTTCAGTACTTGTCATGTGGTTGGGGACCGACCCGTGTGTGCCTGCCTGCCAGACTACATGGGCGCTCCACCCAACTGCAAGCCAGAGTGCATGACCAGTGCCGAGTGTCCTTCAGATAGGGCCTGCATAAACCAACGTTGCAAAGATCCCTGCCCCGGAACATGTGGCTTCAACGCCCGTTGTCGCTGCACCAATCACTCGCCAATCTGCAGTTGCTACGATGGGTACACCGGGGATCCGTTCCACCAGTGCGTGCCTGAAAGAAGTAGGTTCCCTATCGGTTTGTCTCCCCTTGGAATGTTTCCAACTGAAAGTATCATACTTGTAGAACCACCACCAATCCCAGCCGATCCCATTGTTCCGCCCAATCCCTGTGTACCGTCACCATGTGGACCCAACTCCCAGTGTCAAGTTTCGAGCAGTGGAGCCGTCTGCTCCTGCGTAACCAATTATATAGGACGACCACCGGGTTGTCGACCAGAGTGCAGCATCAATTCCGAGTGTCCGGCCAGAATGGCCTGCGTCAATGCTCGTTGTGCCGATCCCTGCATCGGATCGTGTGGAAATAATGCCCTCTGCCATGTCAGTCTGCATACACCGGTTTGTATGTGCGAACCTGGTTTCTCCGGCGATCCGTTCTCCGGCTGCTACAAGATCATAGAGAGTAGGTTCTTGCGATGGTTCCCTTTACGGTTAGATACTCAAATCCCTTGTTTGACCCGTCTTAACAGCCCCCATTGAAGTGATCCAACCCTGTCGCCCAAGTCCGTGCGGTTTGAATGCACTGTGCGAGGAGCGAAATCAGGCAGCCGCCTGCAAGTGTCTGCCGGAATACTTTGGCGATCCGTATGTCGAGTGCCGCCCCGAGTGTGTCATCAATTCGGACTGTCCCAGGTCGCGAGCCTGTGTCAACCAGAAGTGCGTGGATCCATGTCCGGGAATGTGCGGACACAGCGCCCAATGCGCCGTTTTTAACCACGCCCCCAACTGCGAGTGCGTACCTGGTTACACGGGTAACCCCATCGTTGGTTGCCATCTCGTACCCGAGACTCCGCGTTGTAAGATCTCGTTCCAATCGCACTAGCAGTGATGGCAAGTACCTGGGTAGTTAGTCAGAAGTAGAAATCTAAGTTACTTTCTGAGATTATTAACGCTCTATGTAGAATTCGAAAATATTGAAACCTTTGACGCTACCCCTTGTCTTCTCTTCTACCTTGGTATCCTTTCCTTCACTGCAAGTTAGGTCTTTAGCTAGGATTAGCTATTAATGGTTGCCTTTACCACGTCTGTAGATCCCGACCCCATAGTGCCCGAAAACCCTTGTCAACCATCGCCCTGCGGCCTCTACAGCATTTGTCGTCCTGTTAATGACCACGCAGTCTGCTCCTGTGTGCCCAACCATATCGGTTCCCCTCCCAACTGCCGGCCCGAGTGCATGAGCAGCTCGGAGTGCGCACAGGACAAGTCGTGCATCAACGAGCGCTGCAAGGATCCCTGTCCAGGCACCTGCGGCAACAACGCACTCTGCCGCGTGGTCAACCACAACCCCATCTGCTCCTGCAGTCCCGGCTTCAGCGGTGATCCGTTCGTGCGCTGCTTCCCGCAAGAGAGTAAGCATCGACAAGGAGTCGAAGGAAGCTTAGCTTCGGCCAGCCGGAGATTTAAATTCCCCTGCAGAGATAGATTTGATCCCATGAAAATAATGTCTCAACTTTTGATGCGAAAAACCTTTAAGAAGCAGTCATGATTAGACTCTTCTAATCAAGTACATTTTAAGCACACTCCATCATTTAAATAGATCTAGATCCTGCAGGGGTATTTAAAGCAAACATTCACCGAAATTCATTTCATAATCCGAAAGAGAGCTATAAGACCTCTATCATCATCTCATACCCTGCTTGACCACATTATTCGCATCTTCTATATATATCTTTACCCATTATGTTTATTTCCTTTATATGTACACTATGTATGGCTTATTTTGGTGCATGATGTTTATCGTACTTGGTGTCGTGTGATGGGTACAAATGGTGAAAGTAGAGCGGCCGCCCATCACCCATGATCGCATCGATCCGTGTGTGCCCACGCCATGTGGGCCCAACTCTCAGTGCCGGGTGTCGGCTGCCAATGAGCAGGCTGTCTGCTCATGCTTGGAGCATTACGTGGGTAGGGCGCCGAACTGCCGGCCGGAGTGCACCTCGGACTCCGAGTGCCCCGGCAATTTGGCCTGCATCAATCTGCGCTGCCGGGATCCGTGTGTCGGTACCTGCGGCATCCAGACCACTTGCCTTGTAAATAATCATAGACCCATTTGCCGCTGCATTGAGGGCTATGCAGGGGACCCATTCTCAGAGTGTAGTCCGAAGAGTAAGGGATTTGGCAGACCTGCTTTCCACTTAGTTACTAAACCGTTGACCTTCCCACCCCCACCCTTAGTTAATGTCCCGCCAGAGGTGGCACAGCCCTGCAACCCGAGTCCCTGCGGCGCCAATGCGGTTTGCAAGGAGCGCAATGGCGTAGGTTCCTGCACCTGCTTGCCGGAGTACAATGGAGATCCGTACACCGAGTGCCGTCCAGAGTGCGTGCTGAATAGTGACTGCTCGAAGAATCGCGCCTGCCTCAACAACAAATGCCGCGATCCCTGCCCGGGTGTCTGTGGCGTGTCCGCCGAGTGTCATGTGATCAACCACGCACCCAGCTGTAGTTGCCCATCCGGATTCACTGGCAATCCCTCTCAATACTGCCGGGAGATACCTAGATGTAGGATATTATTTCACATAGGATGGGTCGAGGCTTACGGAAACGATGTCATTAGTTATCAAAGATAGAATCGTTGAAGTGATCCAGAGAATTTCTTGCGCTTTCAGTCGAGTCCCTAAAAATCGACCCACTCTATAGTAATCCCAATTTTCCGGATAGCTCTTATAACGATCACCCTGACTTTTAGTGACCGCACCTGTTGAACCGTGTCGTCCTTCGCCATGCGGTCCTTACAGCCAGTGCCGCGAGGTGAATGGACATGCGGTCTGCTCCTGCGTTACGAACTACATTGGCACTCCGCCCGCCTGTCGTCCGGAGTGCTCGGTTAGTTCCGAATGTGCTCAGGACAGGGCGTGTGCCAATCAGCGCTGTGTGGACCCATGTCCGGGCACCTGTGGCAACGAGGCCCTCTGTAAGGTGACCAACCACAACCCGATCTGCTCCTGCCCAGCCGGCTACAGCGGCGATCCTTTCGTGCGCTGTGCACCGTGGCAGGAGGAACCGGAGCAGCCCAAGTCCAATGAGAATCCCTGCGTGCCCAGTCCCTGCGGACGCAATTCCCAGTGCCGTGTCGTGGGTGAGACGGGTGTGTGCTCCTGCCTGCCGAATTTCGTGGGCAGGGCTCCCAACTGTCGGCCAGAGTGCACACTCAACACCGAGTGTCCTGCCACCTTGGCATGTGTCAATGAGCGCTGTCAGGATCCCTGTCCGGGATCGTGCGGCTTCAATGCCTACTGCAGTGTGGTGAATCACTCGCCCGTCTGCTCTTGCGACAATGGTTTCACTGGTGATCCCTTCGCCGGCTGCAATCCGCAACGTAAGAAGCAATGGCTTACAGTTCCTAAGAACAAGTCCTAATCTGCTTTGTGACCCTTCAGCTCCCACCGTACCCGATGAACGCCTGACTCCCTGCCAACCCTCGCCGTGTGGCCCGAATGCCGAGTGCCGTGAGCGCAACGGAGCCGGCTCCTGTACGTGTTTGCCGGAGTACTTCGGTGATCCGTACAGTGGCTGTCGTCCGGAGTGCGTGGTGAACAGTGATTGTTCGCGCGACAAGTCGTGTGTCAACCAGAAATGCGTGGACCCATGTCCAGGTGTTTGTGGCTTGAATGCCCAGTGTCGCGTTACCAATCATCTGCCCAGCTGCTCTTGTCTGGCCGGTTACACTGGAAATCCGTCGAGCGCGTGCCGTGAAATTCCCCAGTTGCCTCCACCACGTAGGTTCACCACTAACCCCCGGCCAAGAAACACAATCCAACTGATCCCCTCCTTACACTTTCCCAGCCGAACGGGATGAGAACCCCTGTAGACCCTCGCCCTGCGGCGCCTACAGCCAATGTCGCGAGGTCAACGGTCATGCCGTGTGCTCCTGCCTACAGGGCTTCGTTGGCTCAGCACCCAACTGCCGACCCGAGTGCATCATTAGCTCGGATTGCGCCCAAGATCTCAACTGTCAGAATCAAAAGTGTGTGGACCCGTGTCCGGGCACTTGCGGCATTGAGGCCCGCTGCCAGGTCATTAACCACTATCCCGCATGCTCCTGTGCCCCAGGTTTTACCGGAGATCCCTTCAACCGATGCACAAAGATATTGTGTAAGCATGATTTACTCTTTGAATGTGGAGGGCAAGCCAAACGGGTCGAATCAGAATAATATTCTAGGCCAAGAAAAACAAATCGTAAATTGTTACATCTCATAAATGTAGTGACTTCTAAATAATGTCCTTAAACCCCAACAGCACGGTATTCCCCCAGTTGGCTTGCCACTTCACCCTAGGTTCCTACCTCCTGCATGTATATACACTATTTAATGTTTGATTTTCTATTCTCTATTTATGTTTATTTATTTTATGTACACTTTGTAAACCACTATCCAACTGTACTATCCTATGAACCTATGTAAATGTTTGTCTAAATGTGCTATGAACCTACTTCAACTATCTGGCATGGCTAAATGAATGGCATGTGTAGTGGAGCCCACACCCGCCGAAAAGTCCGGTAATCCCTGCATCCCCTCACCGTGCGGACCCAACTCGAAATGCCTCGATGTCCGCGGTTCGCCTGCATGCTCCTGTCTGCCCGACTATCTGGGACGTCCGCCCAACTGCCGGCCCGAGTGCCTCAGTAGTGCCGACTGTCCGGCCAATCTGGCCTGTGTCAACCAGCGCTGCTCGAATCCATGCATCGGCGCCTGTGGCCTGCACTCCGTGTGCACGGTCATCAAGCACCGACCGACATGCGAGTGTGTGCCTGGTTACACCGGAGATCCCTTCTCCGGCTGTGCGATTGTGCAGCAAAGTAATATACCCTTGCATGCTAATCAGTCAACGAATCTGTCCCGCTAACGCATATATCCGATTTTCCCATTTCTCCTCCAGTTGCTGTCATTGACGAACCAAGAAATCCCTGCAATCCTAGCCCCTGCGGAGCCAATGCTATCTGTCGGGAGCGCAATGGAGCTGGCTCCTGCGCCTGCCTGCCGGAATACTTTGGAGATCCGTACAGTGGCTGCCGGCCGGAATGTGTCCAGAATGACGATTGCGATCGGTCGCGTGCCTGCATCAACAACAAGTGCCAGGATCCATGTCCAGGAGCCTGCGGCATCAACGCCGAGTGTAGGGTCTTGAATCACGGACCCAATTGCAACTGTTTCGAAGGCTATACCGGCGATCCGCATCGGTCGTGCTCGCTGATCGAGGTGGTCACCAGACGTCCGGATAACCCATGTAAGCCGTCACCCTGCGGACCCTACAGCCAGTGTTTGGACACCAACAGCCATGCGGTGTGCAGCTGCCTGGAGGGCTACATTGGAGCTCCGCCCAGCTGCAAACCGGAGTGCGTGGTCAGTTCGGAGTGCCCCCAGAACAGGGCTTGCATCAATCAGAAGTGCGAGGATCCGTGCCGCGGATCGTGCGGTAATAATGCCAGGTGCCAGGTGGTGAACCACAATCCCATTTGTACCTGCCAAGCGGGAATGACCGGAGATCCCATCTCGGGCTGTGAGCCCACTCCGACCGTGAAGGAAGTGGACGACAACCCGTGTGTGCCGTCGCCATGTGGACCCAACTCGAATTGCCGAGAGATTGGCAAGCAGGCCGCTTGCTCCTGCCAGACAAGCTTCATTGGACGTCCGCCCAATTGCCGACCGGAATGTACGAACAACGACGAGTGCCAGAACCATCTGTCCTGCCAGCAGGAGAGATGTGTCGACCCATGTCCCGGCTCGTGTGGCAGCAACGCCATCTGCCAGGTGGTGCAGCACAATGCTGTGTGCTCCTGCGCCGATGGCTATGAGGGTGAGCCACTCTTCGGCTGCCAGCTGATCCCGGCTGTGACGCCAACTGAGTCACCTGGCTCTCCCTGCGAACCATCACCCTGCGGCCCACATGCCGAGTGTCGGGAGAGGAACGGAGCTGGCGCTTGTTACTGCCACGACGGGTTCGAGGGTAATCCGTATGATGCCCAGCGAGGATGCCGTCGAGAGTGCGAGAATAACGACGAATGCTCCGCTGTACAAGCCTGCTCTCGATTCAAGTGCGTTGATCCGTGCAACAACATCTGCGGAGACTATGCCATTTGCACAGTGGACAAACACGTGCCCACTTGCGACTGCCCGCCGGGATACACCGGGGATCCGTTCTTCAGCTGCAAGCCAGTGCCGGTTACCCCGCGACCTCCTCTGAACCCATGTAATCCGTCCCCCTGCGGACCCAACAGCAACTGCCGTGCTATGAACAACCAGGCTGTGTGCTCCTGCCAGGCAGGATTCATTAACCAGCCGCCCAACTGCAAACCCGAGTGCGTGGTCAGCGCCGAGTGTGCTCCGGAAAGAGCCTGTGTGAACAAGAAGTGCGTGGATCCATGTCTGCACACCTGCGGCATCAGAGCCATCTGCACCACCAAGAACCATAGCCCGATTTGCACATGTCCACGTACTATGACCGGAGATCCGTTTGTCGAGTGCACTAAAGTTGGTAAGTTGTTTTGAAATGTTTGTTCTTAAATTGAATATAATTTAATTTTAAACCCTACTTCTAATTTATTACAACTGAATAGAAATAACATAGCCTTCATCGGCTTTAACTGCTTTATTATATTATAGAAATAAAGCAGTTCTAGCTATTTTTGCTTAACTAAACCTTTTTATAAAACCCCCGCAGCAATCACCCATGACAGTACCACACCTTCGCCGCCACCCGCATCATGTGTGCCATCTCCTTGCGGACCAAACGCCAAGTGCCAGATTGTGGGCAACAGTCCTGCCTGCTCCTGCTTGCCAAACTTCATCGGAGCACCGCCCCGGTGTCGCCCGGAGTGCGTGTTGAACTCTGAATGCGGACCCACGGAGGCGTGCATCAACCAGAAGTGCGCCGATCCCTGCTCCGGATCTTGTGGATTCGAGGCCAAGTGCCATGTGCTCAACCACCTGCCCATCTGCAACTGCATCGAGGGCTTCGAGGGAGATCCGTTCGTGCGCTGCACCAAAAAGGAAGAAGTCAAAACGCCTACCGTGAACGATCCATGCAACCCGAACCCGTGCGGTCAAAACGCAGACTGCTTTGCCGGAGAGTGTCGCTGCCAGAACAATTACCAAGGAAATGCCTACGAGGGCTGTCGTCCGGAGTGCACACTTTCGGCGGATTGTCCCAGGGACAAGGCCTGTATGCGCAACCGCTGTGTGGATCCCTGCCCGGGCATCTGCGGCAACAATGCCATGTGCGAGGTGATGAACCACATTCCGGTGTGCTCATGCTTCCAGGGTTACGAGGGAGATCCGTTCGTGAACTGTCGCGTGAAACCAGTCGTGGAGGACCCTATTGTTGAGGCCTGCTCCCCATCGCCGTGTGGTTCCAATAGCCAGTGCCGTGATGTCAACGGCCATGCAGTGTGCTCTTGCCTGGAGGGTTATATCGGAGCTCCGCCTCAGTGTCGTCCCGAGTGCGTGGTGTCCAGCGAGTGCTCCGCTTTGCAGGCTTGTGTCAACAAGAAGTGCGTGGATCCCTGCGCCGCTGCCTGCGGATTGGAGGCCCGCTGCGAAGTCATCAACCATAGCCCGATTTGTGGTTGTCCACCTGGCCGAACTGGTGATCCGTTCAAGCAGTGCGTGGTCCTGCCACCGATTCCTGTACCGGATGTCAAAACTCCCCAAGATCCTTGCCTGCCCTCGCCCTGTGGACCCAATTCCATCTGCAAGCCCGATAGGAATGGTCCTGTCTGCCAGTGCCAACCCGAGTTCTTTGGCTCGCCACCCAACTGTCGTCCGGAGTGCATCATCAATCCGGACTGTCAATCGACACAGGCGTGCATCAACAACAAGTGCAGCAATCCTTGCCCAGAATCCTGCGGAACCAACGCCGAGTGTCGTGTCATCGGACACGCTGTTTCCTGCTCCTGCCCAACTGGATATGCTGGCAACGCCTTCGTTCAATGCGTGCCTCAGCAGGAGGAACCACCTAAGCCTTGCCAGCCATCGCCATGTGGAGCCAATGCCGAGTGCATCGAGCGGAATGGAGCCGCTGCCTGCAAGTGTATTGATGAGTACCAGGGCAATCCCTACGAGGGCTGTCGCCCCGAGTGCGTATTGAGCTCGGATTGTCCCACGGACAAGGCGTGCATCCGAAACAAGTGCCAGGATCCTTGTCCCGGAATCTGTGGATTGAACGCCCAGTGCTATGCCGTTAACCATGTGCCCAACTGTGCCTGCAACGATGGCTTTACTGGGGATCCGTTCGGCAGTTGTCGCCGGGTGGAAGTCTCAAAGCCACCACCAGTTGGAGATCCCTGCATTCCGTCCCCCTGCGGAGCCAATAGCAAATGCAGGGTGGCCAATGGCTTGGCCGTGTGCTCTTGCCTGGATACCTTCATTGGAGCTCCGCCCAATTGCAAACCAGAGTGCACGGTCAATGCCGAGTGTCCCTCGACCAAGGCGTGTCATAAGTTCCGCTGTGCCAATCCCTGCGCCAAGACGTGTGGCCTGAATGCCAAGTGCGAGGTGATAAACCACAACCCGATCTGCAGTTGTCCATTGGACATGACGGGCGATCCGTTCGCCCGTTGCTATCCAGCTCCCCCGCCGCCGCCTCCAGGACCCAGGGATGAGCCAGTGAAGCGACCATGCCAACCCTCGCCGTGTGGATTAAACTCAGAGTGTAGGGTGCGCGACGAGCAGGCCTCCTGCTCCTGCCTGCCCAACTTTATTGGAGCACCGCCCAACTGTCGTCCCGAGTGCGTTGTTAACACAGATTGCTCGTCGGACAGAGCTTGCATTGCCGAAAAGTGCCGCGATCCGTGTGATGGATCCTGCGGAGTGGACTCCGATTGTCGGGTTCAGAACCACCTGGCCATCTGTACTTGTCGCGGAGGATTCACCGGTGATCCGTTTGTCCGTTGCATCGAGTTCATCGAAGAGACCACAAAGTCACCACCACTCACCCAGGATCCGTGCGATCTGCAGCCATGTGGATCGAATGCCGAGTGCAGGAATGGCATCTGTAGCTGTCTGCCGGAATACCAGGGAGATCCCTACACCGGCTGTCGCCCAGAATGTACCTTGAGCACCGACTGTCCACCTACCAAGGCTTGCCTGAACAAGAAGTGCGTGGATCCCTGCCCAGGAGTTTGTGGCCAGAACTCGCAGTGCGATGTTTCGAACCATATACCGATATGCAGTTGCCTGCAGGGCTACACGGGTGATCCGTTCGTGCATTGTCGCCACGAGACGCCAGTTGCGAAGGATCCATGTCAACCAAATCCCTGCGGACCCAACAGCTTGTGCCACATTTCCGGCCAAGGACCAGTGTGTGCCTGCCAACCGGGCATGCTGGGCTCACCACCCGCCTGCAAACCGGAATGCATCGTCAGCTCAGAGTGCTCGCTGCACATGGCCTGTGTGAACAGGAAGTGCGTGGATCCCTGCCCCGGAGCCTGTGGACAATTTGCCCGTTGCCAGGTGATCAACCACAACCCGTCGTGCTCTTGCAATACGGGCTACACCGGCGATCCGTTCACTCGATGCTACCAGGAGGAGCGGAAACCACCACCGACGCCAGAGAACCCATGTCAGCCATCTCCTTGTGGACCCAATTCCGAGTGCAAGGTGCTGAATGGAAACGCAGCCTGCTCGTGTGCGGCCACTTTTATTGGAACGCCACCCAGCTGCCGACCCGAATGCTCCATCAATCCGGAATGTCCGCCGACCAAGGCCTGCATACGTCAAAAGTGCTCCAATCCTTGCGAGAATGCCTGTGGATTTAATGCCCGCTGTAATGTGGCCAATCATCAACCCATCTGCACCTGCGATGTGGGCTATACTGGAGATCCTTTCACCGGCTGTCAAAAGGAGCAAGGTAGGACCCCGTTTTCATTTACTTAGTAGTTAGGCCAAGGCGTAAACCAGCTTTTAAACATAATTCTAAGGTTTTGGTTGCTTACTGGGCGCCCAGTACAAAAATTGCTATTATTAAAAACCAACCAAAAATGCCGCACAACCAAAACATTTGTTTGCGCCTTGGAAGATAAAATTAAATGTGAAACAATTGCGAAACCCCACTATTGGCTTACCATCAAGTACAACTCAGTGAAATACCCTTGATACCCTAGATTTTAATACCCTGTAAAGCAATGTTTCACATTCATTACAAGCGCATTAGAATAAATGAAAATTGATCACTCAAAAGCAATTACAATCGCTGTAGTTGTTAATACTTACTGTGAATGCACTATTTGTTTGCACTTGTTTTCATCACTTTTTCCGCGTGTCTTGTTCTAATGTGCTCTTAGGCAGTTATTTGTACCACACAATTTACATTCATTGAAATCTATGATTACCGCACGCACAGTCACAATGCATTGCAAATTAAGAAGTGTACCAGTTATGTTTTACGCAATAAATCACAATGCACTCGAGCGAAATGCAAATTTCAAGTAGCACGCACTCTGTACGAGTTGTCTGAGTGGACGTGCTTTTGGAAGTGTCTGTATGCTGGGCTAGTCAAAGATTTTAATTAGTTTTAGTCAATTATTTATTTGCTTTTTACTGCCCCTAACGCCTGAATTACAATATGCAAACTTGCCACGCCTTTTTGCTTCCTTATACAACCTTAAATGCCTTACACCAAAACACCCGCCTTGATTTTTGCCTTTAACCCTTGAAGATATCGTTGTATTACCTTGCGCCCCAACTCTGTTGTATTTGATTTGGGGGGATAATCCTAGCGAAATGCTTTTACCTAATTCGTTATTTGGCCCAAAACATAAATGTCCCTGTCTTTCCACTCGCTTATTATCCTAATTGATCCTAACCCAACTACCCGAAATTGAGTACTGCGTTGTTGTTGACCCCTGTTGACCCCCCCACCAAAATTTTGCCAACGGAAAGCCAAAGATATTAACTAAATACTAGTCGACACAAAGCGAATGCCGCTCTAGCACTTAAATATAGAAACAAAGCTGTATTACATAAAACTGTAGCGTATACAAATTGTTTAACAATGATCAATAAATCAAATGATATAACCCCGCAAAGGACACTTGTTTTACTTACGACACAAACATAACTCAATGCCAATTAAATTGGCACATTGCACTTACATAACACTGCCAAAGCACTCAGCACACCGAGTTTAACAAAACTAAACGAAGCTGTTTTTAAACCGCTGCACCTCGACCACAATCCTTCGATTGGAGTGATTAATGCCAACACACCTAACTAGTAGTTGTACTCTAATCCGCTACAATAATACCACAACTGCAATCGGATTAATCAGCTGAAAACAAAAAAGAACCAACGCCAGGTGTGTTGTTATGTACTAAAACCGATTCACTCGAGTGTTAATAATGAAAATCTATGTCCCCTCTCTTTGTTTTGAATCCATGTACACCCCATAGAACGCATTGTCAATGAGCAGGTGACCCCCTGCGAACCCAATCCCTGCGGCTCAAATGCAGTTTGTCGCGAAAGAAATGGCATCGGTTCCTGCCAGTGCCTGCCCGATCATTTTGGTGACCCCTACCAGTCGTGTCGTCCGGAGTGCGTTCGTCACTCGGACTGCGCCTCCAACAAGGCGTGCCAGCAGCAGAAGTGTCGCGATCCCTGTCCAGGCACTTGTGGCAGCAATGCGGACTGCAGTGTAACGAACCATCTACCAACCTGTACTTGTCGCATAGGATACACGGGCGACCCGTACCGCTACTGTCATGTGGAACCACCACAACGTAAGATACCCCCATTCTAAACCACCTTTTCTTCGATCCTGACCTTAGCCCTTTTTTAGTCCCTGCTCGTGTGACCGAACCCACGCAGCCCTGTCGCCCCTCACCGTGTGGTCCCAACTCCCAGTGTCGCGAACTCAACGGCCAGGCGGTGTGCTCCTGCCTGGAGCTCCACGTCGGTCTGCCCCCCAACTGCCGACCCGAGTGTGTCCTCAGTACCGAATGTCCCACCGATAAGGCTTGCATCAGCCAACGTTGTCAGGATCCTTGTCCAGGCACTTGTGGCATTAATGCCGAGTGCCGGGTGCGTAATCACAGTCCTCTGTGTCAGTGTCGTCAAGGTTTCACCGGTGATTCCTTTACCCGTTGTTATGCCCTGCCACGTAAGAATTTTCCTTGCATTGATACAGAACATTTAGTTGATTGTAATGCCCGCCCAATCTAGCCCCACCGCCTGAAATCCAACGTATTGAACGTGACCCCTGCCTGCCATCGCCCTGCGGTTTGAATAGTCAGTGCCGTAATGTGCAGGGTGTGCCATCCTGTTCCTGCCTGCCAGATTTCTTGGGGGTACCGCCCAACTGTCGACCCGAGTGCACTATCAGTGCAGAATGTCCTTCCAATCTGGCTTGCATACGCGAGAAGTGTATCGATCCCTGCCCCGGTTCTTGTGGCTATGCCGCCGAGTGTAATGTGGTTAACCACACGCCCATTTGTGTGTGTCCCCCTGGTTTTACGGGTGATCCCTTTAGTAGCTGTCGTCTTGCGCCGCCACCTGAGCCTACTCAAAGTAAGAATTGTAAAATGTAACCTGTCATGACCGTGGTTAACAAGACAACCCACTTAACAGACGAATATGTGGATCCCTGCAACCCATCGCCTTGTGGCCCCAATGCGCAGTGCAACACTGGAGTGTGCACTTGTTTGGCCGAATTCCATGGGGATCCCTACACCGGCTGCAGGCCCGAGTGCGTCTTGAGTTCCGATTGCCCCAGAGACAAGGCTTGCCATCGCAGCAAGTGTGTGAACCCCTGTCCGGGAACTTGTGGCGAAAATGCCATTTGCGATGTCATTAATCACATACCCATGTGCAGATGCCCCGAACGCACTGCTGGCAGCGCCTTTATTCGGTGCACCCCTGTGCTGAGTACGTCCAAATGGTTACTCCTTCTCAATGTTCCTCTAACTCTAACAACACCCATAGTTTCAGTAACTAATCCCTGCCGACCCTCGCCGTGTGGTCCCAATTCTCAGTGCCGCGAGGTTAATCAGCAAGCAGTGTGCTCGTGCCTGTCAGGCTTCATTGGAGCTCCGCCATCCTGCCGACCCGAGTGCACCTCAAACTCCGAGTGTGCACCCACCCAAGCCTGCCTCAATCAACGGTGCGGAGACCCCTGTCCCGGAACATGTGGAGTGGGCGCCAATTGTGCTGTTGTCAGTCATAGTCCCTTCTGTACATGTCCTGAGAGGTTTACGGGAAATCCATTTGTTCGTTGCCAGCCTCAAAGTAAGGATATTATGCCGAAAAAAGAGTCATCTTTACGAGAGTTGCCTTTCCTAGTTGACCCACCTGTTCGTGATGTTGCGCCCGTTGATCCCTGCCGCCCATCTCCTTGTGGACCTTATTCCCAGTGTCGGCCAGTTGGCGAGGCCCCTGCCTGCTCGTGTCTGGAAACCTACATTGGACGTCCGCCGAACTGTCGGCCAGAATGTGTGACCAGCTCGGACTGCACCAGTCAAATGGCCTGTGTCAACCAAAAGTGCGTTGATCCATGCCCAGGACGCTGTGGCCTCAATGCCGAGTGCCATGTGGTCAGCCATGCTGTGCAGTGTGTCTGCCAGCAGGGCTTCAACGGAGATCCATTCGTGCAGTGCAGACCGGAGATCGCATATGAAAATGAAATCCGAACACCGTGTAGTCCTAGTCCTTGTGGATCGAACGCCGTGTGCCGCGATCGCAATGGAGTTGGATCCTGCCAGTGCCTGCCGCAGTACTTTGGAGATCCTTACGAGGGTTGTCGCCCGGAGTGCATGATTGACTCGGATTGTCCGTCGAACAAGGCTTGTCAGCAACTGAGATGCCAGGATCCCTGCCCAGGAACTTGTGGACTGAATGCAAACTGTCAAGTGGTTAACCATTTGCCAACTTGTAACTGTCTAACCGGATATGTGGGAGACCCATACCGCCAATGTAATCGACTGCCAGAACGTAAGGAACATACAGCAATACCCTTTTTCTTCATTTCTCAAGCCCCAATTTTTAGCACCTCAAAACGAGTACGTGAATCCCTGTCAGCCCACACCCTGCGGTACCAACTCCCAATGTCGCGTTTCAAATGAGCAAGCTGTTTGCTCATGTCTACCACAATTTGTGGGAACTCCACCATCATGCCGCCCCGAGTGCACCATCTCCTCGGAGTGCTCTGTGGATAGGGCATGTGTTAATCAGAAGTGCGTGGATCCTTGTGCAGTGGACACATGCGGTAGCAATGCCATATGTAGGGTGCGCAATCACAGCCCCATTTGCAGTTGCATCAGCGGCTTCACAGGCGATGCCTTTACTCGTTGTTTCCCCATTCCACGTAAGCCTGACCCTCTTAAGCATTGGGTAATAGAAAGTAAATCCTTTCCTAATACAGCGCCGATTGTTGAGACTAAGGATGAACCCCTGAGAGATCCCTGTATACTAACACCTTGTGGTCCTAACTCTGAATGCCGAAACATCAATGGAGTGCCGGCTTGTTCGTGCTTGGCGAACTTTATCGGCCAGGCTCCAAACTGTCGCCCTGAGTGCACGATTAACTCGGAATGTCCCAGTCAGCAGGCGTGCATCAACCAAAAATGTCGCGATCCGTGTCCAGGAGCCTGCGGTCAGAATGCTGTTTGCAGAGTCACCAACCACACACCACTTTGCGCCTGCATCGATGGTTATATAGGCAATCCATTCACCAGCTGTAATCCCAAGCCACCAGAACGTAGGTGTCAAATTGAAATTTTACAGATCCAGCGAATGTTTACCCTTGTCCAACTATTCCCTCCTTTGTAGCGCCAGCGCCACCAATTGCCGACGATCCTTGCAACCCATCGCCTTGCGGAGCTAATGCTCTCTGTCGAAATGGCCAATGTTCGTGTATACCCGAATACCAGGGAGATCCGTATGTCTCTTGCCGTCCGGAGTGCGTGCTGAACACAGATTGTCCAAGAGATCGGGCCTGTGTGCGCAACAAATGCATCGATCCATGCCCTGGAACTTGCGGGGTTAACGCCTTGTGCGAGGTCACCAACCATATTCCCATTTGCCGCTGCCCAGAGCAGATGTCTGGCAATGCTTTCTTCGAGTGTCGACCAGTGCCTCCCGCCAAAATTCAAAATCCCTGCCAGCCAACCCCATGTGGTCCGAATAGTCAGTGCCGGGTGGTGCAGCAAACCGCGGTCTGCTCCTGCCTGACTGACTATGTGGGCAGTCCGCCGCAATGTAGACCGGAATGTGTGACCAACTCAGATTGTCCTGCCGATCAAGATTGCCAGAATATGAAATGTCGCGATCCCTGTCCTGGTACCTGCGGCTTCAATGCCCTCTGCAACGTTGTCAACCACCGACCCTTCTGCAGCTGCCCCTCAAGCATGTCCGGAAATCCCTTTGTGAGCTGCCAGCAGCTAAGTAAGCCACCATGGTTGTTTAATGCTTTTCCCATGCTTAAGCCTGAAGTTTTTTCAGTAATACGCGATGAGAGACCACAAAATCCCTGCCAGCCATCGCCTTGTGGCCCCAACTCCGAATGTCGCGTGTCAGGAGACTCACCATCATGTTCTTGCCTACCCGAATTTCAGGGTGCACCACCAAATTGCCGACCCGAGTGCATATCCAACTCTGAGTGTCCCACCAACCGTGCGTGTATCAACCAGAAATGCGTGGATCCCTGTCCAGGACTTTGCGGTCTTAATGCCAATTGTCGAGTATTCAGTCATAGTGCCATGTGCTTGTGTGACAGTGGCTTCACCGGAGATCCGTTTAGTCAATGCAGTCCATTTAGGGACACTCCTCCTGAAATTCTGCAACCATGCAACCCTAGTCCCTGCGGTGTAAACGCTAAGTGCGAGGAGCGTGGTGGTGCAGGATCATGCCAGTGCTTACCTGACTACTTCGGAAATCCCTATGATGGATGTCGACCCGAGTGCGTTCTGAACTCTGACTGTCCCTCAAATCTGGCGTGTGTAAACCAGAAATGTCGCGATCCCTGTCCCGGCACCTGTGGCCAAAGCGCCGAGTGCCAGGTGGTTAACCACTTGGCCACCTGTAATTGCCTGGTCGGTTACACCGGAGACCCGTACAGCTTGTGTCGCATTATAGTCAATGAGCCACGTAAGGATATATCGCTGCTTCATCCAGAACTTCGTGATCATCGTTGGTTTTATTTTCTAGCCGAACGCGTTTATGTTAATCCGTGCCAGCCATCTCCATGCGGTCCAAACTCGCAGTGCCGTGAAGTCAACGAGCAAGCCGTTTGTTCTTGCTTGCCAGAGTTTATTGGTACTCCGCCAGCATGTCGTCCGGAATGCACCAGCAGTTCGGAGTGCGTCGCTGACAAGGCTTGCATGAACCGCAAATGTGTGGATCCCTGTCCAAATGTTTGTGGACAGCAGGCCGAGTGTCGCGTGCGTAACCACAATCCGATTTGTACCTGCCTCAGTGGATTTACGGGTGATCCATTCACTCGTTGTTATCGTCAGCCGCGTAAGAAAACAGACCCGATTAAAATGGACTTTTGGTTACCAATAAGAACAAATCATTTCCAGCACCTCCGCCAGTGGACATTCAACGTGAACCCCTTGATCCTTGTGTTCCTTCACCATGCGGCGCAAATTCTCAGTGTCGCGAAATCCACGGCACACCATCCTGCTCTTGTCTGCCCCAGTACTTAGGAACTCCACCCAATTGTCGTCCGGAATGTTCCATTAATGCCGAATGTCTCAGTCATCAGGCCTGCATTAACCAGAAGTGTCGCGATCCTTGTCCCGGCTCTTGTGGTCTCAACACTCAGTGCAATGTGATTAACCACACGCCCATTTGCAGTTGTCTGGTGGGTTACATCGGTGACCCATTCAGCGTTTGCAATCCCCAGCCAATACCAGAGAAAAGTAAGACCTATTTAACGCTGGCAAAAGCTCATTAATCACATTTATCCTTTTAATAAACCAGTTCAAGACCCATTGCCCCCCGAGGATCCGTGCAACCCATCACCTTGTGGCTCTAACACTCAATGCAACAATGGGGTATGCTCTTGTCTGCCAGAATACCATGGCGATCCGTATACCGGTTGTCGTCCTGAGTGCGTCCTTCACACCGACTGTGATCGTAGTAGGGCTTGTGTACGCCACAAGTGCGTTGATCCTTGTCCCGGTGTCTGTGGCACCAACGCGATATGTGAGGTTTTGAACCACATTCCAAACTGCCGCTGTTTGGAGAGAATGCAGGGCAATGCCTTCATTCAATGCAGTCCAATTCCACGTAAGAATGGTTCAGCCCAAGTCCTCCTCCTTCCTAGTTACTACAAAGTTGAAAACTTTACAGAGTTCGACGTGGTGCAGAATCCTTGCCAACCAACGCCATGTGGACCCAACTCTCAGTGTCGCGTTGTTAACCAGCAGGCCATCTGCTCCTGCATCTCGCCTTTCATAGGAAGCCCGCCGTTCTGCCGACCGGAATGCACCACCAATTCGGATTGTCCCTTGAACCTGGCGTGCCGTAACCAGAAGTGCAGTGATCCCTGTCCTGGAGTTTGTGGTCGGGGTGCCCAGTGTCATGTGACTAATCACAGTCCATTCTGCCGCTGCTTGGAACGCTACACGGGTAATCCGTTCGTGAGTTGTCAACAAATCATTGAACCCCCGGTGCCACCACCAAGGCAAACTTGCCTGCCATCACCCTGCGGACCGTACTCCCAGTGCCGTGAAGTAAACGAGTCACCTTCATGCACCTGTCTGGCAGACTACATTGGAGTACCACCCAATTGTCGACCGGAGTGCGTGACCAGTTCAGAGTGTCCCTCGAATCAGGCCTGCATTCAGCAGAAGTGTCGCGATCCCTGTCCAGGACTATGTGGACAATTAGCGGAATGTCGAGTAATCTCGCACACGCCAAGCTGTGTATGTCCGGAAGGAATGGAAGGTGATCCGTTTACTCTCTGCACGGAGAAGAGGATTCAGGAACGGGACCAGTTGGACCCTTGCAGTCCCAGTCCTTGTGGAATCAATGCCCGCTGTACCTCTCGCCAGGATGCCGGCTCTTGTCAATGCTTGCCAGATTACTTTGGCAATCCCTACGAGGGATGTCGCCCTGAGTGCGTCCTCAATTCGGACTGTCCATCGAACAAAGCTTGTCAGCAACAGAAGTGTCAGGATCCGTGTCCAGGAACTTGTGGTCAGAATGCGCTGTGCAATGTTCTCAATCATGTTCCCAGTTGTAGTTGCATAACAGGCTATTCGGGTGATCCGTATAGATCGTGTGTCCCAGAACGTAAGGCTATTAATCAGAGTCCATCGAATTTTGTAAACTTTCATGAGTTATCTACCCTTGTAGCCGTCAAGGAATACGTCAATCCCTGCCTGCCATCGCCTTGTGGTCCCAATTCCCAGTGTCGTGAGGTCAACGAACAGGCCATATGCTCGTGTTTGTCAGAATATGTTGGCGCTCCGCCGGTGTGCCGACCCGAATGTACGATTTCTTCAGAGTGCCCGACTGACAAGGCCTGTGTGAATCAGAAATGTATAGATCCCTGTCCCAACACTTGTGGGGAACAAGCCATCTGTCGTGTCGTGAACCACAGTCCCATTTGTTCCTGTCGCGCCGGTTACACAGGCGATGCCTTTTTCCGCTGCTTCCCCAAGCCTCGTAAGTGACTTCGTTCTTAAACAGTTGGACCCAGTCTTAACCGTCTTATCATTTCAAAAGCGGTACCACCTACACCTATTCAAAAGACTCCAGTTGACCCTTGTGTGCCCTCACCCTGCGGTCCCTACTCCCAGTGCCGGTCCCAAGGAGATGCTCCTGCCTGTTCCTGTTTGATTGGATATTTGGGAGCGCCTCCCAATTGCCGACCTGAATGCCGCATCAACGCCGAGTGTCCCAGTAGTCAGGCGTGCATCAATGAGAAGTGTAGGGATCCCTGCCCCGGCTCCTGTGGCTACGGTGCCATTTGTAATGTAATCAATCACACGCCCAGCTGCATTTGCCCGGCAGGCTACTCTGGTGACCCATTCAGTCAGTGCCAGCCCCTGCCACCACCGCCACCAACACGTAAGAATGCACACCGACTGTTAATAGTGTAGAGAGGATTCAAACTATTCCCTTCTCAGCCGCTAAGCTTGACGATCCATGCAACCCATCGCCTTGCGGGCCGAACGCTCAGTGCAATAATGGAGTCTGCACCTGCATTCCCGAATACCACGGCGATCCGTACAGCGGATGCCGACCAGAGTGCATTACCAGTGCAGATTGTTCGCGAGAACTCGCCTGCTCGCGTCACAAGTGTTTCGACCCTTGCCCGGGAACCTGTGCCCCCAACGCCATTTGTACTGTGCTCAATCACGTGCCCATGTGCACTTGTCCGGAGGGTTATAACGGCAATGCGTTTGTTCAGTGTCAGCCCACACCACGTAAATATTTCTCTTTAGGCCAAACCAACGAATCCCAACGCAACGTTTCCCTTACAGCCCCTGTCCTCGTCCAGCCTTGCCAGCCCTCTCCATGCGGTCCGAACTCACAATGCCGCGAAGTCAACCAGCAGGCTGTATGCTCCTGTGTGTCAGGTTATTTTGGAACCCCACCGCTTTGTCGTCCAGAATGTACATCAAACTCGGAATGTTTGTCGCAACAGGCGTGTGTTAACCAAAAGTGTATGGATCCGTGTCCCGGTTCGTGTGGTCGCAATGCGCAGTGCAGTGTGGTGAACCACAATCCCTTCTGTACCTGTCTGCCTCGCTTTACTGGCAATCCTTTCGTGGGTTGTCAACAGATTATCGAACCGCCACGCCAAGATATTGTACCTCAGGATCCCTGCCGTCCATCGCCTTGTGGTCCCAACTCCGAATGTCGCGCTGTTGGTGAGACACCAACTTGTACGTGTCTTGCTGATTTCGTGGGCTCTCCGCCATATTGCAAACCCGAATGTGTGGCGAACTCTGAGTGTCTTTCGAACCTGGCTTGTATCAATCAAAAGTGTCGCGATCCCTGTCCTGGATTGTGCGGTTTTAGTGCCTCATGTCGCGTCGTCTCCCACACTGCAATCTGCATTTGCGATGCGGGCTTGACCGGAGATCCTTTTACCCAGTGTCAGCCCATTGTGGCCGATGTGGAGATCATCAATCCCTGCCAGCCCTCGCCTTGCGGCGCCAATGCTGAGTGCATCCAACGGAATGGAGCCGGAGCCTGTCAGTGTCTCGCAGAATATTTCGGAAACCCCTATGAGGGCTGTCGGCCGGAGTGTGTTTTGAACTCGGACTGCCCCTCGAATAGAGCTTGTCAGCAGCAGAAGTGCCGTGATCCCTGCCCCGGAAGCTGTGGACAGAACGCCGAGTGCAATGTGGTTAACCACACACCCATGTGCAACTGCTTCGCTGGATTTGTAGGCGATCCATACCGCTATTGTAGCCAACCGCCAGAACGTAAGCGAGTTCCAATTATTCACATAGTTGTACTAAATTTGGTCGTAGTCGTGGAAGTAGTTACTAATTCGTACTGTATTCTAACCATAACTAGCTGTTGTCCATGAGTATGTGAACCCCTGTCAACCGTCACCTTGTGGCCCGAATTCTAATTGTCGCGAGGTCAACGAGCAGGCCGTGTGCTCCTGCCGTCAAGAATTTGAAGGAGCTCCCCCCAACTGCCGACCCCAGTGCACCTCGAGCTCTGAATGCGCCCCCACCAAGGCATGTATCAACCAAAAGTGCGTTGATCCCTGCCCTGGTGTTTGTGGCCAGCAGGCAATCTGTGAGGTGCGCAACCATAGTCCAATCTGTAGGTGTCCCACCGGCATGTCCGGTGACCCCTTCGTGCGTTGCTTGCCCCGACCAACAAGTAAGGATAAGAAATCATGTGTACTTGAGCTACCCTAACCCGTTCTACCCGAAACCAGTCCCACCACCGCCCTTGAGGGATGTAGTCCCTTACCGAGATCCCTGTCTTCCTTCACCCTGTGGCCTGTACTCGTCGTGCAGGAATCAACAGGATCAGGCCGTTTGTTCTTGCTTGCCCAATTACTTTGGCACTCCGCCGCATTGTCGTCCCGAGTGCACCATCAATGCCGAGTGTCCAAGTCACTTGGCCTGCATCGGCGAGCGCTGCCGCGATCCCTGTCCCGGTGCCTGTGGTCAGCAGACCGAGTGCCGAGTCATCAGTCACGTTCCCAGTTGTGTTTGCCTGCGGGGCTATGTGGGCGATGCTTTCCTGGCCTGCCATCCAGCACCACGTAAGAGTTTTGCAGTGTAAAACCCCTTTCTATGGACTAAGACTAGGAACCCTTTCACAGCCCCACCAGCCCGTGAAGAACCCCGCGATCCGTGCAATCCTAGTCCCTGCGGCAGCAATGCCATTTGCTCAAATCAGGGAGGGTGTTCATGTCTGGCCGATTATCAAGGCGATCCCTACGTGGCCTGCAGACCCGAGTGTGTGCTAAGCTCGGAGTGTCCTCGAAATCTGGCATGCATACATCAGAAATGCACTGATCCCTGCCCCGGAACGTGTGGCAGTAATGCCATCTGCGATGTCGTTAACCACATCGCCATGTGCCATTGTCCCGAGCGAATGACCGGCAATGCTTTTGTGCAATGCTCCCCAGTGCAACGTAGGTTATACTCTCATTTTTTTTAGCAAATCCCAGTTCATTCCTTACCTCTTCTCCAGTGGATGTATATCGCAACCCTTGTAATCCCTCGCCATGCGGCTCCAATGCCGAGTGTCGAGAGCAGAACGGTCAAGCGGTGTGCAGCTGTCTGCCCAACTATTTTGGTGTGCCTCCCTCTTGTCGACCCGAATGTAGCACCAACTACGATTGTTCCCCCAGTTTGGCTTGTCAGAACCAACGGTGTGTCGACCCCTGTCCAGGATCATGTGGGGCCTATGCCGACTGCCGAGTTGTTAGCCACAGTCCTTTCTGTAGTTGCAGACCCGGCTATACTGGCAATCCCATCGTCCAGTGTCATGTGATTAGTAAGTTCAAGTGCATATCTAAATTGAAAGAAGACCATATAGTTAATGCCCCGCCTGTAGTTGAACCTCAACGGGATCTTGTGCCGCAAGACCCTTGCCAGCCTTCACCCTGTGGACCGAATAGCGAGTGTCGCCGCGTGGGCGACACACCATCCTGCTCTTGCCTGTCAAACTTCTTTGGCACACCGCCCAACTGCCGACCCGAATGTGTCTCCAACTCTGAGTGCAGCCAGTTGCATGTGTGTATTAATAACCGCTGCAAGGATCCGTGTCCGGGTCTCTGCGGCACTGATGCCGTGTGTCGGGTGATCAGTCACAGTGCCATGTGCTACTGCCAGCCGGGCTACAGCGGCGATCCATTTGTCCGTTGTGCACCACATATTCAAAGGGAACCGATTGAGATTGTGCAACCCTGCAACCCGAATCCGTGCGGCTCCTTCGCCGAGTGTCGTCAGCAGAATGGAGTCGGTTCCTGCCAGTGTCTGCCGGAGTATTTCGGCAATCCCTATGAGGGATGTCGACCTGAGTGTGTGCTCGACTCCGATTGCCCCTCTCAGCTGGCCTGTGTCAATCAGAAATGCCGAGATCCCTGTCCCGGAAGTTGTGGCCAAAATGCCGAATGCTTTGTGCGTAATCACTTGCCAACTTGTAACTGCTTCAGCGGGTATATGGGTGACCCCTATCGCTATTGCAACATTGAACCGAAACGTAAGCGGACCCTTTATTATTTCCCTTGACCTCATCTCTAGACATTTTAAATTCCTTTACAGCCATACGGGAATACGTCAACCCATGTCAACCCTCTCCTTGCGGTCCCAACTCTCAGTGTCGCGAGCAGAATGGTGTGGCCACCTGCTCCTGTTTGCCCGAGTTTGTAGGCCTTCCGCCAGGTTGCCGACCTGAGTGTACCGTCTCCTCAGAGTGTAATCTTGACAAGGCGTGCGTTCGTCACAAGTGCATTGATCCTTGTCCTGGTGCTTGTGGCAGTTCTGCCAATTGCCAGGTGGTGAACCATGCTCCACTTTGCTCTTGTCAAGCAGGTTATACAGGAGATCCCTTTACCCGTTGCTACCCCAATCCTCGTAAGTTTTCAAACCGGAGAAGCCTTTTTCCCCTTCTTATCCTTCCCTTTCCCGTTTAGCTCCACCTACGCACATCATCCACGATGTAGTGCGAGATCCTTGCCAACCGTCTCCCTGTGGGGCCAATGCCCAATGTAGACAGTCCCAGGGTCAAGCCATCTGCTCCTGTTTACCCAACTACTTTGGTGTTCCGCCCAATTGTCGACCCGAGTGCACTCAGAGTTCAGAGTGTCTGTCCAGTCTGGCCTGCATCAATCAACGGTGCGCCGATCCCTGTCCCGGCTCCTGTGCCTACAATGCCATGTGTCATGTGCGAAATCACGTTCCCAGTTGTCAGTGCCCCGTGGGATATGTAGGTGATCCGTTCACCAATTGCCAACCCCAACCTCAACCACCACGTAAGAATTATAAAGTGTGTAAAGTGTTGTTCCTACAAGCATAACGCCTTGCCCTCACCCTCAGCCAAACCCATTGCTTTCGACGACCCCTGTAATCCATCTCCCTGTGGATCAAATGCCCTGTGCCAGAATGGTCAATGTTCTTGTATAGCCGAGTACCAAGGAGACCCGTATATTGGCTGTCGTCCGGAGTGCGTTTTGAATGCAGATTGTGCGCGAAATCGAGCTTGCGTTCGTCATAAGTGTGTGGATCCTTGTCCAGGAACGTGCGCTCCCAACGCCATCTGCGATGTGCTTAACCACATTGCCATGTGTCGCTGTCCGGAACAAATGACAGGCAATGCCTTCATCCAGTGTGAAACTCCGCCAAAGTTGCTGACACCACCTGATCCATGCTATCCCTCGCCCTGCGGTCCGAATAGTCGCTGCCGTGTGTTTAACGACAATGCTGTTTGCTCCTGCATTGAGGATTTCGTTGGAACACCACCAAATTGTCGACCAGAGTGTACGCACAACTCGGACTGCCTACCTAGTTTGGCTTGCCAGAGGCAGCATTGCATGGATCCGTGCCCCGGAACTTGTGGCTTTAATGCTCTTTGCCATGTGGTTAACCATGCACCGATTTGCAGTTGCCCACCAAGACACAATGGAAATCCCTTCCTGGGCTGCTTCCCAGAACCAGTGCGACGTGATGAAATGGTTCCAAAGAACCCATGCCAACCCTCGCCATGTGGTCCATACGCCAAGTGCTCGTCTGTGGGAGACCAGGCGCAGTGCAGTTGCCTGCCCGAATACATTGGAACACCGCCCAACTGCCGGCCGGAGTGTGTAACCAATTCGGAGTGCTCCTTCGACAAGGCCTGTTTGAACCAACGATGCCGTGATCCCTGCCCTGGAACATGTGGCTCCAATGCCAATTGCCATGTGCTAAGCCATGCTGCCATGTGCTACTGCCTACCAGGCTACACTGGCGACCCATTCACGTCCTGTCGTCAGGTACCATTGATCCAGCAAGCCGAGATCGTTCAACCTTGCTCTCCCAATCCTTGTGGAGCCAATGCTGTGTGTCGCCAGGAAGGCAATGTCGGTTCCTGCCAATGCCTGCCCGAATACTACGGAAATCCATACGAGATTTGTCGTCCGGAGTGTGTAACGAATAACGACTGCCCGGCCCATAAATCCTGCCAGCAGATGAAGTGTCGAGATCCTTGCCCAGGAGTCTGTGCCCTAAATGCTTTGTGTCGGGTGATTAATCACTTGCCAACTTGTCATTGTCAGAACGGCTTTGTTGGTGACCCCTACCGCTATTGCCAAGTTCCCGAGAAACGTGAGTTCCGTGTAGAGTATATTCTGTGGTTAGAGATGTTAACCAATCAATTCCCCTACCTTTAGCTGTCCTCAAAGAATATGTCAATCCCTGCCAGCCATCACCGTGTGGTCCAAACTCCCAGTGCCGAGAAAACAACGAACAGGCCACCTGCACATGTCTGCTCGAGTATGTGGGTGCTCCGCCCAATTGTCGACCCGAGTGTGTGACTAGTGCAGAGTGTCCTCATGACAATGCGTGCATTAGGCAAAAGTGTAGTGATCCCTGCCCCGGTGTGTGCGGTTCCAATGCCGATTGTCGTGTCATCCAGCATGCCCCAATTTGCAGTTGTCGCCCTGGTTTCACTGGCGATGCCTTCACTCGCTGCTTGCCCCTGCCAAGTAAGATTTTATCTCTAGGGTGTACCCAACTTTCTTGCTTACCCTCCTTCAACTTACAGCCCCAAGACCACCACAGTTGGACGTGTATCGCAATCCTTGTGTACCCTCGCCTTGTGGTCAGTTTGCAGAGTGTCGGGATAACCGAGGAACTGCTACTTGCAGCTGTCTGCCTTCCTATTTTGGCACTCCGCCCAACTGTCGCCCCGAGTGTACCATTAACCCCGACTGCCCCGCTCATCTATCCTGCCAACAGCAGCGTTGTCGCGATCCCTGTCCCGGAGCCTGTGGATTCAATGCCTTGTGCACGGTTATCAATCACAATCCCACGTGCCAGTGTGCGCCTGGACTAATTGGCAACGCCTTCACATCCTGTTATGCTCCACCACCAGTCGCTAGGGATCCCCCCCAAATAAGTGATCCTTGTTCTTTGATTACGTGTGGTGCCAATGCAGTTTGCAATCAAGGTCAATGCAGTTGTTTGCCTGAATTTGTGGGCAACCCATTCGTGGGATGTCGTCCAGAATGTGTGCTGAGCACGGAATGCGACTGGAACAAGGCATGCGTAAGAAACAAGTGTGTCGATCCATGCCCTGGAACGTGCGGATCCAATGCCATTTGTGAGGTGCACAGACACATAGCTATGTGTCATTGTCCACCGGGAATGACAGGAAATGCCTTCAGCCAATGCCGACCTCTACCACCACCTCCAACGCGCGATGTCGTCGATCCTTGTCAGCCCTCACCATGCGGACCAAATGCCCAATGTCGCAATATCAACGGACAGGCTGTGTGCTCGTGTCTTCCCGACTTTGTTGGAGTCCCACCATCCTGTCGACCAGAGTGCATCAGTAATGCGGAGTGTCCGCTGCACTTGGCTTGTCTCCAACAACATTGTCGAGATCCCTGCCCCGGAGTTTGTGGCTTGAACGCTGAATGTCGAGTGATTAATCACAGCCCGAATTGCCATTGCATTGGCTCTTTTACGGGAAATCCTTTCGTGGCTTGTCACCGACAACCACCACCACCGATTAGGCAAGACCCTATCGATCCTTGTCATCCATCTCCGTGTGGAGCTAATGCTGAATGCCGTGCACAGGGAAGCAATGCTCAATGCAGTTGCCTAGCCGACTTCATTGGCACACCGCCCAATTGCCGACCAGAGTGTGTGTCCAACTCAGATTGCCCCACGAATCTGGCTTGCCAGAATCAGAAGTGCCGCGATCCCTGCCCAGGTGTCTGTGGCTCCAATGCTGAGTGTTATGTGATTAATCATACTCCCATGTGCACGTGTCTTAGTGGACAAACTGGCAATCCTTTTGTGGGCTGTCAAGTGGTGCGAGATATTCAAGAGCCGCTTACACCATGTGTACCCAGTCCTTGTGGAGCCAACGCTCTCTGTACGGAGAGGAATGGAGCTGGAGCCTGTCAGTGTCTTCCGGAGTTCTTCGGTAATCCCTATGAAGGCTGTCGACCCGAGTGTGTGCTTAACTCGGACTGCCCAAGCCATCTGGCCTGTCTCAATCAGCATTGCCGCGATCCCTGTCCCGGAACCTGTGGTCCAAATGCCCAGTGCCAAGTGCGCGATCACCTGCCGCAATGCAACTGCCTTGCGGGCTACCAGGGAAATCCCTATGTCTACTGTAGTGTCCTGCGTGAACGTAAGCAGATCGAATACTTAATAGTCCTTAAACTTACCCTGTCTCTTATCCGACAGCCCTGCCCGAACCCATTCCCTCACGCCCCTGTCAGCCCTCACCCTGTGGCCCGAACTCCCAGTGCCGTGAGTCGAATAACCAAGCGATTTGCAAGTGTCTGCCCGATTTCATTGGATCCCCGCCGGCCTGTAGGCCCGAGTGTACTATCTCCAGCGAGTGCGACTTGACCCTGGCGTGTGTCCAACAACACTGTGTCGATCCGTGTCCAGGTGTTTGCGGCAGTAGTGCCCAGTGTCGGGTTATTAACCACAGTCCGCACTGTAGTTGCCTGCCTGGTTACACGGGTGATGCCATCAGTGGTTGTCAACGCATACGTAAGACTCAGACTTCTTTGCATATCCCTCTGAGCCTCCTTAACGCTAAACCCTTTGCAGCACCCGCAATTAGCTACGATGTTCCCAAGGAAACCTACCGCGACCCCTGTGCTCCCTCTCCCTGTGGCGCCTTTGGCCAATGCCGTGCTCAGGGCAACCAGGCAATTTGCTCTTGTCTGCCTGGTTACTTTGGAGCTCCTCCCAATTGCCAGCCGGAATGCGTGATTAATCCGGACTGCGCCTCTCATTTGGCGTGTATCAGTGAAAAGTGTCGCGATCCGTGTCCCGGTTCTTGTGGACTTCTGGCCCAATGCAACGTCATTAACCACACACCCATCTGCAGTTGTCCATCAGGTTATCAGGGCAATCCCTTCGTAAGCTGTCAACGAACTCCTCCACCACCAACTCCGCCCCTTCGCGATGCCTGTAATCCCTCGCCTTGTGGCTCCAATGCAATCTGCAGTCCTGGTGGTCGGTGTTCTTGTCTGCCCGACTTCGATGGCAATCCCTATGTGGGCTGTCGTCCAGAGTGCGTCCTGAACACGGACTGTGCCAGGGACAGAGCCTGCCAGCGCAGCAAGTGCACAGATCCCTGTCCAGGAGCTTGTGGTGTTGGAGCAGTTTGCGAAGTGCGCAACCATATACCCACATGTAATTGTCCGCCTGGAACTTCGGGCAACGCTTTCGTCCAGTGTACCGTTGTGCAATGTAGGTTTCAAACTAAGAATCCAGTAATTTAAGAATCCCCATTTAACAATTCCTTGTTCTATTTAGCTTTTCCCGTGGAGCCCTTAAATCCCTGTCAACCATCCCCGTGTGGAAACAATGCCCAATGCCGAGTGGCTAACGAGCAGGCCATCTGCTCTTGCTTGCCCGGCTACTTTGGTGTCCCTCCAAAATGTCGCCCCGAGTGCACCATCAACTCGGACTGTGCCCCGCATCTAGCCTGCTTAAATCAGCAGTGCCGCGATCCTTGTCCTGGAGCATGTGGACAGTTTGCTCAGTGCCAGGTCATTAGACATGTGCCGCACTGCAGTTGTCCACAGGGATACTCAGGCAACGCCTTCTTCCTTTGCCACCGTGTACCACCTCCACCACCAGTCCAAAGAGAACCGCTGAACCCTTGCTCACCATCACCATGCGGAGCCAATGCAGAGTGTACTAGTCAGAATGACAAGGCAATTTGCAAGTGCCTGAAGGATTACGTAGGAACACCACCCTACTGTCGACCGGAGTGCATTACATCATCGGAGTGTCCGAATCAACTAGCTTGCATTGCCCAGAAATGCAAGGATCCTTGTCCTGGACTTTGTGGAAACGCTACCAGCTGTCAAGTTGTCAGTCACGTGCCTTCGTGCATCTGCATTGCGGACTACATTGGTGACCCCTACACCGGATGCTATTCACGACCACAGATTCAGCGCGAGCAGATCAATCCCTGCTTCCAAAACCCTTGCGGAAGCAATGCCGTGTGCCGAGAGCGAGGTGGAGCCGCTTCATGCCAGTGTCTACCGGAATATTATGGCAATCCCTACGAGGGATGTCGACCCGAATGTGTGCTCAACTCTGACTGTTCGAGCCATTTGGCTTGCTTAAATCAACATTGCCGCGATCCCTGCCCCGGAAGCTGTGCCCCCAATGCCCAGTGTCAAGTCGTTAACCACGTGCCCAGTTGTAGTTGCTATCCCGGATACAGTGGTGATCCCTATCGCCACTGTAGTGTGGTCCAGGCGGAACGTAAGCAGTTTCCTCCCAGTCAATCCGTTAAACCTTGCACTAACATACCAATTTACCATTACCCCCAATCTGCACTTCTATGTTCCTCTCCAGCCGTCCAAGTTGTCCACTTTAATCCCTGCCAGCCCTCGCCGTGTGGTCCCAACTCTCAGTGCACCGAGTCCCAGGGTCAGGCGGTGTGTCGCTGCCTACCCGATTACTTTGGTTCCCCACCAGCTTGTCGTCCCGAGTGCACCAGTAATCCCGAATGTCCCAATGATAGAGCCTGCGTGGCTAGAAGGTGTACCGACCCATGTGTGGGCGCTTGTGGCCAGAATGCCATTTGTCGAGCACATCAACATAGAGCTCATTGCTCATGTCATCCTGGTTACACAGGAGATGCCTTTATGCGCTGTCTTCCCTTGCCTCCGCCCCAACCTGTTAGGGATTCACCCGTAATCTACAGAGACCCATGTGTTCCCTCGCCCTGTGGAAAGTTTGCCCAGTGTCGGGTGGAGTACGAGCAAGCCGTGTGCTCCTGCCAGACTTCTTACTACGGCACTCCTCCTTACTGCCGACCCGAGTGCACCCAGAACTCAGATTGTCCCAGCCATAGGGCTTGTGTCAATCAAAGGTGCGTGGATCCTTGCCCTGGGGCTTGTGGTCTGAACGCCCAATGTGATGTGCTTAATCATGTGCCTACCTGCACATGTCTCAGAGGTTTCGTGGGAGATCCCTTTTACCGTTGTTATCCAGCCCCAACACCTCCTGCCACCCCTGTTACTATTGTTGCGGATGATCCTTGTCAGCCCTCGCCCTGCGGTCCCAATGCCCAGTGCTCGAACGGTGTCTGCAGTTGTCTGCCCTTGTACCAGGGGGATCCCTACGTGGGCTGTCGCCCAGAGTGCGTATTGAGTACGGAGTGTCCATGGAACAAGGCCTGTATCCGCAATCGTTGCCTGGATCCGTGTCCAGGAACTTGCGGATCTGGAGCCACGTGTCAGGTGCATAATCATGTGGCCATGTGTCAGTGTCCGGCTGGTTATCAGGGCAATCCGTTTGTACTGTGCCGGCTGACACCTCAACAGGCCCCCATAGAGCTACATCCCTGTCAGCCTTCGCCTTGTGGACCCCACGGACAATGCCGGGAAGTTGGCACGCAAGCCATTTGCACTTGTCTGCCCGGCTTTTACGGAAATCCTCCAGCCTGTCGACCCGAATGTGTCAGCGACCCAGAGTGTCCACCCAGTCTGGCTTGTGTGAATCAAAAGTGCCGCGATCCCTGTCCTGGAGCTTGTGGTTACATGGCCCAGTGTCATGTGATTAACCACGGTCCGCAGTGTGTTTGCCCCGCTGGCTACACCGGAAGTCCCTACTCCCAGTGCCAGTTGATCAGGACAGATTACACACCAGTTCAGCGCGAACCAATTGATCCGTGTTCGCCGACTCCCTGTGGTCCTCATGCCCAGTGCAGCAATGAGGGAGGCAATGCGGTTTGCCGCTGTCAGCCGGATTATTTAGGCGTACCACCCTATTGTCGACCCGAGTGCATTGCCAACAGTGAATGTCCCAGTGATAGGGCCTGTATCAATCGGAAGTGTCAAGATCCATGCCCAGGACTGTGCGGTTACAATGCCATCTGTCGAACATACAACCACCAGCCAAATTGTGTTTGTGCTCCTGGATTAGTGGGCAATCCCTTCAACTCCTGCCTGCCACCAACACAAATTGAAGTTTCACCAACACCACCCACAACTGCTATTCAGGTGCTTCAGTATGAGGAACCGTTTATCAATGGTTGTGAACCCAATCCCTGTGGAGCAAATGCTCAATGCAAGCAGCGAAGAGGAGTAGTCGCTTGTGTCTGCCTGCCTGACTATTTCGGCAATCCCTACGAAGCCTGTCGGCCGGAGTGCATTTTGAACTCCGATTGTCCCTCAAGTAGAGCTTGTGTGCAGCAAAAATGTCGAGATCCGTGTCCCGGCACCTGTGGCCTGAATGCCGAGTGCTATGTTCTGGATCATCTGCCTCAGTGCAGGTGTTTCAGCGGTTACACTGGAAATCCGTTGGCATACTGCGCACCTGTTCCTATAGTCCAGAAATGTAAGCATCCATACATTCAAATGTCCGTACCGAATTTTGATAATATATTTTGTGTGCCAACCCCTTTAGCCCCATTGACTCCATGTGATCCCTCACCCTGTGGAGCCAATGCCCAATGTCACCCGTCAAATAATGAAGCCGTATGCTCCTGTTTACCCGAATTCTATGGAACCCCTCCTAACTGTCGACCCCAATGTACTCTTAACTCAGAGTGTGCTTATGATAAGGCTTGTGTTCATCACAAGTGTGTCGATCCCTGTCCTGGAATTTGTGGTATTAACGCTGAATGTCGCGTCCACTACCACAGTCCCATATGTTACTGCATCTCTTCCCATACGGGTGATCCGTTCACACGTTGTTACGAGACCCCAAAACGTAAGAACATAATTAAACCTTCGAATGCCATAGACAAATCGGTTAACAAAAACCATTTTATAAATCTAATTGAAACAGCTGTTCAACCCCAAATATACGACACACCTTCTCCTCCCTATCCGGTTGCTATACCTGATCTCGTGTACATACAACAACAACAACCGGGAATAGTAAATATTCCTTCTGCCCCTCAACCTGGATACCCCGCGTCTCAGCAACCAGTTTTTAATGTGAACCATCCATCACCACAACCAGGAAGTCCTCAACAACCCGGAGTAGTTAATATACCTTCTGTGTCACAGCCAGTCTACCCATCGCCCCAGCCACCTGTTTACAATGTCAACTACCCGACAACGTCTTATCCAGTTCCCCAGCAACCCGGTGTTGTAAATATTCCTTCTGCACCCCAACCGGTGCCTCCGACATCACAGATACCAGTGTTTATACCATCGCCCGTGAATTCATCCCCTGCACCTCAGCCAGGAGTTATCAATATTCCTTCAGTGCCGCAACCTGGATATCCTTCGCCACAAACCCCGGTTTATGATGTTAACTACCCAACGACACCGACTCCTATTCCACAACCTGGCGTGGTTAATATTCCATCTGTGCCACATCCAGCATATCCTACTCCAAGGCCTCCGACCTATGATGTGAACTACCCAACACAACCACCACCAGTACATCCTGGCATAATCAATATACCATCTGTGCCACAGCCGACAACTCCATCACAACAACCTCCCGTTTTTATACCTTCTCCTGAAAGACCGACGCCAGCTACCCAGCCAGGAGTAATAAATATTCCCTCGGTAGCACAGCCAGTATACCCAACACCTCAGTCACCTATTTATGATGTGAACTATCCAACAACACCGTCTCCCGTTCCTCAGAAGCCTGTAGTGATAAATATTCCCTCAGCACCCCAACCAGTGCATCCTTTAACGAATCCTCCAGTTTACGATGTTAACTATCCAACGTCACCACCAATTCCTCAACAACCAGAGATTCTTAATATACCATCGCACCCACAGCCAGTGCCACCGTCTCCCCAACCACCTATAAATATACCATCTAATGAGACTCCATCGTCTGCACCACATCCTGGAATTATAAATATTCCTTCGTTCCAACAACCTGTTTATCCTACGCCACATGCCCCTGTTTACGACGTTAACTACCCAACGTCACCACCAGTGATAACGCCGCAACCTGGAGTCGTTAACATTCCATCAGTGCCGCAGCCAGTGCCTCCGGTTTCTCAACGTCCCGTATTTATACCGTCACCTGAAAATACGACACCTGCTCCTCAACCAGGAGTCATTAATATACCTTCAGTGGCACAGCCAGTGCATCCAACATATCAAACTACGGTTGTGCAACGACCGGCTATATACGATGTGTATTACCCACCACCTCCGTCAAGACCGGGTGTGATCAACATTCCTTCGCCACCACGTCCTGTATACCCGGTTCCCCAACAGCCAATCTACATACCAGCACCAGTTTTGAACATACCAGCTCCAAGACCAATCATTCATAACATTCCTTCAGTACCGCAGCCGACGAACCCACTTACGAATCCACCTATCCAGGATGTTATTTATCCATCTCCAACGCCAACTCCTCCAGCACCAGGAATAATTAATATTCCTTCGGTGCCTCAGCCGGTGCCATCGCCAACTCCTGGCGTGATCAATATACCGTCGCAACCATCGCCGCCGATCTTAGTGCCAGCTCCAGGAGTTGTAAACATTCCCTCGGTTCCACAACCGACGTATCCACCTCAAAACCCACCAATTCACGATGTCAGCTATCCAATGCCACATCCAACTCCTCCAGCACCAGGAATTATTAATATTCCTTCGGTGCCTCAGCCGGTGCCATCTCTAACTCCTGGTGTGATCAATATTCCTTCTCAACCATCCCCACCAGTCTCAGTGGAAAAGCCTGGAATAATTAACATTCCAACGATACAACAACCTACAACTCCAACCCCTCAAAATCCGATACAAAATGTCCAATATCAGACCCAGAGACCACAACCTACCCCTGGAATAATCAACATACCCTCCGTGCCACAACCGACGTATCCGACTCAAAAGCCATATTACCAAGATGTTAACTACCCAACTCCACAACCTAATCCACCGATACCGGGGGTTATTAACGTTCCTTCGTTGCCCCAGCCTGTGCCTTCACACATTCCTGGTGTGATTAATGTACCCTCACAACCATATCAGCCGGTACCATCACCAACACCCGGAATAACCAACATTCCGTCGGTACCGCAACCTATACCTTCAACACCGGAAAATCCTGTCCAGGAGGTCCAACACGATACTCACAGACCACAACCTATTCCTGGCGTGGTCTATGTCCCAACTGTACCGCAACCAACTCCAGAGCGTCCCAACTATGATGTGGCAAAGCCCGTTTTCGACTTTAACCCGTGCTATCCATCGCCTTGTGGACCCTACTCGCATTGTCACAATAGATTTGGAGTGGCTGCCTGCGTTTGCATTCCAAACTATATTGGAACTCCACCCAATTGCCGACCAGAATGCGTAATTAACTCGGATTGCCCATCAACCTTGGCCTGTATCAATGAAAAATGTCGGGATCCTTGCCCAGGATCTTGTGCTTACAATGCAGTGTGCCGTGTCCATGAACATGTACCGAACTGCTTCTGCCAAACCGGCTACACCGGAAATCCATTTGTATCGTGTCAGCCCACACCGATAGTCCCTGTTCAACGTGAGCCCATTGAGGCGAAGGACCCATGCTATCCATCTATCTGCGGACCGAACGCCGTGTGTAATAATGGAAAATGCAGTTGTATACCGGAATATCATGGAGATCCATATGTTGGTTGTCGGCCGGAATGTGTCCTCAATACGGATTGTGCCAGGGACAAGGCTTGCATCCGTCAGAAGTGCCAAGATCCTTGTCCAGGCACTTGTGGATTAAATGCCTTGTGCCATGTATACAATCACGTGGCCATCTGTACATGTCCAGAGCAAATGCAGGGAGATGCTTTTGTGAGATGTGACTCAATACCCAAGCCCAAACCCCCTGTTCCAGTACCACCTACGACTTTGCCTGCTCTCGTACCTCAACGTACTCCGATTAATCCCTGCCAGCCATCACCTTGTGGACCCAATGCCCAATGCAGAGCTTATTATGAACAGGCGATTTGCTACTGCTTGCCCGATTTTATTGGCACTCCACCCGCTTGTCGTCCGGAGTGTACCTCGAACTCAGACTGTGCCCTTGACAAATACTGTCTGAACCTCAGGTGTCGCGATCCTTGTCCCGGAGCTTGTGGCATTCGTGCCATTTGCCATGTGCAGAACCACGGTCCCTTGTGCGTGTGTCCACCCCAGTTGACGGGTAATCCGCTGCTGGCTTGCCAACCCATAGGTATAACAGAAAGTACACACCCTAAGGAACACGTTTTTAATACAATTATTTTAGTTATTCCCCCCGTAGAACGCGATGAAGTGAATCCCTGTCAGCCCTCACCCTGTGGTCCTAATTCCGTGTGCCAAGCCGAGTCAGGTGGAGCAAGATGCTCTTGCCAACCGCAATACCACGGTACTCCGCCATTCTGTCGGCCGGAGTGTGTTAACAGCGCCGATTGTCCGGCGGATAAGGCGTGTAGGAATTACAAGTGCATTGATCCGTGTCCCGGCAGTTGTGGTCTCTCTGCTCTGTGTCGCGTGGTGTCACACAGTCCACTGTGCTACTGTCCCGAGGGCTTTGTGGGCAATGCCTTCAGCCTGTGCACTCGACCAGAGCCAAATCCACCTGCCGTGGTGATCCTGCCCTGCAATCCCAATCCCTGTGGAGTCAACGCCATTTGCCTGCCCCGCAATGAGTTGAGCGTTTGCCAGTGTCTGCCGGGTTACTATGGCAATCCGTCTGAGATCTGCCGACCCGAATGCACCGTCAACTCGGACTGTCCAAGTCACAGGGCTTGCATGGGTGAAAAGTGTCGCGATCCCTGTCCCGGGGTTTGTGGCATCAATGCCCTTTGTCAGGTCATTAACCATAGTCCCGTTTGCGAATGCCACCCGGGTCACGTGGGCAATCCCCACCATAGCTGTCGTATTCCGCAGCATGAACGTAAGAAGATTTCTCCTAAACTATGCCTTTTTTCGTGCTACCTTAAAACGACCTTAATGCGTATTCCTCCTCTAAACAACAACGCCGTACCTAATGGTTTTTCTCCGCTCCCTCACATCGTTGAACAACTAAATACATCGATAACATTCTGTGATATTTTGCTAGAACTATTTAAGGCCGACTACTTTTTAATGCCCTAAACAACAACGCTGTACTCAATTCTTTGCCTCTATTTACCTTGTGACTTCTCTTTTTAAGTGCCCTAATTTTATATTCCCATATCATAAAAAAAATCTCCTCTCTTGTATCTTTTTGAGATTCCCCATGTTTACTTTATATATATTAAAAGTGCCGATTATATTCTGTGATATTGAATATAATATGATCTCTCTCTTTAAAGATTCTCAACGTTTACTCTATTTATTCTGTGATAATGATGATCTCAAATCTCAAAAACCCTAACCCATACAATTTATCATTGAAAAAACCATGTGAGATTATGCTAGTAATCTTGAAAATAAGTTTTATTCAACAACGACGCTTTACTCAACTTCTTGCATTAAGCCGATTATTTTTCAGCTACCTCATTTCTTTTATCTCAAACCCATCGAGTGTCCCTTGGATTCTTCCATCGACTATGCTCAGTGACAATATGCTAGCACTATAAATAATTAACCACGCTTTATTGGTTGGCTTTTAATCAACGCTTTGCTTTTGGCCCGCTATTGTGCAAATGTTAAAAATCCTACGTTTGATTTCCTTTAGCCACCGTACCTGAGTATGTGAATCCCTGCCAGCCGTCACCCTGCGGTGCCAATTCCCAGTGTCGCGAGTCCCAGGGACAGGCCATCTGCTCCTGCCTGCCGGAGTTTGTGGGCACACCGCCATCGTGTCGTCCGGAGTGTGTGATCAGTGCCGAGTGTCCGGCGGACAGGGCGTGCATCAACCAGAAGTGTCAGGATCCTTGTCCCGGAGCTTGTGGCTTGAATGCCCAGTGCCATGTGCGCAACCACAGTCCGCTGTGCTCGTGTCAAACCGGATTCACGGGCGATGCCCTGACCCGCTGTCTGCCCGTTCCGCCTCCGAAGCCACCGAAATCTAACGATATCCGTGATCCTTGCGTGCCATCACCCTGTGGACCGTACTCCCAGTGTCGGGTGGTCAATGGCGGAGCTAGTTGCAGCTGTCTTCCCAATTATGTGGGAGCGGCACCATACTGCCGACCGGAGTGCACCATCAATGCGGAGTGTCCCAGCAATCTGGCCTGCATCAACGAGAAGTGCCGCGATCCATGTCCCGGAGCCTGTGGCTTTGCTGCCCAGTGTAATGTCATCAATCATACGCCCAGTTGCGCCTGTCCCGCTGGCTATACTGGAGATCCGTTCACCAGTTGCCGACTGCTGCCACCACCACCGCCCCCGAAAAGTATGCCCCACCCTTCTCTTAAATCCCAAGAAGTTTCCCCTAAGTTAGGCCCCATTTATCTTGCAGCTCCCTCCGATCCCTGCCAGCCCTCACCCTGCGGAGCTAATGCTCTGTGTAACAATGGTCAGTGCTCTTGCCTGCCGGAGTACCAGGGTGATCCCTACACCGGATGCCGCCCGGAGTGCGTTTTGAACGCGGAATGTCCCAGGAACAGGGCGTGTGTGAACCAGAAGTGCGTGGATCCTTGTCCAGGACACTGTGCAGCCAATGCACTCTGCGATGCCGTGAACCACATCGCCATGTGTCACTGCCCGGAAAGGATGACGGGCAATGCGTTCGTCTCCTGCCTTCCGATACGCGATGATCCACCGCCACCAACGACTCCTCCCAATCCCTGCCAGCCCTCGCCGTGCGGAGCCAATGCCCAGTGCCTGGAGAGGAACGGCAATGCCATCTGCTCTTGCCTGGCCGGATACTTTGGCCAGCCGCCCAATTGTCGACTGGAGTGCTACTCCAGCTCCGATTGCGCCCAAGTGCACACGTGCATCAACAACAAGTGCGTGGACCCGTGTCCGGGCAAATGTGGCCAGAATGCCGTATGCCAGGCGATCCAGCATAGGGCACATTGCGAGTGCATCCCTAGACACACTGGCAATGCCTATGTTTTGTGCAGTCCCATACCCAGGATACCTGAAATTGTTCGTGATCCTTGCCAGCCATCGCCTTGTGGTCCCAACTCTCAGTGCAGAAAGGTGAACGACCAGGCGGAGTGCCGCTGTCTGCCGGAGTTCCAGGGCACCCCGCCGAACTGTCGACCCGAGTGTGACAGCCACGATGAGTGTGCCAATACCCTGGCCTGCATGAATCACAAGTGTCGCGATCCCTGTCCCGGAAGCTGTGGCCAGAATGCCCAGTGTACGGTCAGCCTTCACACACCCAACTGTCAGTGCCCCGTGGGCATGACTGGCGATCCGTTCCGACTTTGCCGACCCATACCACGTGGTAAGATCCCTTAAAAAAAAGAAAAAAAAAATTAAATTAAATTAAATGAGGTAACAATCTCTAGAGTCTTTACTACAACAGGGTATCTCAACAGTGTTTTCTCTTTCTGACTTTAAGTAACCTTACCAAAAAGTCATGGATGTCTAGAGTCTTTACTATATTTGGGAATCTTAACTTAATCCTAATCTTTTATAATTTTATTTTAAAGTCCTTGAGTTAGGAACCTGACCCAATCACTCCTTACCGGCTTACCCTTACCCTGTTTATATTTAAACAGGACCAACCAAGTTTGCATATTGTAATCAGGCAGGGCATTTCCCTTTACCTATATAATTTCCTAACATATAAATGTAACCATTCCAGATGAACCCAAGCCCCCGCCGACTCCCAAGAATCCTTGCTACCCGTCGCCATGCGGCACCAATGCCGTGTGTCGCGTCCAAGGAGAGAACTACGTTTGCGAGTGCAGCCAACGGGAGTACATCGGCAATCCCTACGAGGGATGCCGCCCCGAGTGCGTCGGCAATTCCGAGTGTCCTGCCAATCAGGCCTGCATCCGCAGCAAGTGCCAGGATCCTTGTCCGGGCGTCTGTGGCCTGGAGGCCATTTGCACCATGAACAACCACATACCGATCTGTTCCTGTCCACCGGGCTACACGGGCAATGCGTTTGCCCAGTGTACCCGCCAGTTGACTCCACCTACTCCCTCGGATCCCTGCTATCCATCGCCCTGTGGACCCAACTCGATTTGCCGGGTGCAGAACGAGAAGGCTGTGTGCGAATGCCTGCCCGGATTCCCAGGTAACCCACTGGTTCAGGGCTGTCGTCCGGAGTGCACACTCAGCTCGGATTGCGCCAAGGATCGGGCCTGCATCAACTCCAAGTGCGTGGATGCCTGCGTGGGAGAGTGCGGATTCGGAGCCGTTTGCCAGACCATCAACCACAGTCCCGTGTGCAGTTGTCCGGGCAATATGGTGGGCAATCCGTTTGTCCAGTGCGAGGAACCACGCCAGGCCGAGCCCCTCGATCCCTGCCAGCCCTCTCCGTGCCGCAGCAATGGAATCTGCCGCGTTTACAACGGAGCCGCCACCTGCAGTTATCCGGAGTGCGTGATCAACGAGGACTGTTCCCGGGACAGGGCATGTGTGAGTCAGAAATGCCGCGATCCTTGTCTGAATGCCTGCGGCATCAATGCCATCTGTCGGGCCATCAACCACAAGGCCGTGTGCAGCTGTCCGCCGGAGTTCTACGGTTCTCCGTACGCCCAGTGCCTGCGGCAGATCCCAGAGCAACCGCCCAAACCGGAATGCATCAGCGACGGAGACTGCACCAATGACAAGGCCTGCATCAACCAGGTTTGTCGCAATCCCTGCGAGCAATCGAACCTCTGCGCCCAACAGGCGCGCTGCCATGTCCAACTCCACCGACCACTGTGCGTCTGCAATGAGGGATACACCGGAAACGCCTTGCAGAACTGCTACCTTCTGGGCTGCCGATCCGATGGAGAATGCGCCGCCAATGAGGCCTGCATCAACCAGCAGTGTGTGGATCCCTGTGGATTCACGCAGTGCGGAGAGGGAGCCATCTGCCGGGCTGACTTCAATCACCGGGCCAGGTGCCATTGCCTGGAGGGATACCGCGGCAATCCTCTGGTGCGTTGCGAACGTCCAGAGTGTCGATCGGATGACGAATGCGCATTCCATCTGGCCTGCCGCAATGAACGTTGCGAGGATCCCTGCAACTGCGGCATTGGAGCCCAGTGCCGCGTGGAGAACCATCGTGCTCAGTGCCGCTGTCCAGCCGGTTTCAGTGGAAACCCGGCCGTAAGATGTGACCTGGTGCCCACACAACCGGAGGGCTGCACCATGGACGCCGAGTGTCCCAGCAAGTTGGCCTGCTTCGGTGGCGAGTGCAAGAACCCATGCGATGTCACGCATCCATGCGGCGCCAATGCCATCTGTGAAGTGGTGGACACCCTGCCCCTGCGCACCATGATGTGCAGCTGTATTCGTGGCTTTGTGGGCGAGGCCGACATTGGATGTCACAAAGGTAAAATTATCAATTAAATCAACCCAATTTATCATTTTTTTAAATACGCTTGATTTTTGAGTTTTGCTTTTCTCATTGCAGCATCAGTTTATATATAAAGTGCTTATACAAATATATATATGTTTAAACTACAAAACCATTTATAGTGATGCACCTCCTGAGCAGTTGCACCCTATAAATATTTTGACTGCACTCTATAACTCTTAACTGTTGCACTCAAACACTTAGCATCTAAACACCTAGTAAAACTGAAATGCTAATCCCAAATATTGTATTACCACAGAACCCCCGCGTGATCAGGGCTGTGTGTCGCATGATCAGTGCCAGGATACGGAAGCCTGTCGCGGCGGAAACTGTGTCAATCCCTGCCTGGATGCCTCGCCTTGTGCCCGCTCCGCCCAGTGTTTGGCCCAGCAGCATCGCGCCATCTGCAGCTGCCCAGAGAGAACCCAAGGAGATCCATTCACCAACTGCTATGAGCCACGTAAGCTAGATCTTTTATATATAAACCATATATACTGATTGTCATTATAACGTTATTACTAACATTGAATATTGTTTCCAGCTGAAGTCAAGACTGGCTGCACCCACGATTCGGAATGTGAGCCGAACACGGCCTGCATCAATAAACGCTGCCAGGATCCGTGTGCCGAGGCCAATCCTTGTGCCGGAAATGCCGAGTGTCGCGTGCAGAACTCCCGACCGATTTGCTTCTGTCCAGCTGGTTGGGGTGGTGACCCACAAGTTCAGTGCTACAAACGTAAGTGTCAATGAGCCCTCTTAAAATGGCATATGGTGATCACTTTTTTTTTTATATTCCTCCAGCCGAGTGCAAGATCAATGCCGACTGTCCGTATGACAAGACCTGCTTGAACGAGAACTGCGTGGATCCCTGCACCCATGGCCAGGTGCGCTGCGGCAGTGGAGCCCAGTGCCTGGCGCAGAACCACCAGGCGGTTTGCATCTGCCCAACCGGAACGCAGGGCAACCCCTTCGTCTCCTGCATCACGGGACACTGTCAGTACAACGAGGATTGTGCGGATCACGAGGCCTGCGATCGATTGAATCGCGTGTGCCGACCTGTTTGCGATCAGGAGACCTGTGCCCTGAATGCCCTCTGCGTGGGTCGTCGCCATCAGCCGCAGTGCGAGTGCCGACCCGGCTACCAGGGCAATCCGCATGTGCAGTGCGACATACCGGTGAAGACGCCCAAGCCGCAGTGTGTCCAGGATGCCGACTGTCCCTCGAAATTGGCCTGCATCAATGAACGCTGTGCGGATCCCTGTGCCACTCCCAATGTGTGTACTCCGCAGCAGACCTGCACGGTCTTGGACACCCTGCCAAAGCGAGCGATGGCCTGCAAGTGTCCCGGCGACACGGTGACGGATGTCTCCCGCAACTGCGTGCCCATCAATGTGCCCAAGGTCGTTACCGGCTGTCAGCATAACTCGGAGTGTGCCAATCCCGAGATCTGCTCGAATGGAAATTGCCTCGATGCCTGCCGACTGGAGAGGTGTGGCGTTAATGCCCAGTGCACCGCCAGGGATCACTACGCCCAGTGTAGTTGCCCGAAGGGCTACCAAGGCAATCCGCGCATCGAGTGCTCTACAACGGAGGTGGATAGGCCACGGATCCCCAATCCGGGCTGCTCACGCAACGATGATTGCCCCAGGGATCAAATTTGTCGCAACGAGATCTGCGAAAGTCCCTGTTCCTCGGATGCCTGTGGCATCGGCGCCTACTGCCATGTGCAGCAGCGCAAGGCCATCTGCCGCTGTCCACCTGGATATTCCGGAAACCCACAAGATCGCTGTCTGCCACGTAAGTTTGTGAGATTTTTCATTTAAATTAAGATTTGGTGTAGGAGAGTAGGACTAATGAAAGGAAGTCTTTGAAAATAGTTCAAAGCAATCTATTTAATGTAACATTAAAATGTTGTGCAATAATAGCAATTACTGTCATAATTCGATGCTGGATCACCCGAAATATTTATAAATCAGTTGAGCCCCTTAAACTATGGTAACCGCCAATTAAAGTCAATTTAAAAACCTTGTTTAATGCAGTGTTTATATTTATTTGCAAAATCTTTAAAATATAGCAATATTGACCTGCTTTTTATCTTCTCAGCATCCGATGTGATAACCGTGGGCTGCAAATCCAGCACCGACTGCCCCTCGACGGAGGCGTGTATCAACACCCAGTGCGTGAGTCCCTGCAACTGCGGTCCGAATGCCGAGTGCACGGTGAAGAACCACCATCCGATCTGCTACTGCAAGCCCGGATTCTCGGGCAACGCCCAGTTTGGATGCTCCCCGATTGGCTGCCAGTCGGACGACGAGTGCAGCGGGGACAAGCAGTGCGTGAACCGGGAGTGCATCAACCCATGCCTGGCCAGCGATCCGTGTGCCCTGAATGCCGAGTGCTATGGACGCAACCATCGCGCCAGTTGCCGCTGTCCGGTGGGATTGGAGGGTGATCCGTTTGTGCGCTGCCTGCGCTTGGAATGCCACTCCGACTACGACTGCGCCTCGAACCTGGCCTGCGTGTCCAACGAATGCGTGAGCCCGTGTGGTGAGAGGAGGAATCCGTGTGCCCAGAATGCCATCTGCCAGGCGCTGCAGCATCGCGCTGTTTGCCGTTGTCCGGACCAAATGCCGCGGGGTAATCCGTTCAGCTACTGCGAGCCTCTACCCGTGAAGCCAGTGTGCCGCGATGATGGAGACTGCCCCAGCGGACTGGCCTGCATCGACGACAAGTGCCAGAACCCGTGCACAGTGCTCACGCCCTGCCATCCGACTGCCCAGTGCAGTGCTCTGGACAGCGTGCCCGTGCGCACGATGGTCTGCGAGTGTGCGGAGTACGAGGTGCCCGATGCCAGTGGAGCGTGCCGCAAGCTGGTGCCGCCCCGCCAACCCGGCTGCGAGAGCGACCAGGACTGTCCCGACCAGGAGGCCTGCATCCATGCCCAGTGCCGCAATCCGTGCAACTGCGGCAACAACGCCGTCTGCCAGGTGACCCAACATCGCGCCGTGTGCAGCTGCCAGGATGGATACGAGGGCAATCCCTATGCCTCATGTCGCTCCATCGGCTGCCGAGTGGATGGCGAATGCGATTCCGGCAAGGCCTGCATCAATGGCGACTGCATCAATCCGTGCCTGATCAACGATCCCTGCGGACCCAATGCCGAGTGCTATGTGCAGTCCAATCGGGCCCAGTGTCGCTGTCTCAGTGGCTATCGGGGCAATCCGTACGAGCGTTGCCGCGTCATCGGCTGCAGCAGCAACAACGACTGTCCCACGGACAAGACCTGCCAGAACGAGCAGTGCGTGAACCCCTGCGTCTACCACAACCCATGTGCCCCGCGTGCGGAGTGCCGGGCGCAGAATCACCTGGCCGTTTGCCGTTGTCCTGCCGAATTCCTGGGCAATCCCTACGTGGACTGCCGGCCACCGCCGCAGCCCATTTGCCAGCTGGACACCGATTGTCCCGGCCGCCAGGCCTGCATAAACGAACAGTGCGTGGATCCCTGCCTGGTGCTGGAACCATGCCAGCGACCTGCCCTCTGCGAGGTGACCCCCACATCGCCGGTGCGCACCATGCTCTGCATCTGTCCGGATGGCTATGTGAGCCGCGGCAAGGGAGGCTGCAAGCCCACCCAGGGCGTCAAGGATGTGGGAGGCTGCATCTCGGACGCAGACTGTCCGGCGGACAAGTCCTGTCTGAACAGCGTGTGCCGAGATCCGTGCAATTGCGGCTTGAATGCCGAGTGCCGGATCAAGGATCACAAGCCTGTGTGCACCTGTCGCCAAGGATTCGAGGGTAACCCCGAGTTCGAGTGTGCCAAGATCGAGTGCAGCATCAACTCCGACTGCCCGGGCACCCATCTGTGCCGCAATCAGCTCTGCATCCCCGCCTGCCAGGGCGAACAGTGCGGCTCGAATGCCCAGTGCCTGGCCATTGAGCACCGTGCCGTTTGCGAGTGCATTCCAGGACATGGCGGTAACGCCAGGATTGCCTGTACTCCGCTGGGATGTCGCTCTGACGATGAATGTCCCACGGACAAGGCGTGCGTCAATGGCAAATGCAACGATCCCTGCACAACCACGGCGATCTGTGGCCAAGACGAGCTGTGCAAGGTGTACCAGCACCGACCGCAGTGCGCCTGTCCGCCGGGCACTGTGCCCGGACGGAACGGCTGCGAGTCGGAGCGCCACGTGCCCATCTGCATCAGCGATGCGGACTGTCCCAGCCAGCGGGCTTGCCTGCGAGGCGAATGTGTGAATCCCTGCAATGCCACCCAGCCGTGCGGCGTGAATGCCTTCTGCAGTGTCCGGGACACTTTGCCCGTGAGGACCATGATCTGCGAGTGCCTGGAGGGCTACACCGGCAACCCAGCCGTGCAGTGCGACAAGCGCTCGCTGTGCGTCATCGAGAAGGGATTCGTGCGAGATGTGGACGGACAATGTGTCTGCCCGCCTGGAACCGCTCTGGACGTCTACGAATACTGCACGCCGTGCCGAGAGGAGCAGGGCTACCGCATCGACGAGAGTGGTCACTGTGTGTGCGCCCTGGAGCGTGGCATGGTGATCGACGAGCGCGGCCGCTGCACTTGTCCCATTGAACTGGGCTACCGCCTGACTCCACGGGGCGAATGCCAACCGGAGGAGCCGCCAGAGTGCACGAGCAACGATCAGTGCGCCGATAACCGGTACTGCAACCTGGACACCAAGACCTGCGAGGATCCCTGCCTGACCAAGGTGTGCGGAGTGAATGCCTTCTGCAATGCCGTGAATCACCGAGCCCATTGCCAGTGCATCACTGGCTACACGGGCAACCCGGAGTTGCACTGCAACCACACCAACTTCCGCACTGACTTCCCACGACCCGACATGGTCGTCAGCTGTCTGGCCGATGGCGTCCAAGTGGAGATCCACATAACGGAGCCAGGATTCAATGGAGTGCTGTACGTGAAGGGCCACAGCAAGGACGAGGACTGCCGACGGGTGGTCAACCTGGCCGGCGAGACGGTTCCCCGTACCGAGATCTTCCGCGTCCACTTCGGCAGCTGCGGCATGCAAGCTGTGAAGGATGTGGCCAGCTTCGTGCTGGTTATCCAGAAGCATCCCAAGCTGGTCACCTACAAGGCCCAGGCGTACAACATCAAGTGCGTCTACCAGACTGGCGAGAAGAACGTGACCCTAGGATTCAACGTGTCCATGCTGACGACGGCCGGAACCATTGCCAACACAGGACCACCGCCCATCTGCCAGATGCGCATCATCACCAACGAGGGCGAGGAGATTAACTCGGCCGAGATCGGAGACAATCTCAAGCTGCAAGTGGATGTGGAGCCAGCCAGTAAGTATCTTACATATTTATAATGTAATTAACATTACAATGTATGCTAATCTCTTTATTTTACCAAAACAGCCATTTATGGAGGCTTTGCCCGCTCTTGCATTGCCAAGACGATGGAGGACAATGTGCAGAATGAATATCTGGTCACGGATGAGAATGGCTGTGCCACGGATACCAGTATTTTCGGAAACTGGGAATACAATCCGGACACAAACAGCCTGCTGGCCAGTTTCAATGCCTTCAAGTTCCCATCGAGCGACAACATCCGCTTCCAGTGCAACATAAGAGTCTGCTTTGGACGCTGCCAGCCCGTCAACTGTGGTGGCTACAACGCCTTCGGGCGACGTCGTCGCTCCATTGCGGACAACTCCACCGATACGACCGCCATTGCCACGAATTCGGGTGTGGAGGGTCAACTGCGCGAGGAGATAACCATTTCGTCGAATGCCATTCTGACATTCGAGAAGCGCAGCGGTCAAGGTCTGAATGATGCCAACAGTGAGTAGTCCTTGAGGATAAATAAATAAGTATTAATCACGATCTAACTATGATTTCTGTATCTCTTCAATCCCTAGTCAAACCGGCGGCTCAGAGAGTCGAGGATATCTGCGTGTCGATGGTGGGTCTGATCATTGCCCTGGTCATCACGGCCCTGCTGGCCCTCGTGGCCGTCGCAGTGGCTGTGTCCTGCTGGCTGATGGCCTACAGGAGGAGGCCCAAGACCATTGCGCCCCTGCCCCATCCGCCGGAGTTCCCCAACCCGCTGTTCGCCAATCCCGACGCTGTGCCCGAGCCAACGCCGGATTACATCTCCTAAATGTAACGTAACGTAAAAATACACTGACATAACAAACACACTCCTAGCTATATCTTTAGTCTGTAAGAAAATCAAATCAATCAAGAATATGAAAATTATGTGAATATTTGAAAGGCAAGTGCAAAAAGTTGTGCAAAAATGCAAAACAGATCAAATCGCGAAAGAATATCAAGAAAAAAAAGAAAAACAAAAGTACATTTGTGAGCTGAAAGTATATATTCGGCAATGTTGGCCGTAAAACGAAACTATGAAAGATTGAACTATTGTAAAAAGCAAAAATGACGAAGCGAGAATCGCATGAACAATGCATGAAAGTAATTTAGTAGCTTAAGAAAATAATTTTATTAATTGTATTAACGTTTAGTATTCTCCTTCTTACTAACATGAGAATTCCGCGTAGTGTTTGTACGTTTAGCTGCCACATAGAGTCCACAAACTGCCAAACATAGAGAGTGCAGCTACAAACGAATTCTCGTCCTTTAACGACAACTTCTTCATTAGTCGAGCATCAATATTAATACTGTTATATATTAAACTAAAGACTTCCTATAAATATTTAGGGTGTGGGTAGTAGCAACGACACTTTGTATTATAGCACAGACACACGCAACTGCAACTACTTCCTGTAATTTAGAACTCAACTAGCCCGTTAAAATTGAAAACTGCCTTTAATTTCCAACAAGACCGAACAATGCACCCCAGAATACTCTCTAGCAGTATGTAAGAGATCGGTGGGACTTTATTCCACGTGCTTTATATATAACCACTGGACAATATGCCAACGATTGTCTCAGTTGGATTGTACACAAGCTAACGAGTTAGAAAACACACACACACACACACCGAAGAACATAGATACTCTGTACAGCTTATGGCACGTGGGAATAGTCGCAACAAGATCTGGACACCAACTTAATCGAAAGAATAGGGAACAGAACTATAACTGCCACTGAGGCGTCATCAGCGCACAAAAGATACTTATCTATTGCATAGGAAATACTAGGTTTGTTTTAATTTTAATCGCAACAACGACTAATGGAGGATTTGATTTTTACCACTATCCCTCGACCACTTCTACTTGTACTACACACTCTACTATGATTAACCATTATTTTTGTAGTTTTTTAGTCAATTAATATTAAATTGTTGTGATTGTTTTTAATGCAAAAGAGATACTTCCACTAACTTACTAATATGTAGAGACAAAAGTATAGAGAGTACTTAAAAAGGCAACGAACCAGCGCCCCTGCCCCGCCCCCTTTTCCGTTTTCCATGTGGAAAAGCACGCCACTGTCATCGCGCCGGAAACTATGCAGCGAATTTCCGTTTCCGGCGCCCGTTTCACAGAGCATATCTTTTCCTGATGCGATTATAGTTAGGGGGGAACTGCGGCACCTGGCCTGGATAATTAAATTATTAAAAATGAAGTTTTAAATTAATATTATTAAACGTAAACAAAATGTATAGTCACTACTTTAAGAAGAAACTGAATTTTCTTTATAGTAAAATACCATACAATATAAACTCGCACTCAGACACGTACACAAAGAGACAGAATTTGTAAATAATACACAGGCAAACTCTATGGTATTTTTAGTAGCGCATTATTGTGTATAGGTTTCTACACGACGTTGACTCTCAAATCCGAACTAAATCACAGCCTAACCTTAACCAATGCCAGGCATAAAATTATTTTCTTAATTCCATAACCAATAGAACATACATAAAGAAGTGCACAAATGCAGCAACCAACCGCCTCGTTCACAACTACCAAACACTTTTATTTTTCTTTACAAGAACCGCTTATAAATCTGACCCCAAACTAGTGTTACATTGAACATAGACAAAACTTTTTGCACTGGCAGCAAATATAAAAGAGAAATAATAATAACGAATAAGAACCGATCTTATTGTAAAAAGAAAAACAATAGTTAAATTGTACTTATAAAGAAATGTATTTAAAAAGGAAAAACGAGAAACGAAAATAATTGTAATCGCTTATTGTAAACTAATAAATAAATAAATATAAATAAACAAATGCAGGTTGATTGTGTATTGGCGGGTGTCACTTGATAATTAAATTAAATATTCATCCAGCAATTCAATTGGGGCTTGACTTGAATCTGGCCATTTAACTCATCAGGCAGGCATACTTGATATACTTGTAGCTTCTGCTTGGTGCTGCTGATCATATAATCTGAATTAATATTCTAGCTTTCTTTTTGGGGACGGAGAACAAGCCTAACCCGTAGTGCTTCTTGCGTCCGCTATCAACAAAGCCCCTTACCGTACTGGCTCTCCAGATACGGGGAGAGCGCAGAGATATATCTATATAGCTTAACATATATACACAGAGAAAAAATAGATAAGAAATGATAATTGTTTTGATGAAATTCCGTCTCAATTTGGTTTTGATACTTGGTAGGTTCAAATGCGAAGGAAACCTACAAGTTATTCAATGGTAAAAACAAATCGTATTTATTGATACTGTCTCTTATTGTTTTCGGTGTAGAGAGCGAGAGCGGTCTGGATCGGGTTTGTGGTGTGCCGCAGCAGTCGCAAGTGTAAACGATATTCGCGAACGTGGATTGGATCAGTTGACATTTGACAGCGCGCGTGTTGGCACGTTTTTCGGGGCCTCTTGCATGGATCGACGGCTAATCCAAAATTCAGAGCCAGTGCGCCGGGGCCATTAAGTCGTCGAAAGTGCGGTGCGGTGCGGTCGTCTACGTTGACGTCTACGTCTACGGTTTGGCCGGCGAAATACGGAAAGTTGAACACCCCGAGTTGCAATCGCTGGCACTGCTCGCATCGCGTATCAAGTATACGCGGCGTTATCTTGATCCAGCCGATTGCCGTTGTCGAGTAATTTAATGTGCGTTGATTATGTTATTAGTATGAGTATTATGATTGAAATTAGGCTTCGTTCGGCACATGAACACAGAGTGCCTGCCAACACACAAAATTAAATTAAACTGCAGGAAAAAGTGAATCAAATGAATGAATTACCATTATTAGCGTCACTTGCTGTCGCCCAGAGTTTTTTCATAATTAAGTGTGTGATTATCTTTTGGCTTTTAGGCGTTAAATATTTTCCCTGGCCGTGAATATTTTTGTTTTGTTTGGTTTGGTTTTTCAGTGCAGCAAAGAGAATCAATAAAAACAGTATTTAATGGCTGTTTGTTTGGGCCACCAACTGGGCAAACAAAAATGTTGTGTAACGGAGTATTTCGCACTAGATGGGGGCACATCTTTCATTAACAAGTTGGAGTGCTAATTTTGTTTTATAGTCCAGTCCGCCACAAGTGAGCCCGGAACAAAACATCTGTTTAATGGTGTCGCCGCTTTGTATATACAGTTTAAAACTTACAATGTACTGTATAAGTATCTCTCATTGTGAGACCTCAAATAAGCAATTATCAAAACATTTCTCAGGACTTAGCACTCTCAGCGCTATTCCCAGCAGTAAAACCAATTAAGTTGACACATCGCACCATAAATGATTTATTGGCCGGTAAAGGTAATCAATCAGGTTTTTGGCAAAACTGAATAAAAGTCGCAAAAAGCAAAGAGATGATATTTTAAGAAGCTTACTACTCATACACAGTTATGTAAATATTATCAGCAAACATGTACCCCATTGCTATGGGCATGTGTGCTCAAGCTGATTTGTATCGGTTTTTATTCGTGCCTCGCGCTTTGTAAGAAATTTACATTTTAACTACTTGAGTCTGGCTGATTTTCATATTACAACGAAACCAACTAGCGTGCCGAACACTTGATATATGATATATGTATGGCAAGATGCGTAATTATTAATTACGGCATAGCTGAGCGAACTCGTTGACCCTTGTGGCCCGGTCGTGACCGAAAAGTCACTGGAGCAAATCGCGTGAATATGACGTAGTGCCTCCGTTTTTTTTTTCAAAACGCGAAAACTTTCAAATTCATTTGGATGGAGAAGAGCCCGAAATGGGTAAAAGCGTCATTCGAAACCATCAAAACGAAAGCAGTTTGAGAAACGCTGTCAAAGAAGGTGGAAAAATAGAGAAGGCAGGGTCACCTTTTAGGGCCAGTCCGCTGATAAGATACAAATTTGTATCTGTCGAGACGAGTGGTATCTGTATCTGAGTACCGGTGTGTGCCCAAAGAGCTCGTGCTCGAGTTTATCTGCGACGGTGATAAAATAAAATAAAAATGGGACATAACTTCAGTTTGTTTATTTATATAAACAAATAAAAGAAAAATATATAAAGTGGACATAAAAATTCCTTACTTAAAAAAGAAAACGGTGACTTTTTTATGGGACTGCAATGAGTTGAGAAAGTGAATTCTCCAGAATATGATAAGAATTTTGTATGTAGAGAATAAAACAAACAAGCCACTAAAATAGAAAATGAAAAATAAAACTCAACTATAGAAGAAGGACAATTTAGTTTAATTTTAAATCTAAACTTTCGAGAAAGTAATCAGCTCTATTAAGGCAAATGAAGATAACTCGTGCTGGCTTTCGCATGATTTAGTTTATTTTGATTTAAAGGCTTAAACTCACGCGGCAAACAATAATAACATTGTGCAATTCAAGGTTTAAATGTGATTTAAAATTGTGTCAACCAGAACTCGCAATCACAGATTGCGAACATTAAAAGTGATAGATATGAAGGCGGTGCCAGCATCAGTGAGCTCGTGCAAAACCCAACAACAGACAAACATGATGTTATGATAAAGCGACAAGCAAATAGCAACCAGCAACCTGCAACTAGCAACCTGCAACACAGCGACAACAGCAACACTGCGACAGCAGCAACACGAATTTTCCTCTCAGTCTCCCAGATGACAGACAAAAAAGATGCCAGGCAGGTGCCGGGCACCTCTACCCCCACACCTGACCAGGTGGTGACCAGTCGTGCTCCGCCCAGTGGAATAGCTCCACTGCGACATAGCCAGCTTTCCGATAGCGGGGCAGAGAGTTGCTATGACGGCGATGAGCAGCCACGGCTCATCCGAACGCCCTCGTCGCGCACCCACAAGTTCATCATCATCCCGGCCACGCCGGGCACTCCGCCAGGAACGGGTGCAGGTCCCGGACCACTGCCCTTCCGCCAGACCAGCTCCACCACCGCGTTGGCGGCTATGGCTGCTCTGCACAAGCAACCGCCCCACCGCCAGACGTCGGTGAAGTCCAGGCCCAGTTCGGAGGTGCTTCTGCCAGGTCAGGTGCCGATGCAGCCACCCACAGCTGCGGGATCCACCTCCACGGTGACCTTCACCATCGACGACTGCGATGGGCAGGCCACTCCCGTTCCTTCTGCTCCCATGCCCGCCATCTCACCCACACCAGCCACCCTGACCTGCACCACCACCACCACGATGGCCGGAGATTCGGTGGCCATGTCGCCGCTCAGCATGGAACTGCGATCTCGGATTGGCAGCCACCACAGCAGCATGCGCTCCGTGGTCTCAGGTGGGTGACCCTCACAAACCACTTTTCATTCATATTGTGTTTCCAAGTACTTACATATAACTGCTCATACTCAATTGCTTTGCTTGGAAAACCCCTTTAAATCTTATTATAATTGCATGCACTTGAAGAGGCTTTTGAAAATGTTGTTCTACATGAAATTAAGGTATAGCTCTTAAGTGGAAATCTTGAAAGAACGGCAGTCAGTTAGAACACTCAAAATTATCTAAGCACATAAATTGTACAACAACAAATAAGTGGTACTTTAAAACCAACACCCTATTTATGTTTAGCTCTACATAATTTATTTGCCAAGGTAGTCAGTGATTAAGTACTATAAATTAAAAACGGTAGCTAGCTGCCTCTTTGAAAATTCTTTTAAATTGAATATTTGAAAGCACTTTCCACATATTGAGTTTATGAGCACTTTTATGTTGGAAACTCCTCCAAATCTTTTATACAACAAGCACTTCAAGAGGCCTTTGAAAATGTTCTCCTACATATAACTAATGTCTAGCTCTTAAGTACGTCATTACTTTCTAGTAAATGCTTTAAAATGTAATTCCTAATAGAAAAACAGTCAGTTAAATGATACCAAAACGATCTACGCCCATAAATTGTTTAAAATAAATTAGTGGTACTTTAAAATCAAAACTCATATATATGTTTCACTCAAAAATAGTTATAGTTCAACTCAGTCAATGTTTTAGTACCATAAAATAAAACCAGTAGTTTATCTAGCCGCAAATTGTTTTGTTAGAGAACGATTTTTAAATAAATACCTTAATGGTTGGAAAAGCATTACCTTGTACCATTTTTAATAAAAATAAAAAAACTAACTTTAAAACCTAGAAATGTAGAGTAGACTTCGATTGTTTGCGATTTTTAAATATTTAGATGAATGTGTTTTTTGCTATTTAGCAAGGTTATAGTACATTTTAGATTTAAAGCATTTTAGACAAATTTTAAATTAATTAGTTTGCTAGTTTTTATCCTATTTCTTAATGCAACCTAATTGTTTTTGGGATTATCTATGTAATTATATTCCAAATCCCCTGCAGGTTACCTACCGGGCCTGAGCGACAGCAGCGGCAATCTGGTCGGAGGCATATCGATGGCCACTTCCGGATTACAGGCCCCCCATCCGCTCTACATGCAACCGCAGGCCTCGCTGAGCGGCAGTTCCTATCAGTTTCACGACCTGGCCGGCAACCAGATCTACTCCGATGTGACCTCCGTTCGCTCGCTGGCCTCCATTGGCATTGGGTCCACGGACGGACGCAAGCTGGTCATTCGGCGAGTGCCCACCACCGCCAACGAGCTGTTCGACATGGTCAACCCGCAGACGCCGCCGTAAGTAATAGAAAGTAATCTATTCCGAAATAATCTCTCAAGTCTTAAAAGTAGTTTGAAGCTATAAAATATATATAACCCAGAACAGCTTTTTAGAAGTATATATAAAATATTGCTGTTAATATTAACCTCTGAAGTG